TTGTTTGAATACATTGTTGGGAGAAAAGCTACATAAATATGTTTTTCTCTTTCTCTCAGAATTTGAACAGATATTAAAGAGAAGACTTTCCAGGTGGGAAGATCTGAAGGAATAGACATTTGCAAGAGTTTGGAGGGAATCAAAAGCTTGTATTTCTGGGGTTCTGGGGTTAAAGAAAAGTGAATAAATCCACCGGGAGCACAAAGGCATTTAGGAAAGAAAGCCAGTGAAGCCTGAAGATGATGATCAACAGTTACAAGAACCAATTTCCAGTGTGGCAAAATAAATAAATAATTTGGAATTCAGAGGAGCCAGAGATGGTGTGCAACCCACAGTGTTCCAGCTATTCCACATGTGCAAGGATAAACTGCATAAATATTTACAGTTAGAAAATTAACAGCAAGCCTCCTGTCATTCAAGAGGGGAGTACTTCCTCAAAATGTATATTTGCTCACAATATGGGAAAATTTGGTTGAATAACAAACCTCATGAAGAACAACAGGATCCACACAGCAAAGAAGCCATATAAATATCCAGACTACAGCAAAAGCTTCATTGGTCAGATGCCCTCATCAGAGACAAGAGGATCTATTACAGGAGGGAAGCTGTCTGAATGCTTCAAGCGTGGGAGAAGCTTCCGGATCAATTGCCACCTAAAGCTCCGTAAAAGGATGCACACGGGTGAGAAACCGCACCAGTGTTTGGAAAGCTTCGATGAGAGAGCATCGCCGGTGAAACGCAAGAGGACCCACACGGGCGAAAGCCTTACAAGTGCTCCGAATGTGGCAAAAGCTTTCGGACCAGCTCCCAGTTGAAAATACACAAAAGGACACCCACACTGGCCAGACGCCATATCCGTGCTTAGACTACAGGCACTGATAATGATTCCCGTGAGGGTCAACCCAGTAGAAAGACTGTACAGGTGCCCGAGTGTGGGAAGAGCTTTGTTTCTAGCTCACATCTCAGGAAGCTTAGTATATAGTATAAATTGCCAAGAAGCTGCATAAATGCTCCTACTATGCGAAAAGCATTAGTAGAAAATCCCAACTTGGTAATCCACGAACAGATTCATATCAGAGTTCTTCCATGTTTCATAAACACATGAAAATCCACCCAGGGGGAACATCCTAGAGGGGCAGAATTGGTGTTCAGGTCTAAAATGCAGTCTCAGAGGTAGTGATAATGACATTAGCAATGGAGTAAAACAGCAGACAGCTAAGAGTCAAGGACAAGGGGGCATTGGTGGCTTTTAAACATATTGATACATTAAAATGTTTTAAAGAAGTCCTCGTTTCACACTGAAGTTCTTGGGGAATCTGGGATTGCAGGCCGGTTAGAAATGACCCTTTTCCTGAAATCTCAGAAAAGATTTTTCAGCTGAGATTAGAAAACTATAGATTATCTGTAAGGGCTATTGCTGTGTGGGGTGTGGCTCCTTGTTGAATACATTTTGGCGTCTGGAGATTTTAGGAAAGGAGCTGCAGCCTAACACAGTACAGTGGAACCTATTTAGTGAAGAATATTTGGGTGGCAAAAACGGTTCCTGAAATTCCGCCATAGGCCTATACCCATTCTTCCACCTTCAGATTTCACCAAGGCCTGCTGTACTTACCACTCCTGTGATTACTACCTTAATCAAATTAAATAAAATCAATCAATCCTATAATAAGTTTACCACTCCGAGACTTTGGAAGTCACTTGATGTTTTGCATTTGTTTATTTGAACAATTTATATGGGTGCCCTTCTCGTAATAGTGACATTGGGCAATAGGACCAGAGTTAAAATGAAAAATGATGTTCAATAACCCAGATCAGTGTTTCAGTAGATGAGAATATCTGTAGCTCAGGCTTGAACTGTGTAGCTCTTGGTGCCCTCTGAGGCTGATGGTTTGCAGATGTATTACCCAACTAGGTATTCTACCAAGGAGAAAATCATAACTCAGACAAGCTACTGTATGTAAACTGGGAGCAAACCCCATCCTGCTTCACATTGATGATATTATCTAGTTCTGTGATGGCGAACCTATGGCACACGTGTCACAGGTGGCACACACATCCCTCTGTGGAAATGCCAGCTATTGCCCCAGCCCAGCTCCACTGCATGTGTGCCTGCAGCCAGCCAGCTGGTCTTCAGGTCTCTGCCCTGCATGCGTCGGGGGTGGGTGGGTGGGGCACATGCACGGGGGGGGTGCATGTTGGTGTAAGAGGCTTTCCAGGCCCAAAATGGATTGTGGGGGGCTGCACAAGGCTCCCCTGTGCCCCGTTTTGGCTTCCAGGTTGGTGCAGGAGGCTTTCCAGGCCCAAAATGGGACACACACACACCATGCCCCATTTTGGGCCTGGAAAGCTGCCTGCACCAACCTGGAAGCCAAAACGGTACGGGCCACATGCGTGGAGGGCCTCATGCGCTGGATTGTGGGGGGCTGCACAAGGCTCCCCCGTGCCCCGTTTTGGCTTCCAGGTTGGTGCAGGCAGCTTTCCAGGGCCAAAATGGGGCACACACACCCCCATGCCCCATTTTGGGCCTGGAAAGCCGCCTGCACCAACCTGGAAGCCAAAACGGTGTACGGGCCACATGCGCGGAGGACCTCATGCATGGGTGCGGGGCACATGTGCAGGGGGATGCTTGCATTTGGGGGGTTCTGACACGCATGCTTTGGGTACTCGGCACCAAAAAGGTTAACCATCATTGATCTAGTTGGTAATGAAATACCTGCAAACAAATCGCGAAGCTCAGAAAGCATCCTCAGAAAGGACTCCAGTGATCAATGTTTCTCAACCTTGGCAAGGCTGACTGGGGAGTTCTGGAATTGAAATCCACAGGGCTTCAAATTGCCAAGGTTGAGAAACACAATCTAGTTAAAAATGAGATCGACAGGATGATGTAGGCATGGAAGCGTCTTCTGAACATGTTGGATGGGGTAATGGTGGAAACATCCAAAGTGTGAAAAGGAAAATCAAGAGGCATGGAAGGAAGGCTGAGTTTTCCAATCTTGTGAAAGGAAATGCCTATAGGTGGTAGCATAGAGTATTATTTCAATCGTAGAAATCATGTTCCTAAATGTTCTTCCATTCTATTTTGTTCTTAAAATTTGCTTACCTCCCAAGGACTCAGGGTGGTCCCCATCCCTTGAAAATAGACAAATAAATGCATTCCTGTGCAAAGTTTCCATCTACCTTTGTCTCCTCAGTTACAAGTAGCTGAATCTCCCATTGCTGAAGTCCATTTTAGTCTATGCTACCATGTTGTGCACAGAGTATTTCTCCAAAAATGGTCTGAATTTCCACATGAATCCTGCAAGAAAAGGATGATTCCCCAAATACAACAATCACAGTATTTTTTGTGCAATGATGTAGTTCCTTTTCCCCCCATCTCTTCCCCCCTCCCAGTTCGTGTATTAAAGTTCCCATAATCGTCAAGCTCTAACAAGGGATCTTGCACACCAAACTAAATACCCTTAGGGGTTTTGTAGTAAAAAGCTGGAGTCATAAGCAGATGTTCGGAAGTTAATTTGCATCACTGACTTTCTCTGCTTCACCTTTCAGAATTTTATAAATCCTTGGGTCGAGGCATTTTTGTGTTGTGACTAACATCATGCAGTTTAATAACAAGATTTGGAGCCAGGCAAGCCACCTTGGTTGGCTTGAGGCCAAGTTTCATGCAGGAACCTCTTTTGTTATATCTGGCAGGAGAGGCTGCTCCAGGTTGCATTTATTAGGGTGATGCTTCTGGCAGAAAAAGAGCTGCTTTTGTCCTGGTGCCCACCTTCTGGAACGGGTCTCCAACCTTGGCAACTTTAAGATTTGTGGACTTCAACTCCCAAAATTCCTCAGCCAGCAAAGCTGGCTGAGGAATTCTGGGAGTTGAAGTCCACAAGTCTTAAAGTTGCCAAGGTTGGAGACCCTTTTCTGGAACACCATCCCTCCGGATGATCAGACTGGCCCCAGCCCTGCTGGCTCTCCATAAAACCTTGAAGTCCTTTTGTTACTGAGCCTGGATCCCCGATTCTGGCTAAGCCCAAATTGTGGTTACATTAATACTGTTGGTTGGATTTTTATTTTGGCTTGGATCATGGTCATTATTTCACTGTGCTGTTTTTGCCTTGTTTTTATTCATTCTTAAACTCTCATATTTTGAGATAAGTTGTCTTAATTGAATGAACAAATGAAAATGAATTCATAAATGACCTATCCCCTTTAATGATCATAAGTAGGGCGAGATTGCGGGAAGAAATATACGCATGACTTTCAGTAATTCAATTTTAATGAAAAAGTCACTGGAGTTGTCAATAATAAAATCACTTCTCAACTTCCCGGCTTCTGCAGGTTAAACACATTTCTTAGCTTCTGTTTTTGGTTTTTCCGTTATTTTTTCTTCTCAGGCTCCAGGCATATCTACTCTTGGGAAAGCCACACAAACCGCCTTGCAGAAATTCACAACAGAAGTACAACTGCCATCATACAGCTGTGGGTTAGCTGTGTGATGGCTTTACCTGCTGTTGTTTTTTTTTTTTTCTTTCCACGTTTGGGTTATTTTGCAAGGTGGTAGTACTCTCTGGATCAAAGCAGTACACAGCATTATTAATTAATTAATTAATTAATTAATTATATTTCTATACCGCCTTTCTCCCGTAGGACTCAAGGCGGTGTACAGTCAAGAAAAATATAGACACACATTATAAACCAGCAAGCAAACAAACCCAAAAGTGCATTTGACAGGTTTTCGGAAAACTCGGTCCTTAAAAGTAGCCAGCATGGCCCCGATGGACCTTCGGCAAGCCCAGGCATCTCTTGAATATCGGCCAGCCAAAATAGCAAAGCCATGGGCTTTCTCCCGAACACGCGATCGCGCCCCTCCAGATACAAAAGCCCCCAACAAAAGCTTAGCCTGTGCAAAAGCAGCCTGAGCTCCGCCTCCCAAGAGGCGTCCTTGCCTCTCCCCTCTTCCAGTCGGGATTGGGGGTGAGGGGCCGCCAGGCTGCAGTCCCAGCCTGAAAGGGAGGCGGGTCGGAGCGAGGAACAGCGCCGGGTGGGAGAGGCGGCGGCGGCGGCGGCGGCTCTTCCCGCAGAGGGTGGCGTGGTAAGAAAACGCGGCGGAAAGAAGGTCGGTTCCCCTTCTGGTCGGGGAGCCGCTGGATCAGCCGCGGGGATCCCCTCTTCCCTATGCCCGCCCGCCTCCCACTCGCGCAGGGCAGCCCAGAAGCTGAGCCCTTTGCTCCGCAGGGGCAGGTCGAGAAGCACTTTTGCACTTGTTTTTTGTTTGTTTGGGGGAGGGGGAAAAAAAAACACCGTCTCCGTTTGATCTGGGATCCCGGGATTTTTTATCCCGGATTACTGGGAATCCGGTTGAGGCTTTTGAATCAGGCTGCGAAAAGCTTCTCGGCGGCTGCCTTTGCCGTTTGCCCGTTTTCACCCACCTAAGTTGTGGGAGTAGCTTTGCCGGCAACGTGGTGAGAAGATGCCGGAGTGGGACGGCAGGCCCGGTTGGTTGATGACAGAGAGGAGCGATGGGGGAGCTTTGTAGTGTTGCAGAGCCTTCCCCCCCACTTCCGAATTAATTACATGGCTTATTCTATCGCTATCAAAGATAACACTTTATTAGATACACTTTATTTAATAGATCTGTTGGACGTATTTGATTTTTGGAGGGTGGGAGTGTTTGGTAGTGTTTTCCAGCAGAGGATGCTTGTGCAGAGGGTTGGACTAGATGACCTACAAGGTCCCTTACAATTCTGTTACTCTACTCTACTCTACTCTACTCTACTCTACTCACAGGTAGACCTTGCTTACCAACTGCCTCACGGTCGTTCTGAAATAATACATTTTTAATTATTTATAACCTTTGTCTCAACCCTCAGTCACGTGATCTCCGTTAGTATCATTATTACAGTTTGTCGCTCTTATTATATATGTGGTTTGTAGTGCCTCCTGCCCCCTCAATCTCATCTAAACAACTCTGGGCAGCCCTCAACAAATAAAAATAGTTGTTTAAAAAGTAAATAAATAAAATTGGAATCAGCAGCAGAATTCTCAATACAGTCCCTGTAAGACCTTCCCACCAATGCCAGACTCCCAGGCAGGGTGGCAGAGCCAGTTCTTCAGGGCCTTCCTAAAGTCCAAAATGAGGTCTGGCCATTAATGCTTTGTGCAGTGACCATTGCAAGTTAGGACCGTGGGGGTGAGGGGAAACACTTTTCTGATCAATTCTCACATTTACAGCGACAGTCATATGATCACGATTTGTCCTCTTTAAAGCTGTGGCAAGCAGAGTTAATGGAGCAGCTGGCAGTAAAATCATATGTTGCGCAGTGGTGGGTTGCTACCGATTCACCCCGGTTTGGGCGAATTGGTAGTGGCGGCGGGAGGCTTTGCCTACCCGCCCGGACGTCATCAAATACGATCTGCACATGCGCAGAAGTGCACGTGCGTGAGCAAATCGGTAGCAAAGGTAAGTGAAACCCACCCCTGATGATGCGGTCATGCGACATTCTGCTTAGCAACCATGCGTCTTCCCTTAATTGAAGGGGAAGTAATTTTGTAATTCTCACAGTTGTAAATTGCTGCTTAGTGACCGTGATACTTAACAACTGAGTTCCCAGTCCAAATGGTGGTTGCTAAGCGAGGACTACCTGCATATCTATATAGTTCTCATTATAAAATTAACAAAGCTGTTCACTTGCAACTGTTATCTAAACAAGAGGAGGGTGGAAACACCAGACCCCAAATTAAATTATTGAGCAAAGGAAAAGAGTTTTATGCCTCTATGAGAAGCCAGTTTTCCCCGGAGACCAAGGAAGCTCATTCCAGGTTCACAGGACCTTGTACAAATACTCCTTGAGATATGACAGGTCACTTAATGAATATCCAAAGTTATGACAGATATGTAACAGATTATATACAACCCTATTTTAAGGTTATGACAGCTGCAGCGCTCCTGCAGTCATTCACTCTTACGATACCCACAAGGACATTACAGTGCCCCCTGCCATTCTCCCCCTCCATACCACCCTGCCAGGACTCACAGAGCTTTGGCTTACTCCCGACATGTCCATCACCCATTGCACTTATCTTTTGAAGCTCAAAAGAACGCATGTTGGAGAAGGGAGGGCAGGCCACATGTACCTGGGCTGTGCAGCGGCAACCTGATTATGGCCCCATTTGGTCCCACTGACTTGTGGGCAGGGGCAAAATGGCCACCACCAGACAAGACTGCTTTTGTCTGGCTGTCTTGGCAAAGCCTGCACAGTGCTGCAGACATTTCTGAATGTTGCAGAAAGCCTCTGCAGTTTCCGCAGCACTGTGCGGACTATCTTAAGGCAGCCAAAGAAAGCCGCTTGTTCCCAAGGCCACATGACAGTGATTTGAATGCATCCGCCGTTTTGTGGTCGGGATAAAACAGCGACTGTTTCTGGAATTGCACCATGCGGCCATGAAAAGAAGGAAGTCATTGTGGTGCCTCAGAGCTCTTCAAAAGGTAGTGAGGAGGTGAGGTGGGTGCTTAGCCAGGTGGGCTGGGAATCCGGCTTAAGGCCTGGTGGAAGTCAGAAAGAGCCTATGGAGACACCATGGATGGGAAGCAGAGCACGGGGCATCTCGGGAAGTTGGGGAGACCTTGGGAGGGCCACGGCAGGTCTCCCAAGGCCTCCCTCACCCCAAGGCACTCTTTCATTTCAGGATTCATTGGGGAGAGCAGAAATGGGGGGTGTTGTTAATGGGAGAGGCACTTCACCTGACGACAACCATGACCTGCAACCACAATGGGCAGGCTCCATTGCGGTCGTATCTCGAGTAGTATCTGTAAAGGCCCCAACCCTGGGAGGTCCCGAGAATTGTGGGGAAAGAGAAGGGCTGAGGGACACTAATTGGGAGGCTTGGAGCAGCAGCTCACATAACTTTGATGGAGGTTGGGTTCCAGTTTCTTCACTTATCGTATTTTTCGGAGTATAAGACGCACCGGAGTATAAAACACACTTTAGTTTTTGGGGAGGAAAATAAGACAAAAGCTGATCGGCAGGTGGATCGGCCTCCCAGAATACCCCCAATCAGCTGTTCCCAGAGATGAATTTTAGCAACATGTTCCTTGGTTGTGAGCTCTGTACCTTGCTTTTTTTCTTTTTTTTCTGCCTCTGAAATTTCTGAAACTCCATTGCAGAAAAAACTTTTTTTTTTGCCTCTGAAAGCCTCCAAAACAGCTTCAGAAAAAAAGCTCTGTTTGGGGGCTTCTTTTCTGAAGCTTCGTTTCTGATGCTTTTTTCCAGCCTCTGAAACCTCTGTTTGAGAAGCTGGGCGGGTCTACATTCGGAGTATAAGTCGCACCCAGATTTTCACCCTCTTTTTTGGGAGAAAAAGGTGCATCTTATACTCTGAAAAATGCAGTAAGTCTTTATTTATTCGACTTGTATGACAGAGCTACTACTAAAAATCCCATAGCTGAGAATTGTCTTTATTCCAGTGAGAATATTTTACAAACCTTGGAGAAATGATGAATATCAGAGACATGGGAGAGGATCTTTTTATTCCTTTTATACCATGTAGCCCTAATTAATACTTTCTTTCTTTCCTTTTCCCTCCTGGAACTGCAGAGAGCAACAACTATGGAGGAACAGCAGCTTGTGGTACCCAAAGAAGAAGAGGAAGAAGAAGAGGGCACTGAGAGTGAGAGAAGAAACCCTCTCATTGTCCAAGTGAGGACCCTTGGGGACGTTTTGACCCAGGACAGACCATCCCATCCTAATTCTGAATCAAAGGAGGAAATGCACCAATGCTGGAACTCTCAATGGCAGGAATTCTTGAAAAGTGTGGCAGGGCTCCCCATACCACCACCTCCCTTGGAAAAAAATGGCACAGACTCCCAGGCCTCCTTGGGAAGAGACAAAGAGGATCCACAGCAGGAGAGTTCTGGGGAAGGCAGAGAATCTATGTTCCAGGGGGATCCAAATGTCAGTGGGAAACTCTGGACGGGCAGGGAAAAGGTGGATTCCTTCGTGAAGGTGAAGGTGGAAGAGACTCTGGAAGAAGCCAATCTGGAGAGCCAGGCACCCCTGCCCCTCAGCTCCCAGGATGCTGAGGAGCCCCAGGAGGTAATCCAGCCCCCCAAAACTGAAAAGTGGGAGTGGAAAGTGGGTTGGGAGGCAGTATGAGGGAAGGGTTGCAAACAGCCATCAAAATGTTACTGGCCAGCTACACAGGTGCCATAGATTGTTTCAGTTTTGGTGAAAAATATTTCAATCAACATTATTTATTTATTTATTTGGGAAATTTATATTGCCGCCTACTTGCTCACGGTCATAAATATGAGTCACATTGTCAAGCATCCAAATATAAATCATGTGATCACGGGGATGCTGCAATGGTCCTAAGTGTGAAAAACGGGCATAAGTCACTTTTTTCAGTGCCGTTGTAAGTTTGAACGGTCACTAGTGAACTGTTGTTAAGTCGAGGACCACCTGTATTATTGATATGTAGGGATTGGATACTTTGTGACTAAACATATTGCAGGACCTTCATCTTTATCTTACAACTAGCATGGAGAAAATCATCACATTCGTCCATAATATGGTAGAAATGTCTTGTCTTAGTAAATTATACAAACACCAGTACAGTACCCTGCTTCCTTGCTTAACATCCACAATCTATTCTTTAAATTGGAAGTAAAATGGGGGAGGGGGAAAAGAGAGAGAAATATGGAGGCTGCAAAGATTTCTGGTAGCTGCCATTCCATTCAGATAAAAGTTCTTTCTTGCAGCAATGCCAGTGTTATGCTAATGTGTGTTATTTTCAGCCAGATAAATTTGGTTGTTAAGTACATGCATTTCTCAGGAAAATATTTTTTTCCCATTACTGTTGTATTTGCAAATTGTTGCTAACCAAGGTAACAGCTAACCAAGGAGTCCCTGTGTTGTGGCCCATGAAACTAGGATTAGGCTGATGTCCTGAGAATCCAGTCAAAGGTTTGTAAGCAAGGAAGTGATCTGCTATCTCTGCAGTAAAGAGCCCAGAATGAGGGGCAGCTATTCCTCATTCAGTAACTACCACGCTTAATGACTGTTTGCAAATACAACAGTAATAAAAAATTAATTATGTAACCAATGAGTGCATTTTCGATTTTTACACATTTCTCTCTCAGTAACATGTTCATATTATAGTTAGTATTGCATGTCATCTGCTCTTACTTTCACTTGCTTCTTTACTTGTTTACATGTATTTATATCCCATATAAAGATGTCTTCAAAGAGAAAGAACCCCAGTCCAACTGAGACAAGGAGAAAGAGGCACAGGAAAACCATTGATCTCAATTTGAAGATGAAGATCATCAAAGCATATGAAGCCGGGAAGAAGATGCATAAAATAGCGAAAGAAGAAGGTCTGGCTTGTTCCACCATTTGTGCTACTGTGAAGGACAGAGAAAGGATCAGAGAGGCATTGAAAGGAGCAATAGGACTGAACACAAATATAACAATAATACAAAAATGCCTCATCCCTGAAATGGAACCACTCCTGATACTTTGGATCAAAGATCGGATACAAAAGAGGCTTCCCCTTAGCTTTCTTCTCATTCAGACTAAGGCACGCAGCATTTTCACAACACTGAAGGAACAAGCAGGGAAAGAATGCACTGAAACATTCAATGCTAGCCATAGCTGGTTTGTGCGATTTCAACAAAGATTTCATTATCAGATATTACCATCACGTGAATCTTTACGGGCTGAAAAACGAACTGCCAAACATTTTCTGGATGAACTTGATGATGTTGTAGCAGAAGGAAATTATTCTGCTGATCAGCTATTCAGAGTGGATGAAACTGGGTTATACTGGAAAAGAATGCTGGAGCAGACGTGTGTACACAAAGAGGCTGAAGCAATGCCTGGTTGTAAAGCATTTAAGGATAGAGTAACCTTGCTATTGGGGGGAAACGTTGCCGGATTCAAGCTGACGCCATTTGTTATCCTCAAATCAGATCATACCAGTATGATTCAAAAAATAAACAAGGACACACTGCCTGTTTATTACCGATTTGATTGTGAGACCTGGATGACACACGTCCTCTTTGAGGATTGGTTTACAAATTGTTTCATACCTCAGGTAAAGGAATATTGTGGGCAAAAGGAGATTCCTTTTAAAATTCTCCTGCTTCTGGACAAAGTACCTGGACATGCCCTGCATCTCGATAGTCTCCACCCTGATGTAAGGGTAGTTCATCTACCCCAAAACATCACTCTCCTGCAGCCAATGTGCCAGAGAGCTATCTTGCTATTCAGGGCATACTATTTGCAAGCAGTGTTTGCTAAAGCCTTAGCCGCAACGGAAAATGACAAAATATCATTGCACACGTTTTGGAAAAGCTATAATATCCTGCATTGTATCGAAAACATTGTAGCAGCATGGGAGGATTTTAGTGTGAAAAGCATGCAAGAATTTTGGAAAAAGTGTTTAAAAGGTTATGCTGCTTTTGCAAATAATTTTGAAGGATTTAGCCATAAACAAAATTTGGATGAAATAAATAAGAACATTTTGATACTCACAAAATCCCTTGATTTAGAGGTGGAGGCTGAAGATCTGAAAACTTTGATAGCTTACACTGAGGGAGACCTTTCAAACCAAGATTTAATTGAACTGAAAAAAGAACTGGAAGCACAAAAGGTTAGGGAAGAAGCAGCAGAAAGAGAACGAGAAAAAGTACAAGTTGTAGAAGTTAAATTGAAAACATTCACTGAGAAAAGATTGGCTGGTATTTTCTCAGGAGTTAAAAAAATGTTATCAGACTTAGAAAGTATGGATCCAGATGAAGAACATTTTAGAAAGATACATTGGGAAATGTGTGAAATCTTAAAATGTTACCATGAAATATATGAAAGAAAAAAGAAGGAAAACAAAGATAAAGAAACCAAACTTCCCTCCCTCTTGCCCTTCCCATCCACAGGAATAAAACACCCGAACAATCCTCAGCAATCAACCAGCTATGCCAGCAGATCTGACGTTCTTGAAAACACAAAAAACCATGAATCTTTCAAAGGTTGTGTATCCAATTTGATGTTTAGAGGTACTGTAATTGTAAATTCTCATTTTGCACAGGTAGTTTTCATTTCACAACCGCAGTTAAGAGAAGCGAGGTAAAAGTAACCTTACAACTAATCACAGATTCGTACAGACCTTCACAGATTTGTAAAGCAAAGGAATTCTGAAGCAGAGATACTACTTCAGCTTATTTTGCTTTGTAGAGATGCAAAGGTCGTAAATGCAAGGATTGATTATAAAGTTATGTTTTCATCATGTTGTAGGCTGGGACCTTGAAGTAGGTTCTAGGTAGGGAGGCCCTATGGAGTATGACAACCAGGATCCTATACTCTCTAGTGGGCTTCTTGGAAGAAAAAGAAGTTGGAGGAAATTAGGGGGGACCTTCCTTACAACCTTCCACACTAATGTTGGTTATGTGAAGTGGGTAGGTCAAAATGGCGGTAACAGGACCACAGTTCCCTGCAAGATCATAATTTGTATAGATAGTAATCACACGATGGTGAGGAGGATACTGCAACACTTGGAACTCTGAGGAAGCTTATGAGTCCTCGTTTAGCACCATTGTAACTTGAATAGTCACAATGAGTGAATTCATACACTTCATACACTTGAGTTTCCCTTTAGCTTTTTTTTCTATTTCTATTCCGCCCACATTCCATAGCATCCACTCAAGTTCCCAGCCTATAACAATGAAAACATAACTTTTGGGAGAGGGGGAATCTGCATAAAGGTAGTCCTTGAATTGGCATAGGGCGGGTCTCCTGCTTGAGCAAGGGGCTGGACTAGAAGACCTCCAAGGTCCCTTCCAGCTCTATTCTGATTGACTGAGGTATGATGGGCCATTTAGCTACTGTTCAAAATTATGACAGACCCCATCCCCAAAAGCTAAACATTTCAAAATTGCAACAACCGCAGCAGTCCTGCGGTTGTTCGACCTTATAACCCACCATGGGGATGGTGCAGCGCCTCCTTTGCCTCTCCCCATTCCCACCCTACTGGGACCCTGCAGCACTTGGGCCTCCACACCATACACACACCATGCCCGACATTTCCCTTCTGAAGCTTTCCAAGACCTCATGTTGGGGAAGAAAGGCAGGCCATATGTCTGTAGACTATGCAATGATGATCCAAATGTGGCTGCCATTTTTGTCCTGCCCGCTGGCAGCCAAGGACAAAATGGCAGCTGCCAGACAAAATGCTGCATTTTGCTGCACGGGCTTGAAGAAGATTCTAAATGCCGCAGAAAGCACCCTCAGCACTGAGCAGACCTTGTGAAGACAGCAAAGGGAAGCAGTATGTTCCCGGGGCTGCCTGATGGTGACTGGAATGTGGCTGCCATTTTGTCCCCACTTGTTTCTGGGTGGGAATAAAATGGCAGCCGCCAGACAAACCGCTTCATTTTTCTGCACGGGCTTGAAGAAGCTTCTGAATGTTGGAAAAAGCACTTGCAGCAATGGGCAGGTCTTGTTAAGGCAGCAAAGGGAAGCAGTTTGTTCCCGGGGCTGCATGGTAGTGACCAAATGCAGCTGCCATTTTGTCCCCACTTGTTTATGGGTGGGAATAAAATGGCAGCCGCCAGACAAACCGCTTCATTTTGCTGCACAGGCTTGAAGAAGCTTCTGAATGCTGGAAAAAGCACTTGCAGCAATGGGCAGGTCTTGTTAAGGCAGCAAAGGGAAGCAGTTTGTTCCTGGGGCTGCATGGTAGTGACCAAATGCAGCTGCCATTTTGTCCCCACTTGTTTATGGGTGGAGACAAAATGGTGGCCACCAGACAACACTGCTTCATTTTGCTGCCTTTGGGAGGTCGGCATAGTGCTTCAGAAGCTTCTCAATGCTGCAGAAAGTTTCCGCAGCAATGAGCAAGCCTTGTTAAAGCAGCAAAATGAAGCTGTTTGCACTTGGGCCGCAAAGCCCGACTTGAACGTGGCGGCCATTTTGTAGGCAGGGTGAAATGGAGGTCGCTTTCGAAATGGCACCATGCAGCCACACAAACAAGCAGGTCATTCTAGGGCTCTGGGAGACTGCGGAGCTCTTCAAAAGGTTAGGTAACTGAGGAGAAAGAAGGGTGTTTGGCCTGGGGTGGGGTGGGAATCGGGCCTTTAAGGCCTGGGAAGACCCGGTAGGAGTGGAATAGGAGATAGGTGATATTCTTTTTATTATTATATTGTTGTTTTCATTTACTCTCCTTCTTTCCTATTTTTCTTGCAAAGCATAGTAAAGAAAGTATGGAAATGGGCAAGAGATGATAGATAGATGCTCTTTTTCTTGTTATGAGTTACTTTTTTCTTTCTCTCGCTTTCTGCGCCCTTTTCCTCTTTTAAGTAGGTGACATGAATAGAAGTTAGACAAGAAAGAAAGGAAAAGCTTTTTTTATTAAAGGGTGATATGATCAAAAGCTAGGATAAGTGATAGAAATAAGAAAGGGGGGAATATTAGTATAGACTTTTTATATTACAAAATGAAAGTAATAAGAGAAAATGTGGAATAATTGAATCATGATAAACTGCATTTTCAATTTTTTTCAATTTTCAATTGAAAATGTGGAATAATTGAATCATGATAGACTATGAATTAATATAAGTATTCATTATTATTAGAAATATATAAGCGGATTGAATGTAAGGATTATGATTAACTTGATTAGCTTTATTTGTATTAGAATGCATGACACCCAGGTGCCACACTGTTCACACATTGATTTGATATTTTGATTAAAAAAAATATTTTGCAAAAAAAAAGGAGTGAAAATAAGCCAGTTAGGACCCAAGGTGACGGGAATGGAGAATGGGGTGTCTCGGGATTGGGGAAGGCATTGGGAGAGCCTGGGCTTGGGCTTGGGCTTGGGCTAGGGTTCCAGGTGGCTCCCCCATCCTCACGGCACCCACGCTTCACTTAACGACCCAAATGTTCATTGAATGCTTCTTTGTTTAAAGCAGGGAATTGGGGGTAGTTAGGTGAGACGCTTCACCTACTGACTGCAACCATAACGTGCAGGGTCTATTATGCTCATATACTGAGGATTACCTGTACATTATTAAGCTAAAGCTTTAATAAAAAGTTCCTAAGTTTTAAATTATCTGAATGATATGCAAAGATTTAAAAGGTAATGAGGAAGTTGCAAAGGATTTGCTCCTTGTGTATAGCTAGGAGACATTCAGCTGTGATAATTTTATTCTGGTTAGAGTCTCACAAAGTCCACTTTTCTAACCAGCATCTCTGGTGAAGTAATGAAGAGTCTTTTGGTCACTATGCTTCAGAGTTGCAGGCAATAGTTTTCTGTACTTCAGTGCCAGTTCATCTGCATCTCAGTATAGAATTGTGGCCCAAAAGTATCTGGAGCTGCCAACTATATGGACAGACCTGCCATTTCTTCAACATATTAGATGTGGAGGAAATAAGATCTATTTATTAGAGGTATGCAAATTGTACTTACTCAGATTTTGATTTAGCATATTGTTTGATTTGAGTATCCAGACTTCAGAACTGACTTTTTTTTGTCTTCAGACAGCCCAGATTCTGAAGGATATGATGCTAACATCTCCCAAATTAGAGAAAGAGGCCTGGGACATTCAGAAGGCAAAGCTTCCCTGGAGATAAAGCAAGAGAATGATGGGGAGGCCAACTCACTAGGTAAGGCTGCAGACCGTCAATGATTGCAAAAATTTCTGGGGTGAGAGAGTCTTCTTGATGAAGATGTTCTCCCAAACAGTAAGTCTATAAGTAATGCTGGAAAGCCATCAAATGAGGATGCTTGAATTTGGGATCTCTTAGGTCAAACAGGAGGGGGAAGACTATGTGAGAAGACCCACCAACACTAAAATTTATAGCAGAAGTTGTTTGAAATGGAATTTATTATTGGCAATGATATAAATGCTTTTCTGTTTCTCTCAGAATATGACATTTGACAAATACATAAGGAGAAGACCTTCCAGGTTGGAAACTCTGAAGTAATAGACATTTGCAAGAGTTTGGAATGAGTCAAAAGATTATTTTCTGGAGTCTGGAAAGGCAATAAATCCAGCAGGAGCATAAAGGCACTCAGGAAAGAAAGCCAGTGAGGCCTTTCTGTTTGAAGATGATGATCAAAACTTAAATGGAACCAATTCTCCATTTGGGAAAAAGGCCGGCATTAAGAGGAGCCTGAGATGGTGTGCAATCATCAGTGTTGCAGATACCCCCACAACTCCCATCCTGTTATTCAAAGAGGAACACTCCCTCAGCAAAAGAAATATATATTTCCTCAGAGTATAGGAAGTTTTGGTTAGAACACAAACCTCACAAAGAACGAGAGGATCCACACAGCAGAGAAGCCATATAAATGTTCAGACTGCAACAAATATTTCAATGTAAAATCCACTCTGATTAAATATGAGAAGTCCCATACAGGAGGAAAGCCATATGAATGCACTGAATATGGAAAAGCTTTTTTGGGGGTGGGGATTCTAGTCAAATACCAAACAGGTGAAAAGCCACATAAATGCTACCAAATACTGCATTGGCTGAAATGCCCTTATCAAACACAAGAGAACCATACAGAAGAGAAGCAATATGAATGCCAAATCCAACTTGGTGACTCACAAGCAGGGTGGATAAAAATCAATGATTTTTTTAAAAAAATAAAAAAAAATCAGATTTTTTTAATTTAAATTGGATTTTTTTTATTTAAATTGGATTTTTTTTATTTTTATCGAATTTATTTTAATAAAAAACTTTTGGGGTAAAAATCTATCGTAAGATAGTTTTCTATTTAAGATACATAAATAATTTAGTTTATTCAGCATGAAATAGAGCTTAGTTATGTAGCATGAGGCTGTATATTCTGCAACACTGGGACTATCGGTGAGTCAACAGTGGGTCAAAGGAGTAGCAGAGATGACAGTTGCTCTTTAAAAATTATGATTTAAATCGAGTTGTTTTAAATCAAGCCTTTTTACTAGTGATTTAAATCATGATTTAAATTGTGATTTAAATCAAGTCCACCCTGCTCACAAGTAGATTTGTACCAGAGAAAAACACACAAATGCTCAGCGTATTAAAAAGATCCCGTGGTTCTTTTCTGTGTCATAAACACATAAAAATCCATCCAGGAGGGACATACTCGAGGGCAGGGTTGGTGTTCAGATCTAACCTACAGACTCGGCGATTATGGAAATGAAACTAGCACTCGAGTGAAACAGCAGATGACCAAGAATCATGCACAAGGGCATTGGCTTTTAAATACATTGATACATTAAAATGTTTTAAAGAAGTGCTTGTTTTGAATTGAAGTTCTTTGTTCAAATTCTGAGTTATCAGGCAAGTTAAAAATGATCTTGGTAGTTGCTTTCACCTGGGACAGGTAGAACTGAATAGATCAGCAAGTCGATATCTGAAAGGGATGCTGCTTTGTGCCATGTGGCACTTTCCCAAATATATTTGGTTTCCATAGAAGTTTTGGGAGGGGACCTGCATCCTAACATAATAAAATCTAAGCAGGGAATATTTGAATTGCAAAAAGAGGAAATTTCTAGATCTACCCTCAGGCTCACACCCATTTTCATCCATCCAATTTTATCTTGAGCCTACACATTTATCGTTTGTAATTTTATTAATTGAACTTGTGATTAAAATACACCTAGTGCTATTGAATGTCAGGCAGCAGGGATCTCCCCTCCCTCCCTCTCTCCCTCCCTCTCTCTCTCTCTCTGAAATCAAAATAATTTTATTTGGTGATACTTTATGTTTAAATTGTATGGCTTGTCATAACAATGACTGGCTGGTGAGAAATTTAACAATGCATTTAAATCAATAAGCAAATAATAAATCTTAACAAATAAGAAGTGCTACAAACCAGGCAGGAATTTGATATTTTGTTGTTTTGCTGCACTAAGTCTACAGGAAAAATAATCTACAGGAAATAGAATAACCATTACTGCTGATAGAGAAATACACACTTTCATTCTTTTTCTTCTCTGTTCTGTTCCTTTTTTCCCCCGGGGCTTGGCTAAGTATTGAATGACCACCTTTTAGAACAGGCATCACAGAAGAAGCTTATAGAAACTTCTTTTTCTTCGTGTTATCAAGAAAGCAAGACGACTTAATGCTGTAGTAAACATTACACTCAAAAGTGAATTTGACAAGTCCTGGGAGAACTTGCTTAAGTATGGCTCATATGAGTCTCGAGCAGCCAGCCATCACTAAATACCGGCTGGTAGCGAGTACAGGTAGACCTCGACATACAACAGTTCAAAGTTACAACACACTGGAAAAAGTGACATGATCGTTTTTTTCAGACCCCATGATCATGTGACCAAAATTCAGAAGCTTGACAGCTAGGTTCATATGAGGTTGGAGTGTCTGAAAGTCTTGTGATCACCTTTTGTGATCTGATCAGCATCTAACATAACAACAGTGGCAAGAAAGGTAGTAAAAGGGGGCACAACTCACTTAATAAATGTTTCACTTTACAACGGAAAATTTGGGCTCAGTTTTGGTCGTAAATCGAGGAGTATCTGTAATGGATTTCTGAACCAGCTATCACGTTTTTCTAGAAACCTGACTTCCCCGCTTAACCTGTGCAAATGCAGCCTGAGCTCCGCCTCCTATAGGTGCCCTGGGCTCTTCCCCCTTGCGTCCGCAGAGGTCGCGGATGGGCTGCAGCCCCATCTGGAAGGGAGGCGAGCAAAGAAGAGCGCCGCGTGCGACGAGAGGCGGCGGCTGTTCCCACGGAGGAGGGTCGCTGCCTGAAAGGAAAGCAGGCAGGGCGGCGCGGGGCTTCCTGGGGAAGAAGGTAGGTTCCCCTTTTTTGTTTTGCCTTCCGACTCCACGTGCATGGCAGCCCAGAGGTTGCTCCCTTTGCAGGTGCAGTTCAAGAAGCACTTTTGCACTTGGTTTTTGTTTGGATGTTTGGGATCTGGGGATCTCGAACTTTTACTCCGTGTACCTGATTACTTTGATCCGGTGGTGGCTTTTGAATGAGGCAGCCTGAACTAATCGCGATCGCTTTGTCGCCGCCGGTTTTCATCTAGTTTAGTTTTGGGGAGTTGCATTCGGTGCAACCTAGTAAGATACCAGAGCGTGGTGGAGGCCCCCGAAATTAATTATAGCAATGATGCTATCACTATCAAAGGTTAATTTGCTAGGCCTTTATTTAATAGATTTGTTTGATATACACTGCTCAAAAAAATAAAGGGAACACGAGCAGAAGACATCCGAGATCTGAATGAATGAAATAGCCGTATTAAATACTTTGTTCGTTACATACAGTAGTTTTGTGTTCCCTTTAGTTGTTTGAGCAGTGTATAAACTACTGTATGTAAAGAACAAAGTATTTAATAAGGCTATTTCATTCATTCAGATCTCGGATGTCTTCTGCTTGTGTTCCCTTTAATTTTTCGAGCAGTATATTTGACTCCCAAGTATGTGATTATTGGGTGGAATTTTCCATAAGAGGATGGGGGGAAAAGACTATATATTCAAAGTGTAAGGGTTCCCATCTCATCCAAACAAGTCTGGTCAGCTCTCAAAAGGTTTATGAACAATAAAAAGCAAGTGAAAATCCAAAATACAAACTTTTTTTAACATTTGCATTTTTTGCAGCATCCTTCAACCTCATGTTAATATTGTTATCATTGTATATTTGATTTGTAGGGCCTCCCGTCTCATCTAAGCAGCTCTTAAGAAGTAAAAAAAAATTAAAAAACAAGTTAAAAAGTAACCAACATATAGAAACTATGCACAATCAATTTAAAAACTAAAAACATCACAATCAGCATCAGAATCCTCAAAACAAATTCTTTTAAGAGCACCCTGCCACTACCAACAAGTCACCTGGCAGGGTGGCAAAACAGGGGTTTCCTAAACGCAGGGTCAATTGAAGATTTAGGAGGGATAATGCCTGAGGCAGCAACCATTCAAAATGGTGCATTATGCCATGACAATTTTTGAATCAAGGCACCGCTAACTTAAAAAATGTATTAAAAATCCGGGACTAATTATTTCTGTGAAATTGAAATTTCCAGGATGTTTGGATCAGTTTTATTCACAAAATTATGGCCATAATAGTATCCCCCCAGTCACATGACATGATAGTAGTATTCTAGTATTTGAGGGAGTCAGTATGGAAAGAAGAGGGGGTCAAATTATTCTACAAAGCACTAGTGGGCAGGACAAATAACGATGGTTGGAAACTAATCAAAGAGAGAAGCAACCTGGAATTAAGGAGAAACTTCCTATCAGTGAGGACAATTAACCAGTGGAACAGCTTGCCTTCAGAAATTGTGGGCGCTCCATCACTGGAGGTTTTTCAGAAGAGACTGGACAGTCACTTACCTGAAATAGTATAGGTTCTCCTACTTGAGAAGGGGGCTGGACCAGAAGACCTCCAAGGTCCCTTCCAGCTCTATTCTATTCTCTCTGCCAGTTTCCCACAACCAAAGTCAGTGGGGAAGCTGGCAGGAAGTCAGAAGTCACTCTCTGCTTTTCGGCCTGCCTGTGCTCATTCGGTTTATTTGTTTAGGTAGGTAAATATCGACTTACTACTGAATTTTGTTTGCTGATACAGATAGTCCTCAACTTACAACAGTTCATTTACTGACCTTTTAAAGTTATAATGGCACTGAAAAAAGTGACTTATGACTGTTTTTCACACGATTGTTGCAGCATCCCCATGATCATGTGATCAAAATTCAGACGCTTGGCAACTGACACATATTTATGACGACTGCAGTGTCCTGGGGTCATGTGATCCCTTTTGCGGCCTTTTGACAAGCAAAGTCAATGGGGAAGCCAGATTCACTTAACAACTGTGTTAGTAACTTAACAACTTCAGAGATTCACTTAACAACTGTTGCAAGAAATGTTGCAAAACGGGGCAAAACTCACTTAACAACTGTCTCGCTTAGCAGCAGGAATTTGGAGCTCAGTTCGGATCGTAAATTGAGGACTACCTGTACAATTTTTCTATTTATAATATATAATCTCCTTAGGTGATGACAGCACCATCCAGCATTGCGATAAAAAAAAATACTGTCAGCCAAATTATGCCACGTGGAAAGAGAAGACGAAAGTCATGGTCAAGAGGTGACCACCAATGTCGTCAGGATGCAGCAAGGTGGAGACGAGAACAAGAATCGGATGAGGCTAGAGCAGCTCGACTCCAGGATCAGAGACTCAGGACAAAGAAAAAGAGGGAAAAAGAGACAGAGGAGGAGAGGCATGTGCGGCTTCAGAATGACAAGGAAAGGCAGAGAAGGAGGAGAAAGAAAGAGACAGAGGAGGAGAGGCATGTCCGCCTCCAGGATCAGAGAGAAAGAACCAAGAGAAGAAGGTTCAAAGAAACAGAGGAGGATAAGGCTGCCCGTCTCCAGAAAGACAGAGAAAGGCACAGAATGAGGAGGCAAGCAGAGAGAGAGAAGGAAAGGGAAGATCAACTTGAGAATATTTGGCAAAGAGAAATTAGTGCAAGAGTTGCAGAACAGGACGCCTGCCTTCGACAACAAAGCCTCCTCAGAGAAAGAACAAAGCAAAACGCACGACCCGTATGGTGTAATATTTCTTCCGAGGTTGGTGCGATGACCAAAATCTGGCCTCATTGTGGTGCCTGACTAACTACCTTTCTTTCAAAGGATGGCCCCAACGATGAGTCACAGGGCTGTCTGGTTTATTCTGTCACTATCAAATACATCCGTTTGCTGGAGTTTAATTTAATAGATTTGTCTGAAAATATTTGACCTTGGGTGTGTGAGAGTGCTGGGCAGCATTTTTCATCAGAGGATGATATACACGTAGACCTTGCTTACCAACTGCCTCATGCAATGACTCATAACTTTGTGACCAAAGCTTGCATCTATGGCCTTTCCACCATCCCTCAGTCACATCATTGCGATGATGATGATCAGTGGTGAAATCTAAAATTCGTTACTACCATTTCTGTGGGCGTGGCTTGGGGGAGAGGTAATGTGACTGGGTGGGCGTGGCCAATTTATTTTTTTTACTTTTAAAACCATTTTTTCTACAACCTTTTTGGCGAAGAAGTTGTAAAAAAATGATTTCAAAAGGCTCTGACGATCCCAGCTGAGTTGCCTGATCGGCAGAGGCTTTTTAAAAAACTCAGCTGGTATCGGCAGAAGCATTTAAAAGAAAAAAAGGGGTTTTTTCTTTTAAATGCCTCTGACGATCCAAGCTGAGCCGCACAATCATCAGAGGCTTTTTTTTTTTTACTTTTAAAAGCATTTTTTCGGCCGAAGAGGTTGTAGAAAAAATGCTTTTAAAAGTAAAAAAAAAAAGCCTCTGATGATTGTGTGGCTCAGCTGGACATGGGGGCGGGGCATGGCGTGGCAGGGAGTTTTGCTACGGGTTCTCCGAACCACCTGCCTCCATCATTACCAGATCGGGCGATCCGGTCCGAACCAGGAGCATTTCACCCCTGATGATGATGATGATTACTTGATTTATAGGTCCCTTATCTCATCTAAGAAACTGGGCAGCTCAGTACAGGTAGAAACAATAACGAACAAGTTAAAAAGCAGTATGAAAACATGGAAACTGTCTATAATCAATTTTTTTTTTAAATCACATTCAGAAACATAATTCACTCTACAGTAGGTCAATATAGCCCCTTTAAGAGCTCCACACCATTGCCAGATCTAGACCTGATGGGAAGCCATGTCTTCAGGGCCTTCGAAAGGCCAAGGGAGACAATGGAAGATAACCACAAAAAGTTATGACTGGAAAAATAACTGGCTTTGTGACTTAATTCTCACATTTATGACCGTTGCAGCGTTCTGCGCTCACATAATGATCATTTGTCCTCTTACCAACCAGCTTGTGACATGCAGTCAATGGAGAAACTAGCAGTAAAATTGTAACTTGTGGGCATGTGATATTATGTTTTAGCATCCATGCCACTTCAGTTAATGATTGAAGGGGAAATGACATAACTCTTAACATGGTCATGTGATTTTTCATTTAGTGCCTAGCAACATTTTTCAATCCCAATTGTGGTTGCTAAGCAAGGACTACTTGTATATCTATCTCTACAGAAAATAATTTGATTTAATAATTTAGATGCAACTGCCATCTAAATAAGAGTAGGGCGGAATGACCAGGCCCTAAACCAGGGGTGAAATCCAGCAGGTTCTGACAGGTTCTGGAGAACCGGTAGCAGAAATTTTGAGCAGTTTGGAAAACTGGCAAATACCACCTCTGGCTGGCCCCAGAGTGGGATGGGAATGGAGATTTTGCAATATCCTTCCCTCAGGAGTGGGGAGGGAATGGGGATTTTGCAGTATCCTTCCCCTGGAGTGGGGTGGGAATGGAGATTTTGTAGTATCCTTCCCCTGCCATGCCCACCAAGCCACGCCCACCAAGTCACGGCCACAGAACTGGTAGTAAAAATTTTTTGATTTCACCACTGCCCTAAACTGAATCACTAATCAAATAAAGAGTTTTTTATACCCCTTTGAAAGGTCAGAATTTCCCAGAGACAAGGGAGCTCATTCTAGGCTCAGAGGACCTTGTACGTAAAGGCCAAAACCCTGAACAAGAGTGGCTCTGAGGATTGTGAGGACACAGAAAAACCAAGGGACACCAGAAAGGGACTGGGAGGCCCAAAGAACCTGTGGCTTCAACTCTTAATTTATTATTCTATTCCAGTTATATTATGGAGCTACCAAAGCATCATCTAAGAATCTTAACAGCAGCAAATTGTCTTAATCATAAGAAAAGAATATTTTGCAAATCTTAAAGATGAATGCTATAAATACAGAAAAAGGTCTTTTGATTCCTTTTATGTTGCATTATCGTTATTACTACTTGTTTTTCCTTTCTGTAGCTGCAGGGAGACGCAACTACGGAGGAACAGAAGGGTGTGGTGGTATGCAAAGAAAAAGAGGGAACTGACAACGGGAGAAGAGGTCCTTTCATTGTCCAAGTCAGGACCATCAGGGACTTTTTGACTGAGGATGGCCCATCGCACCTTAAGATGGAGTCAGAGGATGAAATACACCAGTGCTGGGACTCTCAAAGGCAGGAACTCTTGAAAAGAGCAGCAAGGTTTCCCGCAGCACCATCTCTTTTGGAAGAAGATGACAAAGATTTCCTGGCCTCCTTGGAGAGAGTCAAGGAGGATCTGCAGGAGGAGAGCTCTGGGAAGACCAGAGGGGAGGCTGTACCCCAAAGAGACCCGAACATCAGTGGGAAAGCTTGGATGGGTAGGGAAAAGCTGGATTTCTGCATGAAGGTGAAAATGGAAGAGGAAGTTGATCTGGAGAGCCAGGGGGCCCTACACCTCAGGCAGTTCATCCTTCAGGATGCTGAGGAGGTATTCAGCCCCCAAAAGCTTTAAAAGGAGGGAAAATGTGGGTGGGGGGTTGGGGAGAGATGGTAAGGAGTTATTATAAAGATACTTTTTCATAATTGTCGTAACTGTGAATGGTTGCTAAATGCAAACTACAGTCACTGTTTCGCTGACCTTATTGCCAGCCCCAATTGTGGTCTATCTATACTCTTTCATTTCAAGTAGTAGTATAATATTACTCTGCCTAATTTTGTACTTATATAAAACAACAAATTCTCAGGTTAGGAAGGTGTTTGGAACTGGAATTTCTCTTTGTCCCCTTTGTTCAGTGCCATCGTAACTTTGAAAAATTGCTGAATGAGTGCTGTAATGTGAGGACAGCAATACTTGTAAACCAAATTTTCATACATTGAATTTCTATTCAATCTTTTTTTCCCCCTATTTACACTACTTGCAAATACTGTACCCAACCACACATGGTATTAAACCAAGGCTTTAAAATATTCCTATGTTACAAATTCTAAAAATGATATCCAAAGATTTAAAAAGTAATAATTTATTTCAATTTATTTTTAACAGAAAAATGCATTAGACTTAATGACATCTTTGCAATAGAATGTACAAAATGTTGTTAAAAATATCTACTTCAGGGAGGATAATAGAAATTGAGTCTGGAAGGCTGAAGTAAAGTTGCAAGCATAGTTGCAGTCATGTCAACTACCATGATATTCATCTACTAATCATTTCACTTAATGATATGATCCTTGAATAGAACGAGGATTGGTTATAATCCCAAAGGTCCTTTTTCAAGAGGCAGCTGGACTTTCTGGTTTTTATTTGAAGACAGCCAAGCTTCTTGGATGAGAAGCAAAACGTCTTCAAAGAAAAACTAGAAAGTCCAGTTGCCTCTTGAAGAAAAAGGACATTTGGGACAACCATTTGGGCCAAAGGGTATAATTCTTTTAAATTTTTAAATTTTGTATTGGATGTTTTTTACCTGGCTGTGCACCACCCTGAGTCCACTAGGAGAAGGGTGGTATACAAATTTAAATAAATAAATAAATAAATAAATAAATAAATAAATAAATAAATAAATAAATAAATAAATAAATACATACATACATACATACATACATACATACATACATACATACCATGGCCTGGATGACTAAGAATCTCCATAGACATTGGTTATAATCAGCAGACCAAAAAAGGCTTGTAGGAGGCAGCTGCGCAGGATTTGCTCCTAGTGATTATTAGAGCCAGGAAATGTTTGGTATTTTTAATAGAATTTTTATTAAAACTTTTAGATTAGAAGAAAAAATCTGATAGAAAGTGAGGAATAAAAAGGAAAAAGAAGTAAAAGAAAAAATGTGATAAATGAAACATTTTTGAAGAAAAATAGAAAGAAAAATGATATAAAGAAGTATCTTCTGATATTTTTCACAGCAGTCCACAATCATCCCCAGTGCACAATTGTGGTTCAGACCAGTGGTGAAATCCAAATTTTTTTACCACCAGTTCTTTGGGCATGGCTTGGTGGGCGTGGCAGGGGAAGGATACTGCAAAATTTCCATTGCCACCCCACTCTGGGGCCAGCCAGAGGTGGCATTTGTCGGTTCTCTGAACTACTCAAAATTTCCACTACTGGTTCTCCGAACTGCTCAAAATTTCCATTACCGGTTCTCCAGAACCTGTCAGAACCTGCTGGATTTCACCCCTGGTTCAGACCCTGACTTACTTTGTTCCATACTATTAAGACTGTCTATCCATTTTAAAACATTCAGAGAGCTAAAATGGAATAACCATTGACAATGATCCTAAAGGTACTTTTTCAAGAGGCAACTGGACTTTCTGGTTTTTCTTTGAAGACGTTTCGCTTCTCATTCAAGAATATTCTTCAGCTCAGAGCTGAAGAAGCTTCTTGGATGAGAAGCGAAATGTCTTTCAAAGAATAACAAGGAAGCCCAATTGCTGCTTGAAAAAGCATGTTGGGGACAACCATGACCTGGATGACTGAGAATCTCCATAGACTGACATTTTGAGACCTTTCTAGCCTGGTTTTATCCAGGTTAGAACTGTATAAAGCCCGCTTTTCTAACCAACATCTCTGGTGAAGTAGGGAAGATTTTTTTTGGTTCTATCTCGCCCAAATTGGTTTCAGTTTATTCATCTTGGAGGGAATAGAAAACATGCCTGGTGGGTGTTTTCTGCAGGACTTCTTTGAGTTGAATCAAATTTGCTTTTGCTTTTTCAGGCACCCCAAGCCCTAGAGGACACGAAGCTAAAATCTCCCAAATTAGAAGAAGAGGCCTTTGAGATTGTGAAGGTGAAACTTCCCTGAAGATAAATCAAGAGAATGATGGGGAGGCCGACTCACTAGGTGAGGATTCAGAATCATTGCAAACATTCATGGAGTGTTTGAGCCAAGATAGTTCTCTCTTTTTGAAACCCAGGGAAGTGCCAGCATCTTGTGGGAAGATCTGAAGAAGTAGATGTTTGGAATACTCCAATGAAAAGAGTCAATAAATTATTTTTCTTGTTTTCTGGGATTTTAAAGAAAGCCATAAATCCAACAGGGGCACACAGGTACTCAGGAAATAAAGCCAACAAATCTTTCCTTACTGAAGAATGTGATCAAAACTAAAATGAAGTCAATTTTCAGTGTGGGGAAAAAGATCAAAATTAAGAGGAGCTGGAGATGGTGTGCAGCCATCAGTGTTCCAAAATACTCTTAACATGTCGATGTTAAAGCATAAGCTGAATAAATGCTTACACTTTTATAAAATTAATAGCCCTCCATTATTCAACAGGGGAGCATTCCCTCAAGAATATATATATATATAGCTGCTCAGAACATGGGATGTTTCAGTTGGAAAACAAACCTCATGAAGAAGATCCATAGAAGCACAGAAGCCATATAAAAGCCACAAAGGTTTCAATGCAAAATTTGATTAAACATAAGAAGTCCTGCACAGGAGAGAAGTTCTAAAAATGCACCGAATGTGGAAGAGCTTTTGTGGAAAAGGAGGTTCTGGTCAAACACCTGAGGATTCATATGGGAGAAAAGCCACATAAATGTTCCAGCAGCAGAAAATGTTTATTGGGCAGGATGCCCTCATCCAACGCAACAGGATCCATACAGGAGAGAAGCTGTAATGAATCCTCAAGTTTGAGACAAGTTTCTGGATCAGCTGCCCCCTTAACTTCTTAAAAGGACAGACACAGGTGAGAAACAACAAGTGTTTGGAAAGCTTCAGTGGGGGAATGTTACTGGTGAAACATGAGAGGATCCACATGAGTGCAAAAATCTTACCAAGTGCTCCAAGTGTGGGCAAAGCTTTTGAACCAGTTTCTAGTTGAAAACACACAAAAGGACACGCAGGTGAAAAGTTGCATCAGTGCTTACACTGCGGGCAGACTTTTAGTTAAGAGGTCAAAACTCATGATCCATATGTGGGCCATACTGGAGAGATTCCGTATCCTGAGGTGTTGGAAAAGCTTTGTGTCTAGCACATTTAGGAAGCATACCCAAGCTAGAAATCCCATAAGTGCTCAAGCTGTGGGAAAAGCATCAGTAAGAAATCCAACTTGGTGGCCCACGAGCGGATTCATACCAAAGAGAAACCACACGGCTGCTCCTTGTATAAAAAAGATTCTGTATTTCTTCCATGTTTCATAAACCCCTGAAAATCCACCCAGGAGGGCCATCCTTAGAGGGCAGGATTGGTGTTCAGACCTAACATGCAGTCTTAGAGATTGTGGAAAATATCCAGGGATGATACTAGCACTGGAGTGAAACAGCAGGCGTCACAAAGGACGTTGGTAGCTTTTAAAAATATTGACACATTACAGTGTTATAAAGAAGTACTTGTTTCACACTGGAATTCTTTGTTCAATCTCTCGGATCGCAGGCAGGTTAGAAATGACCTTTTTCTGAAATTTTGGTAGAGGTAGGCCTCGACTTATGACCACAACTGAGCCCAAAATTTATGTTGCTAAGTGAAACATTTGTTAAGTGAGTTTTGCCCCCATTTTACGACCTTTCTTGTTAAGTGAATCATTACAGTGGTTCAGTTAGTAACATTGTTATTAAGTGAATCTGGCTTCCCCATTGACTTAACTTTTCAGAAGGTCACAAAAGCGTGATCACCTGATCCTGGGACACTGCAACCGTCATAAATATGAACCAGTTGCCAAGCATCTGAATTTTAATCATATGACCAAGGGGACTCTGCAACGGTCATAAGTGTGAAAAATGGACATAAATCACTTTTTTCAGGGCCATTATAACTGAACAGTCACTAAAGGAACAGTTGTAACTCGAGGACTAGTTGAGACGGACACGACTAAATAGATCAGGGGATCAATATCTATAAGAGATGTTACTCTGTGTAATATCAGGCACAACCTTCCTGAATACGTTTGTGGTGCATTCCTGAATATATTTGTCCTCTGTAGAGGATTTGGGAGAGGAACTGTAGCCTAACAGCAAAACTTATTCAGTAGGGAATCTTTGGGTGGCAAAAAGCGATTTTTTTTTTTCTAAAAGTGCCCTCATAGGCATTTGAGCTCTGGTGATGTAGTGGTTAGCATGCAGTATTGCAGGCTAACTCTGTCCACAGTCTGGAGTTCATTCCTGACGGACTCAGGGTTGACTCAGCCTTCCATCCTTCTGAGGTTGGTAAAATGACCCAGTTTCTCCATATTGGGAGAAATATGCTGACATTGTAAACCGGTCAGAGAGTGCTGAAAAGTGCCATGGGGCGGTATATAAGTCTAATTGCTATTGCTATAGGCCCACACCCATTCCTCTCCTTCACCATTTTATCGAGGCCTGCTCCTACTACACATTATCCGTCCTGTGATTAGATGAGACTGTACGGTTGTGACTTTTTTTGACTACACCCTGTTTTCCGTGAAAAAAGTTAGCAGTCCTAATATGCTTAAAAGTTTCTAAAATGAAACTAAGGTTTGTTCTAAGAGCAAAACTTGTTAAACTTGTAAAAATGTTGGAAACAGACCTATAACCACAATGTAGTGCTGGAAATATATTTTACTGTTTTGCTGCATTGAGTTTATAGGAAAAAGAATGTACATTGTAGAAATAAAATTATCGTTACTGCTGTTCAAGAAATGCACACTCTCATTCTCTTCCCCCCTCAGTTCTGTTCTTTTTTCTTCCTCAAACAATCCTCCAGATCCCTTATTAAGCCTCAATCTGCAAATGTTCACCAGATGCCTTGGTAGTACAGTGGTCTAAAGCACTCTGTTATTAAGACCAGCTGCCTGCAATTACTGCAGGTTTGAATCTCGCCAGGCTCAAGGTTGACTCAGCCTTCCATCCTTTCTAAGGTAGGTAAATTGAGGATCCAGTTGTGGGGGCAATAAGCTGACTTTGTATAAATATACAAAAGGATGAAGGCTATTGCTTAGCGCATTGTAAGCCGTCCTGAGTCTCCGGAGAAGGGTGGCATATAAATCAAATTGAAAAAAAAAAAAAAAGATGAAAGCTCAGGCGGATTTTGGCTGGATTGAGAAGCTAACCATTGGTTTAGAATTGGGATGAGAGACCACTGGGAAACCCTTTAGAAGAATCAAACCAGGGAAACCAGTAACCATTTACCTTCCTTTCTATTGTCAAGGAAGCAAGGTAGACTTATCTTGTAGTAAACAAACAAAAATTGACGGGTTTTTGTAAAAGTTGATCCATAAATAAGTAGACTGGCCTATATGTAGGGGAAAGAGTGGCAGAATCTGGGGGCGGAGTTAAAAGAGGGAATCAACTTAGAATCACTATGTAGCCACAACCAAACTAAGTGTCCAACCATCCTTGAATTCTGTTGACCCTTATGTAACTCCTACCGTGTCCTAACCATTAGTTTAAAATACTCCTGTGCACAGGCACTAGCAATAAATCAGTTTAATTTGATTCATTTGACTTCCTGTGTCTTTCGCACCTGACACCTTCAGCAGCCAGGCATCTCTGGATATCAGCTGGTAGGGATGGATTTCTCATAACACACACTCATATCCCTCCAGAAACAAAAACTCCCACGCTTAACCTGTGCAAATGCAGCCTGAGCTTTGCTCAGTAAAGCTGTAAGATGAGGCCAGTGATCCTGTGCTTAGCAACCAGGAAAAGTGACATCATAACTGTCACGGTCATGTGAGTTTACTGCTTAGCGACTGTGATGCTTTAACAAACTGATTTCCAGGCTCAAAAAATGGATTTTATATCCTTTTGAGAAGCTAGATTTCCTCAGAGACAAAAAGAACTCATTCCGTGCTCGTAGGACCTTGTTTGTAAAGGCCCCAAACCTGCAGGCTCCAGTTGTATTACTAGTTCAATTTTTATTCGGAAGCTATAAAAAGTTGGAAGCCCTAGGCAGGTAAGCGACAGCTTCCAGGTGGGGGAGAGACTGAGGGGATATGTGCCAGTGTGGGGGAGATGCCAGGTGGGCTGGGGACAGTGGTGAAATTAATTTTTTTACTACCAGTTCTGTGGGTGTGGCTTGGTGGGTGTGGTGTGGCTTGGTGGGCATGGCAGGGGAAGGATACTGCAAAATCTCCATTCCTACCCACTCCAGGGGAAGGATATTGCAAAACCTTCATTCCCTCCCCACTCCTGAGGGAAGGATATTGCAAAATCTCCATTCCCACCCCACTCTGGGGCCAGCCAGAGGTGGTATTTGCCAGTTCTCCGAACTACTAAAAATTTCCACTACAGGTTCTCCAGAACCTGTCAGAACCTGCTGAATTTTACCCCTGGTTGGAGAGCATACAGGTGTACGAGCTTGGGTGCGAGGGTGCAAAGGAGGGCAGCAAAGGTCGGGGAAAATGTACAACAGTGTGGGGAAGTTGCATGTGAAATACCACCTGGATTGGGAAGGGTGCATGGGATTGTGAGTGGGTATAAGGATGCAAGGGAAGGTGGCAATGGTCAGGAAGGGTGCACGGGTATGCAAGTGGGTTTGTGAGATGAGTGAATCCAGAGAAGGGCAACGAAAATGGTGTAAGGTCTGAAGGACAAAACGTATCAGAAGAGATTGGAGGAACTGAATATGTATTGCCAGGAGGGAAAGAGGTGGCATGATTGAAACTTTTAAATTTATTTAAAGGTGTGAATAAGGTTCTAGACGGCTGTATTTGTAATATTAAGCAAAAATCAAGAACATGGGCATAAAAAAGGTGATTAAGGGGCTGAAGCAGTGGTGGATTGTCCCCGGTTTGGACTGGTTCGCAAGAACCGGTAGTAAAACCGGCGGGAGGCCCCACCCACCATCCCGGATGTCGTCATCAGCAATCTGCGCATGCGCAGAAGTTGCGAACCGGTAGTAAAGGTAAGTAGAACCCACCCCTGGACTGAAGGCTAAGCATACGAGGATCAGTTGCAGGAATTGGGCATGTCTAGTATAATAAAAAGAAGGACTAGGGGTGACATGACAGCAATATGCCAATACCTAAGGGGTTGCCGCAAAGAAGAGGGGGGTCCAGCTATTCTCCAAAGCACCTTGAAGGCAGGACAAGAAGCAATGGATGGATACTAATCAAGGAGAAAACCAAAGTAGAACTCGGGAGAATTTTCCTAACCATGAGAATAATTAACCAGGGAAACAACTTACCTTCAGAAGTTATGGTTACTCCAAGACTGAAGGTTTTTAAGTAGAAACTGGACAGCCACTTGTAACGGTAAAATAGTACCGTTTGTTTGAAATGGTATAGGGCCGTGATGGCAAACCTATGGCACGCGTGGGCACGCGAGCATTACTCTAGCTCAGCTCCAGCATGCATGTCCATGCCGGCCAGCTGATTTTTGGGCCTTCCGGTCCCACCGGAAGTCGGGAAACGGGCTGTTTCCAACCTCCGAAGGGCCTCCGGGGGGATGGGGAAGGCTGTTTTTGCCCTCCCCAGGCTCAAATAAAGCCTTTGGAGCCTCAGGAGGGTGAAAAACGGGCCTACCGGGGCCCACCATGCCAAAAGCGGAGGGAGTGGGGGGGTGTCATGCATGCATTGAATTATGGGTGTGGGCACGCGCACACATGACCCCCCTGTGCTCCCCCCACTTTTGGCACACGACGGCAAAAAGGTTAGTCATCACTGGTATAGGGTTTCCTGCTTGAGCAATGGGTTGGGTTAGAAGACTTCCAAGGTCCCTTCCAACTCTGTTATTCTGTTAATTCTGTTAACCTCAAACTGTCAGGAGGGAAGTTCAAAAGTAATGTTCACATTACCTCACAGAAAAAGTAACGGAAGCTTGAAACCAATTTCCAGTGGAGGTAGTGGATCAATCATCAGTAACAGAGTTTAAATGTGCTTGGGATAAACACATGTCCATCATCAATAAAAAAAATTAAAAATAAAATAAAAAATAAATAAAATTAATTAATAAATTAATTATTGTAAAAAGAAAACAAAAATTCAGAAGGCAGAGTTGATGGACCACTAATTTTTTTTTTGCCTGCCACCAGTTTTCTTGGGTTTCTATGTTTAATGGTTGGGATGATATGCAAGGATACGTGAATGATAGATAAGTAAATTTATTTACAGGTAGTCCTTGACTTACAACAGTTCATTTAGTGACCATTCAAAGGTACAACAGCACAGAAAAAAGTGACTTATGACCATTTTTCACACTTAATATGTTGCAGCATCCTACTGTCACTTGGTCAAAAATTTGGATGCTTGGCAACTGATATTTATGACTGTTGCAGTTTCCCGGAGGTCATGTGATCTCCTTTTGTGACCTTCTGACAAGCAAAGTCAATGTTGGAAGCCAAATTCACTTAACAATCATGTTACTAACTTTACAACTGCAATGATTCACTTATCAACTGTGGCAAGAAAGGTCATAAAATGGGGCAAAATTCATTTTACAAATGTAAAGATAACAACATAAATTTTGGGCTCAATTATGGTTGTAAGTCGAGGACTCTTTGTTTTTGTTTTTGTTTTATTTCTACAGCCACCCATCTCAACAAATGACTGTTGTTCATATCTCTGAAAAGATGACCCAATGAATCTTGGCTTGTCTAGTATACTATTCAAACTCTCATTGAGATTATTGGTTGGTCTGTTTGTACTCCCAAGTTAGACCAATCAGTGCACCCAGAGGGGGTATTCAGCTGGTTCGCACTGATTCACCCGAACTGGTAGTGGAAATCGTGGGTGGGCCTGCCCACCCGCCCCGACTCTATGCCATCCTATTTAGGCATGTTTTTGAGGCCGGGTGCATGCGCAGAGGGCGTGCATGCCAGCAAATCGTATGCATGGAAGGCCGGGCTCGTGCGTGGACGCTTCCACATGCTCACATTTGTGAACCGGTAGGGAAAGTAAATGAATAGCAACCCTGAGTGCACCATGCGGTTCTGGTGTGCGTTCCACATATTTTTCAAGTGAAAAACCACCTCAAAATATTTTAATTACATCGACCTGCTGTAATTTGTGCCCTTCTACTCTCTAGGAGCACTGTTTGGCTCAGGGCAAAAACAAAAAAACAAAAAAAAACCCAATTTAACCCTTATCTTGATGAATACCATCAAGCGTTTCTTTTATACTAGCGGAGGACAATTAGCCCCTGCAGCTGTAAAACTTTGTGGAGCCAAAACATTGGCCTCAAATTATGGGGAGAGACAAAAACTGAAGTCTATTTGAAAAAGGAGCCACAGGAAACAGTGTAAATAAAAATCCTGCAATAAATTCTAGCTGCACCCCAATGAGGATCAAATGCCAAGTTAAGACTTGAAACAGGAATGCTTTCGATTCAATTTAGGGCCTGGAAGATGATGATAACTTCCCAGTTGGACTGACCCCTCCAGTTCTAACAGATATCTTTTTCTCACCCTAGAAATGGGCAATAGAACAATGGGTAGAGAAATTGATGGAGTTAGCAGACATGGCTAAATTAACTGCTTTAATTAAAGAAAATACTATATAACAGTTTTGTATCTACTTGGTAACTGCTTCCAGATGTTGTGCTTTAAGAGAAAAAATACATAAAGTCTGACTTTGGGATTTACTGATTAGATACATTTGTTGTAATAGAAACAGCTAGTAAATACTAAGTATGTAAAAGTAAAAAAATTCAGGTTGAATTTTATTATTTTTATTCTACGTTGGAAGTTAGTGCTTTGTTTTCTTCTTCTTTCCCCTTACCCTCCTCTTTCCTTCCTTATTTTCCTTCCCCATTTCCCTATTATCGGTTGCTTTCATTTGTATGTTATATTATGGTAATTGCAATTAAAATTATATGTTTAAAAATTTAAAAAGTTGGAAGAGTATAAGCTGGCTTCATACAAGTTCTCTCTACTATTTCCAATATCATTAGGTTACAACCAAGCTAAGCAAATTGTTACTCAAAGAATAAGACATAAGGACTTCCAGATTGGAATTTACAGGCTCCCCTAACAGGTTAGAATTTAGATAAATGGAGACTTATTTGCTAAATATAACTTTCCTTAAGATGAGAATCACAATCTCTAAAGCTAAATTTAAATTCTTCCATCGGTACTTCTTTAAGGCAGGTATAGTAAAATCCTTGTAGCTGTTAGTATTTGCCCATGTGCTGATGAAGAAATTAAACCAGTTCACACATGTTATTACACTCTAAAATTTATAGAAACATTAAGTCAATCTACATTTTTCACCAATAGATAAATTCCCTGGGAGGCCAGATAAATATTATCCAAACCGTCTCCAAGATCTAAAATCACTTATTACGTGTGCTAAATTTTGTATTGCTGCAAAGACATACTTGGTTAAAGACGTGATTACTTCTGTTTTAAATATTACTTTTCATTTCATACATCTTAACGAACACATTGTTACTGTCAGGTGCAATAAATCAGAAAGCAAGGTGGTTCAAATGACTATAAGTTTATGCATGCTGATGCAGTCTACAAAAATCTGAACTACTAAGGGTCAAAGCAAATTGGCAGTAGATAAAAATTAATGGAATTTAATGTGAATTGGTTCTGTGTCACTTATTCTGCTGATTGTTAGTATATTATTGTATCTCAACTTGCAACAGAGCCCAACATTTATGTTGCTAAGTCAGAAATTTCTTAAGTGAGTTTTGCGACTTTTATTGCCATATTTGTTAAGTGAATCACTGCAGTTATTAAATTAGTAACACGATTGTTAAGTGAATCTGGTTTCCCCATTGACTGTGCTTGTCAGAAGGTCGCAAAAGGTGACCCTGGGACACTGCAATCGTCATTAATGTGAGTCGGTTGTCAAGCATCGGAATGTAAATCACAAGACCATGGGCATGCTACAATGGTCATAAGTGTGAAAAATGGTCATAAGTCTCTTTTTTCAGTGCTGTTGTAACTTCAAACGGTCACTAAGCGAACTGTCGCATGTCAAAGACTATCTTGTATTTGCTTCACTCTGGTTTTGTTCTTTTAAATTTTTTTAGTCAGTGATCAAATAAATATTATTGATTAATTTGATCAAATTGTGCATTATATCACTTCTTGTTTCCACTGCTCATTTGCCTGCCAGTGTCATTCTGTTTATCCGTTTAGATAAGTAAATGTTGATTTACAATTTAAGTTCATTTGCCACTACAATTATTTTCCTGTTTACGATTGATAGTCTTCGTAGATAATTACAGGACCATCCAACCTTGTGATAAAAAAAATTGTCAGCCTCATTATGCCTCGTGGAAAGAAAGGACGAACGTCATGGACAAGAGATGACCACAAGCGCCGTCGGGATACGGCAAGGAGGAGGAGAGAACAAGAAACAGAGAAGGAAAGGGCTGCACGTCTCCAGAAAGACAGAGAAAGGCACAGAATAAGGAGGCAAGCAGAGAGAGAGAAGGAAAAGGAAGATCAACTTGAGAATATGTGGCATAGAACAATTAGTGCTAGAGTTGCTGAACACCGCAACGCCCACCTTCAACAACAAGACCTCAACAGAGAAAGAACAACACAGCAAAATGCACGACTGACACGACTTAATATTTCTGCTAAGGTTAGTGAGGTGGTCCAAGGAGGCTCTTAATGGGATGTCTGACTGCACTACCTTTCTCTCAAATGATGACACTATGGGTCACAGGGTTGTGTAGTTTGTTCTATCAAATATAACAATTTGCTAGGCTTTTATTTAATATATTTGTTTGAAATATTCGACTCAGCTATGTGATCATCGGGCAGCATTTTCCGATGCTTTTCAGAGGCTGATATACAAGTAGGCCTTGGGGCTTGGAGGGCTTGGAGCAGCCACACCCATGGCTTCAACTGACCTCAGCTCCCCATTCATTCCTTCATTCCTTCATTCATTCCAGCACGGAATTATCTTTATTCTAAAGAGAGAATATTTTGCAAATCTTGAAGTACAGTTAGTCCTATAGGAGACGACTACAGGCTGGGCTCGAGGGACGTGTCATCAGTTATGAGTCCCTGCGTGCCCGCAAGAGATCTAAGTCCAGCCGACCTTGAATGCCTTTCTTAATTCCCACTAATTTCTCTTGACCATTAGTAGCTCAGATTCTTGTAGAAAGCTTAAGTTTACAATAAATCTTTATTGCATTGTCTGAATTTCCCGATTTCTCCAGCACTTGGCAACTCCTCGAGTTACGACTGTTGTACCTCAGAACAGTAATAAATCAGGACACTCATGCGTCCGACCTGATTTCATGACCTTTTTGTGGTGATTAACTGAACCGATGGTATGCTGTGGGCCAGTTTTGCCAAAAAAACCAGCAGATAATGCTGGTTTTCAGCAATCTCTCATAAAACATGTAAATGTGGCCCATTTGCCAAGCACCTGAGGTAAAATTATATGAACATGCAGTGGATGGCCATTGGAACTTTGAATCCATATCATAAATACCTCCAAGGAGCTCCATTGTAACTTTGGATGTTAATTGAGGGACTGATCATAAGTGAAGAACTACCTATGATGAATATTAGAGATGCAGAAGAGATATTTTTCCACATTGTGTGGTCCTCATTACTATTTTCTTCTTCCTTTTCTTTTTCCCTCTTGGAATTGCAGGGAGGAGCAACTATGGTGGAAGAGAAGCTTGTGGTTCCCAAAGAAGAAGAGGGAAGTGAGAATTGTTGGCAAGAACCTCTCATTGTCCAAGTCTGGACTATCAGGGACTATTTGACCAATCCATCTCATGTTAAGCTGGAGTCGGAGGAAGAAATGCACCAATATTCGAACTCTCAATGGCAGGAATTCCTGAAAAATGTGGCAGCAGCTCGTCCATTGGAGGAAGATGCCAAGGACTTCCAGTTCCCCTTGGGGAGAGTCAAAGAGGAACCTCAGAAGGACAGCTCTGAGGAGGCCAGAAGGAAGGCTGTGCTCCAATGTGATCCAAACATCAGTGGGAAAGCCTGGACGGGCAGGGAAAAGCTGGATTACTGTGTGAAGGTGAAGATGGAAGAGCCTCTGGAGATGGTTGATCTCGAGAGCCAATGACTCTAGTACCTTGGGCAGTTCGGCCTTAAGGATGCTGAGGAGCATCAGGAGGTATCCACCAACCCTCAAAGGCTGAAAAAGGGAGGAAACTGTATTTTTGTGAAGGGTAGAATATGAGGGTGTTGCAAAAAGCCACAAAAATTACTAGCCTGTGAAAAGTGTTACAAGTAGCGGTCACTAGTTACTGGCCACACCATTGGCAAGAGTCATAATTTGTGTTCCAGTTTTGGTCCCTCTGAAAAGTATTTCAATTAACATAATACAGGTAGTCCTCAACTTACGACCACAATTGAGCCCAAAATGTATGTTAAGCTAAGTGAGAAGTTTGTTAAGTGAGTTTTCCCTCATTTTATGATTTTTCTTACCATGTTTGTTAAGTGAATCACTGCAGTTAAAATTAGTAACATGGTTGTTAAGTGAATCTGGCTTCCCCACTGACTCTGCTTGTCAGAAGGCTGCAAAGGGGGATTACATGACCCCCAGATACTGCCACTGTCATAAATATGAACCAGTTGCCAAGTATTTGAATGTAAACCATGTGACTATGGAGATGTTGCAGCGGTCATAAATGTGAAAAATGGTCATAAGTCGCATTTTTCAGTGCCATTGTAACTTTGAACGGTCTCTAAACAAACTGGTCTAAATCAGGAACTACTTGTAGTCTCACAATATAAGATGCTGGGATTTGAGATAATCAAATTGTGAGGGAGTTGTCTGTGGTGATCAGACAGCTGCCCAAAGGAGAATATTTAGAAAGGTAGAGTAGAATGTTAAAATTTTCAGATATTCTGTTTAGGTTAGTATTGTCTGATGAAGGAAAAATGAATAAAGAAGGCAATCCTGGCCTTATATAAATATAAGAATATAAAATATTTTGAGTGAGGTAGAGAGGTCTATTTGTCAATTGCTTCAATAAAGGCATGGCTGCAGAAGTTTTTGTAGAAGCAAAGCTTCCCTCTTCTTTTTATTTATTTATGTCCCAACAACTCAGGGTAATAAACACACACAATAATCCATCCTCTTTCTATTTTCTCCAGAACAACAGCCCAGTACAGGTAGTCCTCAATTTACAACCATAATTGAACCCAAATTTTATGTTGTTAAGTGAGAAATTTGTTAAGTAAGGTTTGCCCCATTTTACAACATTTCTTGCCACAGTTGTTAAGTGAATCACTGCAGTTGATTAGTTAGTAACCCGGTTAAGTGAATCTGGCTTCCCCATTGACTTGCTTGTCAGAAGGTCGCAAAAGGGGATCACATGACCCTCGGACGCTGCAACCGTCATAAGTATGAACCAGTAGCCAAGCATCTGGATTTTGATCACAATGATCATGGGGATGCTGCAAAAGTAACTGTGAAAACAGTAATAGGTCATTTTTTTCAATGCCATTGTAACTTTGAATGGTCACTAAATGAACTGTTGTAAGTTGAGGACTATCTATATGGTGGGTTAGGGTGAGAGAGGGAGTGACAGGCCCAAAGTTACCCAGCTGACTATCCTGACTAAGGTGGACTAGAACTGACTGTCTCCTGGATACCTGACTCGTGCCTTCATCACTAGACCAAACTTACTTTCTCCATACATTAAGTCAGGGGTGGGCAACTATGGCCCTTTTATGACTTGTGGACTTCAACTCTCAGAATTCTTGAGCCAGCCATGTTAGCTCAGGAATTCTGGGAATTGAAGTCCACAAGTCATAAAAGGGCCATAGTTGCCCACCTCTGCATTAAGTCATTTTATCCATTTTTAAATATTTCAGATAAGTGAAAACGGGGAGACCATTTCTAACTATAACCTGAGATACTTCAGTTGTAATGATATTATCCCCCAATCTCCTTTTCTAACCAGCTTCTCTGGTGAAGTAGGGAAGTGTCTTTTGGTCCCATCTTCCTCAACTAGTTTGACTCTTACTTATCTGGGAGGGATTGTCAGAGGCTTTAAAAAAAACAAAAAAAGAAATCCTCTGCCGATCAGGCAAGTCAGCTGGGATTGTCAGAGGCTTTAAAAGCATTTTTTTTACAACCTCTTCAGCTGAAGAGGTTGTAGAAAAAATGGTTTTAAAAGTAAAAGTAAAAAAAAAAAAAAGCTGGCCACGCCCACTCAGTCATATTACCCCCACCACCAAGCCACGCCCACAGAACCGGTAGTAACAAATTTTACATTTCACCACTGTGGCAGCCCCTCAAATACTGGAATACTGCTATCATGTCCCCCCTAGTCCTTCTTTTCTCTAGACTAGCCAAAACCAAATCCTACAACCGTTGTTCATATGTTTTAGTCTCCAGGCCTTTAATCAACTTAGTTGCTCAACATCTGGATGCAGTATTCCAGAAGTGGTCTTACTGAGGCTTTATAAAGCGGCACTAATACTTCAAGTGATTTTGATTCTATGCCTCTGTTTATACAACCAAGGATTGTATTAGCTTTTTTGGTTGCTGCCGCACACTACTGGCTCGTATTTCAGTGATCATCCACTAGGACTCCAAGGTCCCTCTCACATTTACTGTTTTGAGCCAGATTTATCCTAATCTGTATTTAGATTTTTCCTGCCCAGGTCTAAAACCTTGCTTTTTTCCATTTTAAATTTCATTTGGTTGGATAGGGCTTATTTTTCAAGTCTGTCAATATCTTTTTGAATCCTGAGTTTGTCTTCTGGAGTGTTGGCTATTCCTGCCAGCTTAGTGTCATCTTCAAATTTGCTGAGTTCCCCTTCTATTCCATCATCTAAGGCATTTATGAAGATATTGAAGAGTACTGGGCCTAAGACAGAATCTTGTGTTACCCCACTGCTTACTTCCCTCCATGTAGATGTAGTACCATTAAGGACTACTTGTTGAGTATGGTTTCTCAGCCAGTTACAAATCCATCTGGTGGCGATGCTGCCTATCCCATCTTTTTCTAGCTTACCAAGGTTGTCTACTTTGTCAAACGTGGACCACATCAAAGCAACTTTGGACAGCGCTAAAATGGTAAAAACCAAAAACAGGTAAAAACCAAGATTGCTGTTGTTAGTTGCGAAGTCGTGTCCGACCCATCGTGACCCCATGGACAATGTTCCTCCAGGCCTTCCTGTCCTCTACCATCCTCTGGAGTCCATTTAAACTCATGCCTACTGCTTCAGTGACTCCATCCAGCCACCTCATTCTCTGCCGTCCCCTTCTTCTTTTGCCCTCAATCTTTCCCAGCATTAGGCTCTTCTCCAGTGAGTCCTTCCTTCTCATTAGGTGGCCAAAGTATTTGAGTTTCATCTTCAGGATCTGGCCTTCTAAAGAGCAAGTCAGGGTTGATCTCCTCTAGGACTGACTGGTTTGATCGCCTTGCAGTCCAAGGGACTCATAGGAGTCTTCTCAAGCACCATAGTTCAAAGGCCTCAATTCTCAGCCTCAACCAAGATACAGACATACAAAAACTATCCATAGTCAATTAAAAATAAAATCACATTCAGCAACATAATCCTCAATACAGCCCCTGTAAGATCTCCCCACCATTGCTAGATTCCCAGGCAGGGTGACAAAGCTGGGGATTCAGCACCTTCATAATGGCCAAAAAAGTCTGGACCAATTGAAGGGGGGTGGGAAGAAATAATACCTTGGGCAGGGGCCATTCAAAGTTGTAACAGTGGGGGGGGAACAGCTTGTGGTAAATGCTTGCATTTATGACTGTCACAGCACCCCACAGTCATGTCATTGTCCCCAAACCAGGGAAAAAAAAGCCTGTGGTAAATGCTTGAATTTATGACCGTCACAGCACCCTACAGTCATCTAATTGTCCCCAATATGGCCATTGGAGAAGGTGGCAATAAAAGTGTGACAATTATGTGATTTTCCTCTTTGCAACCAAGGGGAAGTGAAGTCCTAACTCTGTCACAGTTTTGTGATTTTTCTGCCTAGCGCATACTGGCCCAGTTTCTGATTATTATTTTTTTAAGGACATGGTCTGAACAGGAAAAACAAAACAAAATGCATGAATTACAAGGTGTACTGTGATTTTTCTCCTGAGATTGGTGCAATGGCCAAAATATACCCTCACTGTCATGCCTGACGGTACTGCCTTTCTCTCAAAGGGCGACCCAGTGGGTCACAGAGTTATCTGGTTTATTCTATCTTGGCAAAATATGTCAATTTGCTAGTGTTTTATTTAATAGATATGTTTGAAATTTTTAACTCTGGCTAGGACTACCCTTATACAGGTAGTCTTTGACTAACAACGGTTCATTTATTGACCATTTAAAGTTACAATGGCACTGAAAAAAGTGACTTACGACTGTTTTTTTTTTAAATTTGATTTATATGCCGCCCTTCTCCAGAGACTCAGGGCGGCTTTCAATGCATTAAGCAATAGCCTTCATACTTTTGTATATTTATACAAAGTCAGCTTATAAAACTGTGGAAGTCAGTTTTTCCACAGTTACAACCATTGCAGGCATCCTCATGCTCACAATTCAGATGCTTGACAGCTGGTTCATATTTATGACCGTTGCTGTGCCCTGGGGTCAGGTGATCAGCTTTTGCGACCTTCTGAGAAGCGAAGTCGATGAGGAATCCAGATTCACTTAACAACCGTGTTACTAACTTAACAAATGCAATGAGTCACTTAACAACCATGGCAAGAAAGGTCGTAAAATGGAGCAAATTCACTTAACAAATGTCTCCAGAAGTGGTATTCAGCAGGTTCTGACCAGTTCTGGAGAACCAGTAGCGTAAATTTTGAGTAGTTTGGAAAACCGGTAAATACCACCTCTGACTGGCCCCGCCCCCATCTATTCTCTGCCTCCCGAGTCCCAGCTGATCAGAAAGAAATGGGGATTTTGCAGTAACCTTCCCCACTGCAGGGGAAGGAATGGAGATTTTACAGTATCCTTCCCCTGCCACGCCCAAGCCATGCCTACCAAGCCATGCTACGCCCACCAAGCCACACCCACCAAACTGGTAGTAAAAAAATTTGAATCCCACCGTTTATCAAACATAAATTTTGGGCTCAATTGTGGCTGTCACTCGAGGACTACCCATACAATCTTTCTATCTTATTATCATTCCCTGTACGAAATAGGGTCTTCACTTGAAACTGTCAGCTAAGCAGAGGAATGACCAGGCCCTGAATCTCCAATGGAAGAAAGAGATTTTTATGACCTTATGAGAGGTCAGATTTCTCGAGGGACAAAAGGAGCACATTCCAGGTTCACAGCACTTTGTACATAAAAGGCCCCAAACTTAAGCAGAGCCCAACCTTGAGCAAGGGGATGGGGGGGAGGGGAAGCCTCCAGGATTGTGGGGAGAGAGAAAGGCCGAGGGACACTGGAAGGACACTGGGAGAATTAAAGCACTAGCATTCATGGCTTTAACTGAGTTAAGGCTCCCCCGTATTTATTCAGATATACATACATCATCATTAAGTGTTGTACCTTATGATTCTTGATGAATGTATCTTTTCTTTTATGTACACTGAGAGTGTATGCACCAAGACAAATTCCTTGTGTGTCCAGTCACATTTGGCCAGTAAAGAATTCTATTCTATTCTGTTCTATTCTATTCTACATACCTGCAGGGAACTAACACCTATTCAAGGTGTTGGTTATTACCTTTAAAGCCCTACATGGCTCAGGGCCAGGGTATCTTCGAGACCGCCTTCTACCGCATAACTCCCAATGACCGGTAAGATCCCACAGAGTTGGTCTCCTCCGGGTCCCATCAGCTAAACAATGCCGGCTGGCGGGCCTGCAGGGGAGGGCCTTCTCTGTGACTGCCCCAGCTCTCTGAAACCAGTTACCTCCTGAGGTCCGGACCATCCCCACCCTATTGACCTTCCGAAAAGCAGTGAAGACCTGGCTTTTCCAGCAGGTCTGGGGCCGTTGATCTTGCTCTTGCGATCCGGCGAGATCCGGCCATGAATGGTGTGAATGAGTTTTAATGTTTTTAATTTTTAAATGTTTTTTATAATGATTTTAAATGCATTGTGAGCTGCCCTGAGTCTTTGGAGAGGGGCGGCATACAAATTGAATGAATGAATGAATGAATGGATGAATGGATGAATGAATGAATGAATGAATGAATGAATGAATGAATGAATAAATAAATAAATAAATAAATAAATAAATAAATAAATAAATAAATAAATAAATAAATATCTTTGTCAGGGTGTCAGTGTCAGGGCATTTATTAATCCCATGTGGCTCTGGGACTAATTACCCTGGTTTAATTAGAGGAGATGAATCGAGGCTTCTCCTTGTTTGCAATATTCTGAAAAAGAAACGCGAAGAAAAGTTTCTAATAAAACTCATTTATTTCTTATAAAGAAAATAAAACACCTCACTAACTAAGAAAAATAAATTGTTACATTTTGGCAAGCGAGATCTCCTGCCGGTCCAGCCGGACCTCTGGCAAGAGAACAAAGGAAAAAGTGGTGAAGAAGAAAGTGAAGGAATGTGGGTGGATACGGAAACACGTAGCTTACTGATAAGAAGTTGGCAAGCTACGGAGAGTCTGACAGTCCAGAAATGATGAGTTCAGCTGGCAAATAAAATAACGCAGTGACAATTCAGTGGTCAGATTCAAGTAATTTAACAACTGGTTCTCTGCCCTAATGATTTCTTCCAACAATCAGTTTGCCAAACTGCTCAGAAAGTTAACAACCGGTTCTCCCAAAGTGGTGAGAACTGGCTGAATCCCACCACTGTCTTTAATCCAAGAGAATATTTTGCAAAGAGACTTTGCAAAGAATGAATACTAGAAATTCAGAAGGGAGTCTGTCTATTCCTTCCATATTGTGTGGCCCCATTAATTCTTTCTTTTTCTTTCTGGAATTGCAGGGAGGATCAACTTTGTTACACTTTTCTGGGAGGAGGCTCTGTGGTATCTGAAGCAGAATATCCAGATTCAGTCACAGTTTTGTTCCATACACCAGCTTCCTCTTTCTGCTATGCATTCAAGATGGACAGTGATTAATATTTATACATATATGTTAGGATATAGGTGCATACATACATATGTATAGAGTATGTCTATATGTACGTTGTATACACTTTTGACAGCAGGCAACAGAATTTCATTTTTAATGTGGGCCAGTGTGCCCACAGGAAAAAAAATGACAATAAAGGTCAGCTTATATCTTATCTAGGACCAGGGGAGACATGATAGCAGTGTTCTAGTATTTGAGGGGCTGCCACAGAGAGGAAGGGGTCAAGCTATTTTCCAAGGCACTTGAAGGCCAGACTAGGAATAATGGACGGAAACTGATCAAGGAGAGATTCAACTTAGAAATAAGGAGAAATTTTATGACAGTGAGAACAATCAACCAATGGAACAGCTTGCCTTTGGAAGTTGTGGGAGCTTCATCACTGGAGGCTTTCAAAAAGAGATTGGACTGCCATTTATCAGAAATGGAGTAGGGTCTCCTGCTTGGGCAGGGGGTTAGACTAGATGACCTACAAGGTCCCTTCCAACTCTGCTAATCTGTTAACCTCTTCTCTTCTCTTCTCTTCTCTTCTCTTCTCTTCTCTTCTCTTCTCTTCTCTTCTCTTCTTTTCTCTTCTTCTCTTTTGTCTTGTCTTGTCTTGTCTTGTCATCTCTTATCTTTTATCTTCTCTTATTTTTGGAGGAAGAGAAATTTCTGGTAATCAAAAAAAAAAAAAAAGAAGAAGGAACTGAGAATGAGGAAAGAAACCTCCTCATTGAAGTCAGAACCATCAGGGACTATTTTCCTGGAGATGGTCCATCCCACATTAAAATGGAGTCATGGAGAAAATCCATCAACTTGAAAAGGGTGGCAGGGCTTCCTGCTGCACTGCCTCTACTGGAGGACAATGCCAAAGGTTTCTAGGTCTCCTAGGGGAGAAGGCAAGGAGGAATTACAAGAGGAGAGTTCTAGAGAGGCCAGAGGGAAATCCGTGCTCCAAAGAAATCCAAACATCAGTGGAAAAGTTTTGACGGGCAGGGAAACGCTGGATTTCTGCATGAAAGTGAAAATGAAAATAGACTCTAGAGCAGTGGTGGGATTCAAATAATTTAACAACTGGTTCTCTGCCCTAATGATCTCTTCCAAAAACCAGTTCACCAAACTGTTCAGAAAGTTAACAACCGGTTCTCCCGAACTGGTGCGAACTGGCTGAATCCCAACACTGCTCTAGAGGAAGTTGATGCCATGGCTGCCATTTTGCCAGCTTCCCAATGCATCTTGCCAGCCTGACATCTGTAACGGGGGGGGGGGAGGGAGGAGCTAAGCCGTGCCAACTGAAAGTGAGTGCACCAATCTAAGCCAACAAAAGAATATGAAGAAGGAGTAGGCGTGAACCCGAGGTCGGTTAACCAAACAACCGAGAGACTGCTAATTGGACAGTGACTGATAAAGTGGGGATGGCCATGGGGAAAAAAAAGTTAAGATTCTGTTAAGTTAAGATGCCAGATTCTATTTTGCTACTTCTGTAACTATTTTAACTTGCAGTAAAGTATAGTTTTGGAAAGAAATAGCGCAGGAATCTTGCTTTAGTAAGATAAGTGGGACAGATGACAATTATCTGGAGAGCCAGCCAAGGGCTTTTGCATCTCAGGCAATTCGACTCCGAGGATGTCGAGAAGCACCAGGAGGTATCCAGCCCCACAACTGAAAAAGGAGGAAAGGAGGTGGGAGACAACATGAAGGCATTGGAAAAAGCCACAAACATTATGGTACTAGCCTGTGAAAAGTGTTGCAACTAACTGTAACTAGTTGCTAACCAGCTGTACAGTTGCAGGAATCAGTCCCTGTGAAAAATATACCGTATAGATACTAGGATTTTTTTTTTGTATTTGTATTTATATATATATATTATGTTTGTATTATTTGTATTCAAAATAAAAAAAAATATTTTTTAAAAAAAGATACTAAGGTTCTCGTAATTACTAAAACCTGGAGATTGTGAAGAATTCTACTCTATTTGTTTATAAGGTAATCAGACAGCGGCCTAAAGGAGGATATTTAGAAAGGCACTTAACAACCATGTTACTCATTCAACAACTGCACTCACTTAACAACCATGTCAAGAAAGGTCGTAAAATGGGGCAAACCTCACTTAACAATTGTCTCACTTAGCAACATACATTTTGGACTGAATAGTGGTCGTAAGCTGAAGACTACCTGTACATTGTGGTAAACCCTGAAAAGTGAATTTGACAATTTCTATAGGTATAGGTAGTCCTCGACTTACAACAGTTCATTTATGCTTAACGCATTGTAAGCCGCCCTAAGTCTCCGGAGAAGGGCGGCATATAAATCAAATTAAAAAACAAAAAAACAAAAAAAACCCAGTTCATTTAGTAACTGAAGTTACTGAAAAAAGTGACTTATGACCATTTTTTACACTAATGATAATGGCAGCATCCCCATGGTCACGTGATTTACATTTGGATGCTTGACAACTGGTTTATATTTATGACAGTTGCAGTGTCCCAGGGTCATGTGATCCTCTTTTGTGACCTTCTGACAAGCAAAGAGAATGGGAAAGCCAGTTTCACTTAACAACCGTGTTACTGATTTAACAACTTCAGTGATTCACTTAACAAACAGGGCAAGAAAAGTCATAAAATGGGGCAAAGCTCACTTCACAAATTTCTCACTTAACAACATAAATTTTGGGCTCAATTGCGGTCGTATGTGGAGGACTACCTGTAGTCTGCCCTCAAGGAAAAAGCATCCACAAAAGAGACCTAATACATGATGGACCGACAACATCAGCAAATATTGCTGGCTCAATTTGCAAAAGAAAGCTCAGGAAGAAGCCTTCATCCTGCATTGGATGTTGTTGTTGTTAGTCGTGAAGTTGTGTCCGACCCATTGCAACCCCATGGACAACATTCCTCCAGGCCTTTCTGTCCTCTACCATCCATTTCAGCTCACTTCGACTGCTTCAGTGACTCCTCATTCTCTGCCGTCCCCCTCTTCTTTTGCCCTCAATCTTTCCCAGCATTAGGCTCTTCTCCAGTGAGTCCTTTCTTCTCATTAGGTGGCCAAAGTATTTGAGTTTCATCTTCAGGATCTGGCCTTGTAAAGAGCAGTCAGGGTTGATCTCCTCTAGGACTGACCGGTTTGATCACCTTGCAGTCCAAGGCAGTGGTGAAATGTAAAATTTATTACTATCGGTTCTGTGGGCGTGGCTTGGTGGGGGGGGTAATGAGACTGGGTGGGTGTGACCAACTTTTTTTTTTTTACTTTTAAAAGCATTTTTTTGGCCGAAGAGGTTGCAGGAAAAAATGCTTTTAAAACTTAAAAAAACAGCCTCTGATGATTGTGCGGTTCAGCTGAGCATGGGGAGGGGCAGGGATTTTTGCTACTAGTTCTCTGAACCACTCCCCGCCATCGCTACTTGATCAGGCGATCCGGTCCAAACTGGAAGCATTTCACCCCTGATCCAAGGGACTCGCAGGAGACTTCTCCAGCACCATAGTTCAAAGGCCTCAATTCTTTGGCGCTCAGCCTTCCTTATGGTCCAACTTTCACAGCCATACATTGCAACCGGGAAAACCATAGCCTTGACTATACACACTTTTGTTGGCAGGGTGATATCTCTGCTTTTTAGAATGCTGTCTAGATTTGCCAGAGCTTTCCTCCCCGGGAGCAAAAGTCTTTTAATTTCTTGGCTGCAGTCCCCATCTGCAGTGATCTTGTGCCCAAGAAAATAAAAATCTGTCACTACATGAAATATTGATGATGATGATGATGATGATGATGATGATGATGATGATGATGATGATGATGAGTCGGTCCTTAAATAGGCAGGATGTCAGGTAGGTAGGACAGGGCCCTTCAGGAGCCAGCCGTCTCTCTGTCGCTAGCAAGCGATGGATGATCCCCAGTTTAACCTGTGCAAAGGCAACCTGAGCTCCGCCTCCATGAGACGCCCTGGCCTCTCCCCCCTCCCGTCCGGAGATGGGCGGCGAGGCTGCAGCCCCATCGGGAAAGGGAGGGAGGCGTGTGGCCGGCAGATCCGGGCGAGGAGGAGCGCAGGCCGCGAGGAGAGGGGCGGCTCTTCCCGCGGCAGAGGGTAGCTTCTTGGAAGGAAGGAAAAACAGGCGGGCTCGGGGATTCCCGGGGAAGAAGGTAGGGCCCCCTCCGGATCCGGCAGCCGCTGGAGCAGCCGGAGGTGGGGATCTCGTTTTGTTTTGTCTACCCCCTCCCCCAACACACACACACACACACACACACACACGTGCATGGCAGCCCAGAGGCTTTGCCCTGCAGGTGCGGTTCAAGAGGCATTTTTGCACTTATTTTCGGGGGGGGGGGCGGCGGCGAGGGGGGGAAATCCCTCCTGGATCTGAGATCTCGGGTTCTTATCCCGTCTGCCTGGTTGCTTTGATCCGGTTGTGGCTTTTGAACGAGGCAGTTCTAGTCTTCTGGCGATTGTCTTGTCTTGTCTCTGGCCCTTTTCACCAATCCAATTTGGGGAGCTGCCTTCGGGGCAAAGTGGGGGGGATGCTGGAGTGGCAGCAGCAGCGGCAGCAGCCCTGTGTTGGTTGGTGGCTGAGACAAGCCACGGGGACCTTTGTTGTCCTAGAGGTGTCCCTTTCCCCCCCCCCCCTTCCCCATTGATTAAAACAATCATTCAATCCCTGTCAAATATATCAATTTGCCAGATTTTTATTTAGGGCCTGACTCTTGGGCAGAGTTTCCCACGTCGTGCCTCCTTTACTGACTGCCTCATGCAGTGACCATTCTGAAAAAAAAAAAAACCCACCATCCCTCTTGTCGTTTATACCATCTTTGCAGCATTCCCTCGGGCACATATTTGCTATTAAATATATTCGATTTGCAGCCCCTCCGTTTCATTTATTTTATTTATTTCTTGGTTCGATTTGTCCATCCATAATTGTTTTAAAAACAAAACCAAAAAAAAAAAAATTACGGCCGGCTGCAGAATGTGCCAGACAGCCCCCATCTATGCCCGACCTCCAGGGAAGGGTGGAAGACCAAAGGATTCAAGACTTTCCTAAATGCCCAGAGAGAGTCAGGACCAATTGAAGGTCTGGGTAGAAGGGTTTGGAGATAAAACGCCTGGGGGCAGCCCCCATTCAAAGTTAGGACCACGGCAAACCAGTTTTGTGACCCGTCTTGCATTTTTGTCCCTAATCCTCGCATTTACGAGATGTTATCACTTGGCATCCCACAATCATATAATGGCCCCTTCTGTCTTTTTCAAACCAGCCAGCAACAAGCTGGCAGTCAAATGTGATCTTGCGCTTAGCAACCTGCCACTTCTCTTTAACAATTGAAAGGAAGTGACATCATAACTCTGTCAAGGTCATGTGGTTGGGTTTTTTTTTTTCCTGCTTAGTGCCCCCCCCCCGCCCCCGATGCTTAGCAACTGAGTTTCCAGGCCGAACTGTGGTTGCTAAGCAAGGACTCCTTGCATATCGACAGTATATCTTTCTCAGCATGAAATAATTTAACTGGGCCGTTCACTTGCAGCTAAGCGAGAATAGGATGGGATGGCCAGGCGTTAAGCTAAAACTGCTGATCAAAGAAAGGGGTGTTTATACCCCTTTGAAAGGCCAGTTTTCCCCAGACGAGAAAAAAAAGAGTTTATTTTAGGCTCAGAGGATATAAAAAGCTTGCAGAGTCCAAACCTGAGCAAGGGAGGCCAGAGGAGGACTGTGGGGAAAGAGAAAAGCCAAGTGACATTAGAGGAGGACTGGGATAATTGAAGCACCAGCCTCCATGGCTTCAACTGAGCCTAGGCTCCATGTTATTTATTTATACATACAGCAGGGAATCGTTATTCTAATGAGAAAATATTTTGCAAGTTTTAAAGGAAGTGATGAATGTTAGAGACATAGAAGAAAATCCTTTTATTCCTGGCACATTGTGTGGCCCTCATTAATATTTCCTTCTTCCTTCCCTTTTTCCTCCTGGAACTGCAGGAAGGAACAACGATGGCGGAACAGAGGGTTGTGGTACCCAAAGAAGCAGGAACTGAGAATGAGGGTAGAGACCCTCTCATTGTTCAGGTCAAGACCACGGGGGACTGCTTGACCAGCAACGGCCCATCCTATATTAATCTGCAGTCCCAGGAGGAAATCCACCAATGCTGGGACTTCCATTTGCAGAAATTCCTGAAAAGTGTGGCAGTGCTTCCCGCAACACTGCCTCCCTTGGAGGAAAATGCCACAGAATCGCAGGCCTCCACGGGGAGAGACAAGGAGAATCCGCAGCAAGAGATTTCTGGGTGGTCCAGAGGGGAATCCGTGCTCCAAAGAGATCCGAACATCAGTGCAAAAGCTTGGACGGGCAGGGAAAAGCTGGATTTCTGCATGAAGGTGAAGGTGAAAGAGACTTTGAAGGAAGTTGACCTCGGGAGCCAGTGGCCCCTGCAGCTCAGGCAGTTCGGTCCTCAGGATGCTGAGCAGCACCAGGAGGTATCCAATCCTCAAAGGCTGAAAAAGAGGGAAAGGTGGGACGGGGGTAGGTGAGAAATATGTGGGGGTTGCAAAAAGCCATCCAAATTACTAACCTGTGAAATGTGTTCCTAGCCCTCTGAAGTAGCAGAATTCAGAGTCTGTGTGTCAGTTTTGGTTTCAAGATCCTGTATGAAAACAAGGTGATTAGGATAATAGTCTCAGAGCATAAAATACTGGGATTGTTTTTTAAGGAGATTGTGGAGGGTTCTATTCATCTATGGGAATTGGACAATTGCCCAAAGGAGAATATTATGTAGCAGATGATTTTGGAATGGATCCATAGGATGACAAAGAAGGATGGTGGGGTTTTCAGATGTTCCCATTTGGTAGTATTGCCTGAGAACAAAAAATAAATAAATGCAACTTTACCTTTGCTATTAGAGTATAAAACTGTTTTGGATGACCTATTTATTTGTTAAATTTATTCGTTGTCTCATTTGCTACTCTAGATGGCTTACAACAGTAAAAACAGAAAGATGAAGTGTAAACATAACAGTAGCAAAATAACAATAAAACAAACAACGAAATAAACCATGAAAACACAGTAATATGAGATTAAAAGATGGACAAGGGGAAGCAGAGAATGCAGAGGGAGAGAGTGGGGTTTGCTGTCAATCTAGTAGCCATCTCCCCAGGCCAATTGGCACAGCCAGGCCTCCAGGCCCTTGGGTAAGGATAGAAGGGTGTTTATAGCCTTTGTCAATTGCTTCAGATAAAGACTTTCCTGCAGAAGCCTTTAACTAAAAGCTCTCCCTTAGCAATCCAAAGCATATTCCTCAACCTGTGCTTTCCAGATGTTCTCATTTTCCTCACCCTGCAGTAAATTAAAATGTGCCAGTTTGGCAAAGGCTAGAATTTTAAGAATTCCAGCTTGGGAACTCTTGATTACCATAACCGTCCTGAATCACTGGGACTTAGGTGGCTTATAAATTTAATAAATTAGTATGTGATTGATCACATAATCAGCTGTTTAGACTGGATCTGGCATTTTTGTCCACCTGTCGAGACCTTCCAAGGACCTGGGATAAACATGTAGTTTGGTATTCCAGGTACTAAAACTATGGGATAAAACTGCGGGATATAAGCTGTTCCAAGTAAAGTTGCCTTCTACAATCGATGGGAATTTTGTCAGTGCTAATGGTGTTTTAAGTGGTGTTCCAGTTGTTTTGGCATTGCACCCATAGCACCTATTATTACTTGCTACTTTGCCATGCTGTTGTTTTAAGTCAATGCTATCTTCTTGTAGCAGCTATTAGGTAGTCCACGGTTTCTTCAGTTTTGCTTTTCTGTTACTGTTTTCTCAGTTTTGGCTTTCCATGCATTTGTTCTTAAGGCTTGGTTTTGTGATGCCAGAATTAGCCCCTCTGTTTCTTTGTTCAACTTTCCATATCTTAGCCATTATCAGATCTACTGTTATTTGCTTTGCTAATTTTTTATGTACCGGCCTCTTTTCCCTTCTTCATTTGGTCTTTCTTATAAGTGAGTTTGATCTGTCCGGTAATCAATAAGCCTTCAGGGCTTGCCGGCTTCAGTACATCTTCTTCAGTGTTCTTCAGGTATTCTTCCAATACCCTTTCTTCTTCTTCAAGTGTCTGGTCTACTTGCAACATTCCATGGCCACCTATGATCCTTGATAATGTCAACATTGCTGCGTGGATGAAGGTCATGATTCATTGTCCTTATTTTTCTGATCTTCCTATCCACGGCTTTTACTTCAGCTTGAGTCCAGTCCGGTATTCCAGCTGTGTATCTAATGACTGGAATTACCCAGGTGGTAATTGCCTTGATGGTACTTCTTCACTTTAGTGATGTGTCCATTTCTAACCTTCTGCTTGACTTCATTGTGTTGGATGTTGTGAGCTTGAAGGATATCCAGGTATTTGGATACCAGGTTCAAGGTTGACTCATCCTTCCATCCTTCCGAGGTGGGTAAAATGAGGACCCAAATTGTTGGGGGTAAGATGCTGACTCTGTAAACCACTTAGAGAGGGCTGTAAAAGCACTGTAAAGTGGTATATAAGTCTAAGTGCTATTGCTATTTGTAGTGATCTTCTTCATCTAGACTCTTGTTGGGATAGCCTGGCAGATATTTTTGATGTTTGATAGGCATGGCCTGACTTATTCAGTATTCTTGACAAAGTATTGTTGTTCAGAGTATTCTTGACAGAGGAATCAATGCAATGAGAAACACTGCATTGAAAGAGAGAAACACTGCATTGAAAGGAGAAACCGAGGGTGATAGTAAGTCTCCTTGAAAGATTCCTTTCTTGATATTAACCTGTCCCAGTTTATCACCACTGACCAGCAAATGTGTCTTCCATTGTGCCGTTGATCTTTGCACAAAGCTTCTGATGTTTGTACTGACTCCTGTTATTTCTAGGCACTTGAATATCCAATCATGTGACAGGAGTCAAATGCCTCCTTGGAATCAACCCGTCAACATTCAAGATGATCTTCCTTCTCTTGCAGTTTTCCAGAATCATCTTGTCAATTAGGATCTGACGTTTTGTTCCTTTCCTGTTTGGGTGGTTTCCTTTCTGCTCAGATGGAAAGAGTTTGTTTTCAACTACCCTGTTTCCCCCAAAATAAGACATCCCTTGATAATAAGCCCAATTGGGCTTTTGAGCGCATGGCAATAAGGCCAAGTGCTTATTTCAGGGTTCAAAAAAATATAAGACCGGGTCTTATTTTCGGGGAAACACGGGAGATGCTGTGGACTGCATCAGCTATCGTACCAGTTAGCAATTTGACAGTTGTTGGTAAACAGATAATTGGCCTGTAGTTGCCTGGTGCTGCCCTTTTTATTGGATCTTTTATTATTAGGTAGGTTTTACCAGATATTAACCCATCTTCAATTTACAGCTTTGCAGTTTGTTGTTAAATTGTTTAACAAGGAGTGGGTATAGGCCAGTCACATGTTTAAACCAAAACCTCATGCAGTTCATCCTCATCTGGTGCTGACCAATTCTTGATCTTCCTTGCCTTTTCTCTACCATTACTGCTGTTATTAAAAGTTCTTTCATTTCAGCTTCTTTTTTAGTTTTATCCACCTCATCCAACTCCTTTAGCCAAGCTGTGTTTTTGTTATATTTCCCATATCTGCACCCAGAGCTTCACTTTGTCAGCTGTTGACTAATTCACTGCCTCCAGAGGTGGTGGATGCACCAACACGGGAGGTTTTTAAGAAGAGATTGGATAATCTCCCTTCCAACTCTGCTATTCTGTTACTTCTGTCACTTCATTGATGGATTGCTAGAAACATTTTTGGTCTCCTCCTCCTCCTCCTCCTCCTCCTCCGACCATGTTGTAGGAACCCCACCTTTGTCTGGCAACTTCCACAAAGAAAGTCATCGCATTCAGCCATAATATGCTTCAAATGATTGGGTTTAATGAGTTACGCAAACATCCTTTCCTGTTCAGTAACTGCAATCGCTCTCTTAAATAGGAAGCGAAATGGTTGCTAAACAAACATGTGATTAAGAGATGCTGCGAAGATCTCTGGTAGCTCCCATTTCATTCAGATAAACTTTTCTCATGCAGCAATGCCAGCATTACTCTCACTCCAGTGTATGTCGTCAGGCACAGAAACTTGCATACACCGGTGGTAAAATTATTAGTTTTTGTTTATTACTGTTCTATTTGCAAAGGGTCCTCCTTGCTTATAAATCTTTGACTGACTTCTCACAACTAACTCCAGTTTCACAGGCCACAATATAGTGGCTCTTCATCTGGCTGCTAGCTAGGTGAGGAACTGTTTGCAAACACGTCAGTAATAAGCAGTATAAAAATATAACTTTATGGGATCAAATTTCTGCATCTGAAAATTCATTTTGCAACCAATGCATCTATTGAGGCCTTTTGAGGCACCTGTCTCTTAATCACGTGTTCGTTATTACGTATATTAACCTGATCTTAATGTTACTTTGTTTATTTAATTGTTTCTGTGCATTTATATCCCATGCCAAGATGTCTTCAAAGAGAAAGAGCTCCGGTACAACCGAAGGAAGTAAAAAGAAGCAAAGGAAAGTCATCAGCCTCAATTTGAAGATGAAGATCATAAAAGCCTACGAGGCTGGGAAGAAAGTGACTAATATAGCTCAAGAGGAAGGCCTGGCCCACTCCACCATCTCCGCCATTTTGAAGGACAAGGAACGGATCAAAGAGGCCACGAAAGGATCATCGGGAATGACCACGAGCATAATAAGGAAACAAAAACACCTTGTCCACGAAATGGAAAAACTCCTCATCCTCTGGATCGAAGATCAGATACAGAAGAGGCTTCCAGTGAGCCTTTTCCTCATTCAGAATAAAGCACGCAGCATTTTCTCGACGCTGAAAGAACGAGCAGGCGAGGAATGCACCGAAACATTCACGGCCAGCCGTGGCTGGTTTATGCGATTCCAGCTAAGATTTCATTACCAGAAAACACAAAGATTAGGTAAAGCTGACAAAGAAGCTGGCAAACACTTTCCGGATGAACTTGATAATGTTGTAGCAGAAGGGAACTATTTCGCTGAACAGATATTCAGAGTGGACGAAACTGGATTGTATTGGAAAAGAATGCCAGAGCGGACCTACATACACAGAGAAGCCCAAGCAATGCCTGGGTGCAAAGCATTTAAGGATAGAGTAACCTTACTATTGGGTGGAAACGTCGCCGGATTCAAGCTGACGCCATTCCTGATCCTCAAATCAGATCACGCCTGTATGTTCGAAAACATAAGCAAGGACACACTGCCCGTTTATTACCGGTTTGATTGTAAGGCCTGGATGACGCATGTCCTCTTTGAGGATTGGTTTACGAATTGTTTCATACCTCAAGTAAAGGAATATTGTTGGCAAGAGGGAATAACGTTTAAAATTCTGCTGCTCCTAGACAAAGCACCTGGACACCCCCTGCATCTCGACAGTCTCCACCCTAATATAAAGGTAGTTTATCTACCCCAAAATACCACCACTCTCGTACAGCCGGTGGGCCAGGGAGCTATCTCAGCATTCAAGGCCTACTATTTGCATGCAGTGTTTGCCAACGCCTTCGCCGCAGTGGACGACGAAAAGCTAACACTGAGCGAGTTTTGGAAAAGCTACAATATTCTGCATTGTATCGAAAACATTGTAGCAGCTTGGCAGGACGTTAATGTGAAATGCATGCAAGGGTTTTGGAGAAAGTGCTTGAAATGTTTTCCTCTCCTTGTCAATAATTCGGTAGGATTTGACCAAAACCAAAATGTGGACGAAATAAATAAGAAAATTTTGACACTCGCAAATTTCCTTGATTTAGAGGTCGATGCTAAAGAGGTAAAAAAATGGATAGCTTATGCGGAGGGAGAGCTTTCGAACGAAGAGTTAATTGAACTGAAAGAAGAACTGGAAGCCCAAAAGGTGGTGGAAGAAGAGGTAGAGAAAGAAAAAGTAGAAAAAGAAAAAGTAGAAAAAGAAAAAGTAGAAAAAGAAAAAGAAAAAGAGAAAGTTGTCGAAATTCAGCCCAAAACGTTCAGTCTGAAAAGATTGGCTGGTGTTTTTTCGGGTGTTAACAAAGTTTTATCAGAATTGAAACGTATGGATCCAGACGTAGAACGTTTTAGTAAGGTACATTGGGAAATGAGTGAAATCTTAAAATGTTACCGTGAAATATATGAAGGGAAAAAGAAAGAAAGGAATAGTAAAGAAACCAAACAGAGGGACTTCCGGAAGGAAGTTACTCCTTCTCCAGCTCCACTTCCCTTCCTTTCGCCCATCCCGTCTACAGGAATACAACACCAGGAGGATCCACAGCCGTCAACCAGCTATGCCAGCCGATTCGCTCATCCTGAAAACGCAGAAAACTATGAATATTTTCAAGGATTTATATCCAATTTTATGTACGCAGGTACTGTAAAATCCTATTTGTTCCTGTGGTGGTCTTCATTTACCAACTGCCTCATTTAATAATCGCAGTTACAAAGATGATGAAAAAATAGTTTTACCACCAAATCTTGTATTAATGATCTTCATGGATCTGTAAAGCAAAGGAAATCTTTAGGATAAGTACTGTGCTTACCATCCTACTGCAGCTTTTCTTTGCTTCACAGAACTGCAAAGGGCATAAGTACAAGGATTTACTTATAAAATAAGATTACTTTTTCATTAGCATAATAGTGCGAATGGTTGCTAAACGAAGTTGCCACAAAACAAGGACTACAGGTGGTCCTTGACTTATAACCGTTTGTTTAGGGATTGTTTGAAGTTACAAAGGCACTGAAAAAATTGACTTATGACCATTTTTCACACTTACGGCCATTGCAGCAGTCCCCCCCATGGTCACGTGATCAAAATTCAGATGCTTGAGAACTGATTCACATTTATGATGGTTGCAGTGTCCTAGGGTCACGTGATCCCCTTTTGTGACCTTCTGACAAGCAAAGTCAGCGGGAAAGCCAGATTCACTTAACAACTGGATTACTAATTTAACCACTGCAGTGATTCACTTAACATCTGCGGCAAGAAAGGTCGTACAATGGGGCAAAATTCACTTAACAAATGTCTCACTTGGCCACAAATATTTTGGCCTCAATTGTGGTTGTAGGACTATCTCTCCTGTAAGATCATAACCAATGGTGGCGCAGTGGTTCGAATGCAGTACTGCAGGCTACTTCTGCTGACTGCCGGCTGCCAGCAGTTCAGCAGTTCGAATCTCACCAGGCTCAAGGTTGATTCAGCCTTCCCTCCTTCTGAGGTCAGTAAAATGTACCCAGATTGTTGGGAGCAATATGCTGACTCTGTAAACTGCTTAGAGAGGGCTATAAAAGGACTTTGAAGCGGTAAGTGCTTATTGCTATTGCTATAGCCACACTTGCGGCATCACTGACCCAATTATAGTCTACTTGCATTTTTAAAAAATGTGGGTAATGCCAATATTATTACCCCTAATCTTGCACTTAACGTAGAACCTTGATAGTACAGTGGTCTACGCACCCTGTTATTAACACAGCTGCCTGCAATTTACTGCTGGTTCGAATCTCTCCAAGGCTCAAGGTTGACTCAGCCTTCCATCCTTTCTAAGGTAGGTAAATTGAGGACCCAGTTTGTGGGGGCAATAAGCTGACTTTGTATAAATATACAAAAGTATGGAGGCTATTGCTTAACGCATTGTAAGCCGCCCTGAGTCTCCGGAGAAGGGCGGCATATAAATCAAATTAAAAAAACATAAAAATACATGTAGTCCTCCAGTGAAAACGGCAACTGGGAACGTCATTTCCATCACTGAGTGATGCTCTTGTAAAATGTCACGTAACCACATCACTTGCGATGGCAATCCTGGCAACACCGGTGCCATTGTAACCAAGACACTGTGTGGGTCATTCAGAGAGGATTTCATGTGAATGGAGTCGTAGGCAACCAGACCAGACCGTGAGACCTGCAGGTGGGTAGGTGGATGCCATAGGTGGATGCTGGTGAGCAAGGGCAGGTTGGCAGGGGCCAGAGGCAGGTGAGGGGGGGTCTTGAGCGAGCACTATAGAATAGCAATAGCACTTATATACCGCTTCACAGTGCTTTCCAGCCCTCTCTAAGCAGTTTACAGAGTCAGCACATTGCCCCCAACAATCTGGGTCCTCATTTTACCCACCTCGGAAGGATGGAAGGCTGGGTCAACATTGAGCCTGGTGAAATTTGAACTGCCAAATTGCAAGCAGCCGGCAGTCAGCAGAAGTAGCCTGCAGTACTGCATTCTGACCACTGCGCCATCGCTTAGAAGAGCAGCAGGGGTGTCAAACTCACGGGGTGCTTAGATCTGGCCCACAGGGCCGCCCTGGAAACAGCAAAGGACAGGCCTGCGGTACCTCTGCCAGCGAAAATGGAGGCCATCGCAGCTGAAAACGGAGCTCGTGAAGGCTGCGTGCGGCCCTCCAGGGCTCCATTTTCCCTGGCAGAAGGTTGCAGGAGGCCGTCACAGCGGGAAATGGAGCTCAGGAGCTCATTTTCGCTGGCAGAGCGCTTGAGCCGCCAAAAGTGCCCCCGACACAAGTAATGTCGAGCTGGCCATGCCCACTTTGGCCACGCTACATCCCTCCCCCTCCCCCCCGAGGTCAAACAACCCTGATGCAGCCCTCAATGAAATCGAGTTTGACACCCCCGGCTTAGCGGGTAGGATGGCGATGGCCGCTATGAAGTGGGCAGACTGAGGCGGATCTCTATAGAGCAGAGGCTGGTGGGGAGGCGCAATGGAGTACTGGAACCCTGGTCTGCTTTACTCTATACAGGTAGTCCTCAACTTATGACTACAGTGGAGCCCAAAATTTAGCTTGTTAAGTGAGTTTCGCCCCGTTTTATGGCCTTTCTTGCCCCAGTTGTTAAGTGAATCACTGCAGTTGTTAAGTTAGTAACTCGGTTGTTAACCTGGCTTCCTCGTTGACTTTGCATGTCAGAAGGTCACAAAAGTTGATCACATGACCACAGGACACTGCAATCGTCATAAATACAGGTAGTCCTCGACTTATAACAGTTTGTTTCGTGACCGGTTACGAGTTACAATGGCACTGAAAAAAACGACTTATGACCATTTTTCACAGTTACAGCCTTTGCAGCATCCCCAGGGTCATGTGATCCCCTTTTGCGACCTTCTGACAAGAAAAGTCCACGGGGGAGTCCAATTCACAACAACCAGGTTACTAACATAATCCACGGCAGTGATTGACTTAACAACCGAGGGAAGAAAGGTCGTAAAATGGGGTAAAACTCACTTAACAAACATCTCACTTAACAACAGAAACTTTGGGTTCTATTGTGGTCATAAGTCGAGGACTACCTGTATGGGTCAGTTGCCAAGTGTCTAAATTTTGATCACGGGGGATGCTGCGACGCATGAAAAAAAAAATGGCCCGAGGTCCCTTTTTTCAGTGCCGTTGTGACTTTGAACGGTCACTAAATGAACTGTTGTAAGTCGAGACTAGCTGTAGTGGGGTTCCTCAGAAGAAGATTGGCAGGAGCAGCTTACAGGAAAGGCTTGTGAAATTTCCTGCCAACTTCCTCACTGGCTTTGCTTACAGGAAGCCCTTGGGTAAAGTTGTACATGGCATTCACATGATAGCTGCTCCCTGGATCGTCATAATCTGTGCAGATCACGAACTCCTGACTGCACAAACACTGTGACACCTGGAACTTTTGAGTAGAGTTGTAAATCCCCCCTCATTCAGCACCGTCATAAGTTTGAAGGGCGACTTTGAGTTGCCGCTATGCGAGGACTCCCCTTAAACCAAATGTTTATACTCATTGATCTTCTGTTTAACCTTTTTGTTTCTAGTTAGATTATTAGTAAATCTGCATATAGAATGAAACAAAAGCTTTAAAAATATTCCAGCATTTTAAATAGAATGATAATCAAAGATTAAAAAAGATAATCAATTATTGTAGTGTACAGGTAGTCCTCAACTTACAACAGTTTGTTTAGTGACCATTTGAAGTTACAGTGGCACTGAAAAAAGTGACAGGACCATTTTTCGCAGCTATGACCGTTTCAACATCCCCATGATTATATGATCAAAATTCAGATGCTTGGCAGCTGATTCAGATTTATGACCGTTGCAGTGACCCAAGGTCATGTGATCCCCTTTTGCGACCTTCTGACAAGCAAAATTAATTGGGAAGCCAGGTTCACTTAACAACCACGTTTCTAACTTAACTGCAGTGATTCACTTAACAACTGTGGCAAGGAAGTTCGTAAAATGGGGCAAAACTCACAACGAATGTCTCATTTAACAACAGAAATTCTGGGCTCCATTTTGGTTGTAAACTGAGGACTACCTGTATTTTAATCTCAAAGATGTTTATGTTTATGTTTATTGGACTTCTATACCGCCCTTCTCCCGAAGGACTCAGGGCGGTGTACAGCCATATTAAAACACATATAAATTTACAAAATTTAAAAACAATTTAAAATCGAATATATAAAAGTTTGGCCCACAAATTAAAAGCTAACATACACCCATTATAAAATTCATATTAGGCCAGGCCAGCTTGTTGGAACAGAAGGGTCTTCAGGGCGCGGCGAAAGGTACTCAGGTCGGGGATTGTACGAACCTCTAGGGGCAGCTCATTACAGAGGGCTGGTGCCCTCACAGAGAAGGCTCTCCCCCGGGTGTCGCCAGTCGACATTGTTTGGCCGACGGCACCCTGAGGAGCCCCTCTGTGGGAGCGTATTGGCCGGTGGGAGGCTATCGGTGGCAGAAGGCGGTCTCGTATAAAGATATGTATGCATTAAAGAGATCTTGGAAGCAGAATGCATAAAATTTAATTTATATATCAAATATATAAAATTTTGTATATAAAATTTAGATGTTAAGCGAAGTGTTGTTAAAAACGTCCTCTTCAGAAAGGATATCAAAAATTGAACACGAAAGGCTGAATTAAAATTGCAAGCACAGTTAACTGGCATGGCTAAGCTGCTATGATTCTCACCCAGTGACCATTTTGCTTAATGACTTGGTCCTTGGAACAGAATAAGGAGTGGGAGTACTCAGTAAACCACAAAGGTTTTATATGAGGCAGCTGTTCAGAATTTGGGCCTTGGGAGTCCTACAGCCAGGAGAATATTCCAATATTTGAGAGGCTGCCATAAAGAGGAGGGGGTCAATTTATTTTCCAAAGCACCAGAGGGCAAAACAAGAAACAATGGATGGAAACTCATCAAGGAGAGAAGCAACCTGGAATTAAGGAGCAACTTCCTAACAGGGGGAACAATCAACCAAGTGGAACAGTTTTCCTTCAGAAGTTGTGGGTGCTTCATCACTGGAGGTTTTTAAAAAGAGACTGGACAGTCACTTGTTTGAAATGGTATAGGGTCTCCTGCTTGAGCAGGGGGCTGGACTAGAAGACCTCCAAGGTCCCATCCAGCTCTATTCTATCCTAGAGATGTTTCAGTAGGGAAGAGTCTCCATCACTGTGCTTCAGCGTTGCAGCCCATTTTTTTAAATCTACTTTGAGGCCCCAGCTACCTCTCAGTTCAGAATTGTAGCCCCAAAGAATCTGGAGTTGCCAACCATTTGGATAGAGCTCCCTGAAGCTACTTCTATATTTATTTAATGTTATTAGGTGTGGAGGAAGAAAAATATTTTAATTAGGGACAGGCAAATTGCATCTACTCTCAGTCTGACTTAGCATGAGATTTGATTTGGCAATTCAGACTTCAGAATTGGCTCCCAAAAATAAGTTTTGTGCGTTAATTATTGAGAATTGATCCATCTCCCCCAATACATTTTGAGTGCTATGAATCACTGAGGGAATGAGAGCATGCCTGGTGCAGGGATTCTTAAAATTGAATAAACTTTCCTTCCCCACTCCCCCAGGAGCCCCAAAGGATACAGTACAAAAATCTCCCAAATTGGAAGAAGAGACCTTTGAGATACGGAAAGTAAAGATTCCCCTGGACATAAAGCAAGAGATTGATGGAGAGGCCAATTCACCAGGTAAGGATGCAAAGTGTCAATCATTGCAAACATTTCTGGGGTGCTTTGAGCCAATGGGATCCTTTGCTTCCCTTTTGGAAACCAGGGAAGTGCCAGCATCTTGCATAACTAGTTGGTTGGGCGCTCCTTGACATCAGATGGTCCAGCAAACTGAGGAAAGAGACGTTCTCAGTTTCCATTGCAGAATTTTGGATTCCTAAAATTGTTGGTTGAAAAGATTAGGTTGCAGTGAATAGGAAAAGACCTGCTGGAAAACCTAAAAACCTGTCCCAGTTGAGCAATAGCACTAGCACTTAGACTTATACACCGCTTTACAGTGCTTTACAGCCCTCTCTAAGCAGGTTACAGTCAGTATATTCCCCAACAATCTGGGTCTTCATTTTACCCACCTCGAAAGAACGGAAGGCTGAGTCAACCTTGAACCTGGTGAGATTCAAACTGCAGCTGGCAATTAGCAGAAGTAGCCAGCAGTACTGCATTCTAACCACTGTGGCTCTTTTTACTCTTTTTACTCTTCCAAACATAATTGTGAATTCTCCCGCATGACATATTCAAGCAAAGAATGGCCTCTGGAATCCCACCAATTATGACCCTTAAGCAATTATGACCTTTAAGCAAAAAAGCTTTCTCTAAATCACTGGGGGTTTTACCAGCCAAAATGTATGTAATGGAATACCATAGAATAGAATTCTTTATTGGCCAAGTGTGATTGGACAGACAAGGAATTTGTCTTTGGTGCATATGCTCTCAGTGTACATAAAAAGACAAGATATTCGTCAAGGTACAATAAGGTACAATACTTAATGATAGTCATAGGGTACAAATAAGCAATCAGGAAACAATATCAATATAAATCATAAGGATATAAGCAACAAAGTTACAGTCATGTAGTCATAAGTGGGAGGAGATGGGTGATAGGAACGGTGAGAAGACTAATAGTAATAGTAATGCAGCCTTAGTGAATAGTTTGACACTGTTGAGGGAACTATTTGTTTAGCAGAGTGAGTCAAACCAGGATGAGGTTAATGAGGTTCAGAATCCTGGCTTGAGCAGATGTATGGTGACACCCTCAGGCTGCGTTACTTACCTTCAAGGTGGGGTTAATGCACTGCAGTCTGCCAGTCACCTGGTGGAGGAGGCCAGCTAAGAGAACAAAAATCTAAGACACCATGGCTCTGAGCATGTAATATTGGACTAGCTGCCCCCATGTTCCTAGTGTCTGTCAGGTGAACCAATTGTGATTGTAAGTCGAAGACTACCTAAAATTTTATAGACTATGAGCCAGGGGTGAAATTCAGCTGGATCTATCCGGATTGTATGATCCGGTAGCGCCGGCGGCAGGAGGCTCCGCCCACCCGCCTGGACATCATCACGTGCCGTTTTTGACCCTCTGGGCATGCACAGTAGGCTCTGTGCATGTGTGGAGAAGGCGCACATGCTCACATTTGTGAGCCGGTAGGGAGAGGTAAGTGAATTTCACCCCTGCTATGAGCCATCAATGTTGAGTATTAGTGACTACATAAGTAGATAGACATTTGCCATGATTAGATCTGTAACTTAGTCATGATACAGACGATCAAAGCCGACATTCAGAGGAGGCCAGGAAGTCCAAAATATTAGTCAGGGTAGGAATCTAAATTTAGTCACTCCCCCACATAACTATTTAATTTCTGCCTGGTCATAACAAAGGGGAATTTCCCACCTTCTGGTCCACTGCTTTATCTGTCTTATTGCACAGATTGATCAGGAATGAAGGATTCTAGGAATTAAGTATGTCCATCTAGGGAAGGCTGAGCTTAGCTGTAATGTAATGTGATTAAGATTGGCTTGGAATGTTGCATGGACTCAGTAATGATGATTTATATAACGTTAATGGGTGAGACCATTCATTGGGTTTACCAGTAATAAAGAAGACAATTAAGAACATGTTCTGAGTAAAACAGGCTTAGTCCTAGAAGAGTCTTCTTGGTGATGGGGTATTCCCAAACCAGAGGCTTCAGATAGGCAGTGGCAAGGCATCAAATGGGGATGCTTGAATTTGGGATTTCTTAGGTCAAACTGGGAGAAGACTAGACATGTGAGGTAACCCACCATAGCAGAAATTGTTTGAAAGGGAATTTATTGTTGGGGACAATTAGACATAAACGCTTTTCTGTTTCTCTCAGAATATGACATATGACAGATACACAAGAAGAAGACCTTATGGGAAGATAAAGTGGGAAGATCTGAAGAAATTGACATTTGCAAGCATTAGGAATGAGTCAAAAGATTATTTTTCTGGGGTCCGAGATTATAGGAAAGCCAATAAATCCAGTGGGAGCACAAAGGCACTCATGAAAGAAAAGCCAGTTCTTTCCTGTCTGACGAAGGTGATCAAAACATAAATGAAGCCAATTTTCAGTTTGGGGAAAAAGGCCGGAATTAAAGAGGAGCCAGCAATGTTGTGCAACCATCCATGTTCCAGATACTCCACATGTGCAACCAAAGGATAACCTGAATAAATATCCCTGTGAGAAAATTCACAGCAAATCTTCTTTTATTCAACAGGGGAGCACACTCCCACAGCAAGAGAAAACTACATTTGCTCAGAGCGTGGGGAATTTTGCTTGGAAGAAAAAAGCTTATGAAGCCCACACGAATCCACACAGTAGAGAAGTCATAAATGTTCAAATTGCAGCAGTGCAAAATCTGATTAAACATAAGAAATCCCATGTAGGAGAAAAGCCATACAAATGCAGTGAACATGGAAACGCTTCTGAGGGAAAAGGGGATTCTAGTCAACCTCCTGAGCATATACAGAAGAGAAAAGCCACATAAACACTCTCTGACTGTGGCAAAAGCTGCATTGGTCAAGAAACTGTCATCAAACATGAGAGGGCCCATAACAGAAGAGAAGTCGCATGAATCCAACTTGGTGATCCACTTAACAGGTTCATACAATCACACAAATGCTCAGTGCGTGGAAAAGTTTCTGTAGTTTTTCCATGTTTCATAAACACACGAAAATCTATCTGTGAAGAACATCCTAGACAGCCAGGGTTGCTGTTCAGAATGACGTAACATGCAGTTTCAGAAAGACGATATTAGTAGACAATTGAGAGTCGAACACAAAGGGGCATTTGGTGGTTTTTAAAAATAAGGACACATTAAAATGTTTTTAAAACGGACTTGTTTCGCATTGAAGTTCTTTGTTCAAGCCCTGGGATCGCAGGCAGATTAGAAATGACCCTTTTCTGCAATCTTGGTAGCTATTGTCAGCTGGGATGGGCAGAACTGAATAGATCAGTGGGTTGATATCTGTAAGGGACATTGCTCTGGGCCAGGGGTGAAATGCTATCGGTTTGCACCGGTTCGGGCAAACCGGTAGTAGTAAAAGCTACCGGTTCCAGTGAACCGGTAGTTAAAAAAAGTCCAAACCTGTATTTCCGATAATCATCTGTGCTAATCCTGCTTTCTAGCGAATCTAAATTGTGTGGCACAGCTGTTCCCCCCCTCGCTGTTCTACTTAGCTTCTTAAGCCTCCTTTTTTCATGCAAAGCGTGCATTTGGTGTGCACTGTGCATGCGCAGGCAGCGAACCGGCAGCAACCCACGGAGGATTTCACCACTGCTCTGGGCTGTGTGGCACCTTCCTGAATATACACTGCTCAAAAAAATAAAGGGAACACAAGCAGAAGATATCCGAGATCTGAATGAATGAAATAGCCTTATTAAATACTTTGTTTTTTACATACAGTAGTTTATACACTGCTCAAACAACTAAAGGGAACACAAAACTACTCTATGTAACGAACAAAGTATTTAATAAGGCTATTTCATTCATTCAGATCTCGGATGTCTTCTGCTTGTGTTCCCTTTATTTTTTTGAGCTGTGTATTTGGCCTCCATAGAGGTTTTGGAAGAGGAGCTGCAACCTGACACATTACAGTAAAACCTATTCAGTAGGGAACATTTGGGTAGCAAAGAAAAGAGGATTTTTTTCTAGAATTGCCCTCATAGGTACACACACATTCCTCACCCTCACAGTTTTACCAAGGCCTTGATTATCTCTCCTGTGATTAGATAATCCTGTGGTTAAAATAACCACCCAGAGTCATTGAGAGTCAGGTGGCATACAAATGACATACAAATTTAATAAGTAGCAATGCTCTTTATTTGCTGGTATTTTATTTTTTAGGTATTTATATGATTGCTCTTCTCATAAAAACAACTCCGGATGACAAGAAAAAAAATCTAAAAGCAATTTAAATTGACAAAGTGCATCACTATTTCTTAATCCTGGCAAGTTGAACATGTGTAGACTTCAACTCCCAGAATTCCTCAGAATTTGCTTGTGCAGGCAAAATGAGAGGTGAACCGAGACTGAATTTTCATCACACTTCCCTTCTGCCTGATTAGATTCTTAAACATTGGATTCCCTTACCCACAAGATCCTTGCAACTTTTAGGGTGGTCTTGATTGATAGGAAGAGTTTGAACAAATAAGATCCAATGGACCTACAAAGTCACAGGCAGGACTTTGACTTCACTGCTGTGCTTGCCATCTTGACTTTGTTGATCATACTCTGTGGACATTCATTCATTCATTCATTCATTCATTCATTCATTTATTGGTTCGATTTATATGCCGCCCTTCTCCAGAGACACAGGGCGGCTTACAATGCGTTAAGCAATAGCCTTCATACTTTTGTATGTACCTGCTTAGTAGGGCTTTCGGCCCCCCGTAAGCGGTGTTCTTTTTTATACAAAGTCAGCTTATTGCCCCCACAATCCAGATCCTCATTTTACCTACCTTGGAAGGCTGGAAGGCTGAGTCAACCTTGAGCCTGGTGAGATTTGAACTTGCAGTAATTGCAGGCAGCTGGCAGCTAAGTGCTATTTAACAGCGCTTTAGTCCACTGCTCCACCAAGGCTCCTTATCTTACAAGACATCCCTGCCTTCGATGGAAAAAGTCCTAATAAACTTTAAGAGTGTATAATGAATCCAAGGGTTTGTTTTAAGAGCAAACTTGTTAAATATTAAAATGTTGGAAATGGACCTGGGACCATGAATAGGGGGTAGGGGGGGATTATTTGCTGGGAAAATATTTTGGGGTTTTTTGCTGCCCTGAGTTTGTAGGAAAAAGAAGGTATAAAAATAAAATTATTGTTAGTGCTAGTCGAGAAATGCACACTTTAATTCTCTTCCCTTTAGTTCCAATTTGGTTATTTCCTGGCACTATCCTCCAGATCCCTTCTGAATGCCTCAATCTGCAAACTCCTTGCAGAAGAAAGCTCAAGCTCATTTTGGCTGGATTGAGAAGATAACCATAGTGATTAGGCTTAATATTGGGATGGGAGACCACCAAGAAACCCTTTAGAAGAATCCATCATAGGGGAAGCCAATAACAACTTCTCTTCCTTTGTATTGTCAAAAATAAATAAATAAATCAGAATAGAGCTGGAAGTGTCTATGGAGATTCTCACTCATCCAGGTCATGGTTGACCCAAAGGAGCCCTTTTTCAAGAGGCAACTTGTTTTTCTTTGAAGATGTTTCGCTTCTCATCCAAGAAGCTTCTTCAGCTCTGACTGGATGGTTCCTTCCATTCCCCACCATCCAGTCAGAGTTGAAGAAGCTTCTTGGACGAGAAGCGAAACATCTTCAAAGAAAAGCAAGAAAGTCTAGTTGCCCCTTGGAAAAAAAGCCCCTTTGGAATGGGGCTGGAAAGGGATCTTGGAGGCCTTCTAGTCCAACCCCCTGCTCAAGCAGGAGACCCTACACACAATACAAGGTGGACTTACTTTGTAGTAAACAAACAAAAGTTAAATTTGACAGGTTTCTTTCGCCTGCCTCATTTATGACCCCATTTGTGAAAAGAGATGAGGAGCGTCCAGAGGCATTTGAGATGCGGGTCATACTGCAAACTCCTTGGACTGAGCCTGTCCTCAAGGAATAATAATAATAATAATAATAATAATAATAATAATAATAATAATAATAATAATAATAATAATAATAATAATAATAATAATAATAATAATAATAATAATTTTATACTGCCCTTCTCCTGAAGGACTCAGGAGCCTAATTAAAGGACTATACAGCCTAATTAAAAGCACAAAGACAAACAAAGTTTAAAAATAATTAAAATTATTAAATAATTGGCTCAATTATAAAACCCCCAAATTTAAAATCCCACATTTAAAACCAATTAAAATCTTTACATTGATAGCCCGGCCTGGCGGAACAACAACAAGGTTTTGAGGGCACAGCGAAATATACGGAGGTCGGAGATCTTACGCATTTCTGGGGGCAGTTCATTCCAAAGGGCAGGGGCTCCCACAGAGAAGGCCCTCCCCCTGGGTGTCGCCAGCCGACATAATTTGGCCGATAGCACCCTGAGGAGACCCTCTCTGTGGGAGCGGACTAGCCAGTGGGAGGCTACTGGTGGTAGAAGATGGTTTTGAAGGTACCCAGGAAGAAGTTGCTTTCTCCCTAACGGGTCTTCTTCAACTCCCAGAATCCCCCAGCCAGCGTTGCTGGCTGAGGGATTCTGGGAGTTGAAGTCCACCCATCTTCAAGCTTCCAAGGTTGAGAAACACTGGTCTGGACAGTCACCGGACAGCCTGGACAGGGACTTGTCTGAAATGGTATAGGACAGGGGTGAAATCCAACAGGTTCTGACAGGTTCTGGAGAACCAGTAGCGGAAATTTTGAGTACTTTGGAGAACTGGCAAATACCACCTCTGGCTGCCCCCAAGTGGGGTGGGAATGGAGATTTTGCAATATCCTTCCCCCCTGGAGTGGGGTGAGAATGGAGACTTTGCAGTATCCTTCCTCTGCCATGCCCACCAAGCCACGCCCACCAAACCACACCACGCCCACCCAGTCATGCCCACAGAACCGGTAGTAAAAACATTTGGATTTCATCACTGGTATAGGAACTTTGCTTGAGCAGGGGGCTGGACTAGAAGACCTCTGAGGTCCCTTCCGGCTCTATTCTGATTCATCACTGGCGGTTTTTAAGAAGAGACTGGACAGTCTGGACAGATACTGGACAGACTGGACAGTCACTTGTCTGAAATGGTATAGGAGCTCCTGCTTGAGCAAGGGGCTGGACTAGAAGACCTCCGAGGTCCCTTCCAGCTCTATTCCGATTCTGACTGGTTCATGGAGAAGTCCATAAATAGATAATAGATAGGGAGCCTTGGTGGAGCAGCGGACTAAAGTGCTGTTAAAGTAGCACTTAGCTGCCAGCTGCCTGCAATTACTGCGAGTTCAAATTTCACCAGGCTCAAGGTTGACTCAGCCTTCCATCCTTCTGAGGTAAAATGAGGACCCGGATTGTGGGGGCAATAAGCTGACTTTGTATAAAAAAAGAACACCGCTTTGGGGGGGGGGGGGCGAAAGCCCTACTAAGCAGGTATATACAAAAGTATGAAGGCTATTGCTTAAGGCATTGTCAGCCGCCCTGAGTCTCCGGAGAAGGGCAGCATATAAATCGAACCAAATAAATAAATAAATAAATAAATAAATAAATAAATAAATAAATAAATAAATAAATAAATAAATAAATAAGAAAGATGGACTCTATGGACCTTCAGCAGCCAGGCCTCTCTGAATATACCCGGTGGCCTAGAGGTGAAGCTCTTGCCTCACAATCAGGAGATTGTGAGTTCGATCCTAGGCAGAGGCAGATGTAGGGTCTCCTGCTTGAGCAAGGGGTTGGACTAGATGACCTGCAAGGTCCCTTCCAACTCTGTTAATCTATTAAAAGAACATCGAGCATCTAGGCATCACATCCATCGGCTGTGAATGTCCCACCGCTCCCCCTCTCCAGAAACATCCAGAGATGCCTGGCTGCTGAAGGTCCATACGGTCCACCTTTATCTATTTATGGACTTCTCCAAGAACCGGTCCACAGAGCTGCCGGGGCAAAATGAAGCCATCTCCTCGGGAGCCTCACTCCACTGCCCGGTGGAGAAGCGCGAAAGAGTTAAAGCCGCAAAGCTCCGCCCGCCAAAGAGGCAGAGCCGAGGAGGTGCCCGCTGGTCTTTGCCCCCTTCCCGTCCGGAGAGGACACGGATGGGCGGCGAGGCTGCAGCCTCAGCTGGAAGGGAGGCGTGTGGCCGGCAGATCTGGGCGAGGAGGGAGCGCCGGCTGAGAGGAGAGGCGGCGGCTCTTCCCGCGGGCAGAGGGGTGGCTGCCTGGAAGGAAGGAAGGAAGGAAGGAAAACAAGACAGGCGCGGGGCTTCCCGGGGAAGAAGGTAGGGTGGATCGGGGAGCCGCTGGAGCAGCCGCGGGGATCCCCCTTTCCCCCCCCCCTTGCTTCGGCTCCCATTCACTCCTGCATGGCAGCTCAGGGGCTAAACCCTTTGCCCTGCAGGTGCAGCTCAAGAGGCACTTTAGCACTTAATTTTGGGGGTGTCGAAGGGGGAAATTCCCTCCTGGATCTGAGACCTCGGATCCTCATCCCGTCTCCCTGGTTATTTTGAGCCGGTTGTGGCTTTTGAATGAGGCGGCTGGGGACTTCTGACGATTGTCTTGTCTTGTCTCTTGCCCGTTTTCACCAATCCAGTTTGGGACAGTTGCAATTTCTTGCAACGGGGTAATATCCTGTCGGAGTGTGGGGGAGACCTTCCCCTCCCCCCCACCGCCCCAAATGAATTAAATCAATTATTGTATCAATATGGTATGTGTCAATTTGCTAAGAGTTTTATTTTCATAGCTTTGTTTGAAATGTTTGAGCTTGAGACTGTTGGATAAAATTTTCCATCAAAGATTATCTATCTATCTATCTATCTATCTATCTATCTATCTATCTATCTATCTATCTATCTATCCATCCATCCATCCATCCATCCATCCATCCATCCATCCATCCATCCATCCATCTATCCACCTATCTCTCTCTCTCTCTCTCCATCTCTCTCTCCATCTACCTACCTACCTACCTACCTACCTACCTACCTACCTACCTACCTACCTACCTATCTATCTATCTATCTATCTATCTATCTATCTCTACATCTATCTACCTATCCATCTCTCTCCATCTCTCGATCTACCTATCCATCCATCTCTCTCTCTCCATCTATCTACCTACCTTCCTACCTACCTACCTATTTCTATCTATCTGTCTGTCTGTCTGTCTGTCTGTCTGTCTGTCTGTCTGTCTATCTATCTATCTATCTATCTATCTATCTATCTATCTATCGCTATACCTCGTTTACCAACCGATTCGTGCAGCGACCATTTTGAAAAAGATATTTCTAATCATCTTTTGCGACCTGTGTGGCGACTCTCACATGATTGCTCTTCTGATAAATGATGCGATTATTAAATATTTTGACTTGTAGGGGCCCTGATCTCATCTAATCAACTCTGGTGGCTCTCAAAAAAGTAAAAATAATAATTAATTAAATAATTATACCTAGAGCCGCCTCAGCAACATGGGCGGCCTAGACGTTTAATAAAAAAATAAAAATAAACAATATGCAAATATGTAAAAAGTATCCCTACAGATAGCGCTCACTGTATGACTGCAATTGACCCCGGAATTATGGTCATATGTCATGCTGGTTGTTAAGCGGGTTGCAGCATCTGATTTTCAACCTTTTTTTCCAACACTCGTTAAGGGAATCTATTGTCTGTAATGGGTGGTGGGTTTTTTTGCTGGAAACCAGAAGTAAATGTCGGTTTCCGGCAAAAAAGCATAAATCACAATCATGTGACTGCGGGATGCTGTAAATGGTGGGCTGATCATGTGACTATGGGGAGTGAGCAGATGTGGAGCTTCGAATGGAGGTCGTAAAGGTCCATTGTAAGGGCACAAAGAAACTGGTCGTAAGTTGAGGACTTACCTGTAAATGAATTTAAACAACATAAAATCGCAGTCAGCCAGCAGCAGAATTCACTCTGGAGCATCTCAATACAGCCCGATAAGAACTCCACACTATTGTCAAGATCCCCAGGCATAAATGATTGGGTTGGGGCCAATCAAAAGTCTGGGGCTGGGTGGGGGGGTGGGGGGTTAATGACTTCTGCCGGCAGCCATTTGAGCTTGTTGCAATGAAAAAAGAAGTGCTTTGTGACCCATTCCCACATTTATGACTGTTGCAGTGTGCTTGGAGTCACATGTTCGTCATTCCTTCCCTTCACAATTGGCTTGCGACACACAGAGTCAATAGAGAAGCTGGCAGTAAAATCAGAAGGAGCTGTCACATGATTTTCTGCTTAGCAACCATGCCACTTTGCTTAACAATTGAAGGGGAAGTGACATCATAAACTCTTTTCACGGGCGGTGATTTTCTGCTTAGCGACCACGCTGCTTAGCAACTGAGTTTCCAGCCTGAACTGTGGTTGCTAAGAGAGGACTATCTGTGTATCCCTATCGATCTCTGTAGAAAATAAATTAGCTTGGCTGTTCACTCGCAACTAAACAAGCGAAGGGTGGAATGAGCAGGCCCTAAAGTAAATCGCTAATCAAATATAGAGGTTTTTATAGCCCTTTGAAAGGCCAGTTTTCCCTAGAGACCAAGGGAGCTTATTCCAGGTTCACAGAATTTTGTAAGTAAAGACCCCAAACTTGGAGAGAGAAATTGTGAGGGACACTGGAACAGACTGGGAGAATTGAAGCACCAGTACCCGTGGCTTCAACTGAGCTCAGGCATGGAATTCATTCATTTATTCAGGCAGGGAAATTATCTTTATTCCAGTGAGAGTATATCTTGCACATTTTAAAGAAGTCATGCATATTACAGATGTAGAAAAAAGTTCCTTTTGTTCCTGGCACATTGTGTGGCCCTCCTTATTATTTCCTTCTCCCTTTCCTTTTCTCTCCTGGAACTGCAGGGAGGAACAATGATGGAGGAACAGAGGCTTGTGGTGATCAAAGAAGAAGAGAGAACGGAGAATGGGGGAAGAGACCCTTTCATTGTCCAAGTCAGGACCATCGGGGACTCTTTGACTGGGGCTGGCCCATCCCACATTAAGATGGAGTCACAGGAGGAAATCCACCAACGCTGGGATTTTCAATGGCAGGAATTCTTGAAAAGGGTGGCAGCGCTTCCCGCAGCTCTGCCTCCGTTGGATGACGATGCCAGAGGTTTCCAGGTCCCCTGGGGGAGAATTAAGGAAAATCCACCAGAGGAGAATTCTGGGGAAGCCAGAGGGGAATCTGTGCTCCAAAGGGATCCGAACATCAGTGGGAAAGCTTGGATGGACAGGGAGAAGCTGGATTTCTGCATGAAAGTGAAGGTGGAAGAATCTCTGGAAGAAGTTGACCTGGGGAGACAGTGGCCCCTGCAACTCAAGCACTTCAGTCCACAGGATGCTGAGCAGCACCAGGAGGTATCCAATCCCCAAAGACCGAAAAAGGGGGAGGAATGGGGTGGGCAACATGGAGGGTGAAATATTGTGAAATGGGTTATTAGCCAGCTATAGTAGCAGATGTCAGTTTATATTTCAATGTTGGTTGCCTGTGAAAAGATGATGATTGGCCTAATAGAGATATTCCTTGACTGATGACAATTCATTCAGTGACCCGTCATCCAGTTGCAACAGGGCTGGAAAAAAAATAAGAGTTACAACTGTCCATGAAGTTAAGCCCCCCCTGTCATCACACAATCCAAATTTCAGGGCTTGGCAGCCTGCCCACGCTTACGACCAGGTGGGCATTTCAACTCCATCCACCCGTGTATCTTGTCTCTCGTCTCTGCCCTTTTGGGTATTTATTTATTATCCTGCACTCTGCCACATACTTTTGTAGCCCCGCTGCCACCACTGCCCCACAATTGATCTTCGCCGTCTTCTTCCTGCTAGTGCTCCAGGATCCGGTCTCTGGGTGTGGGTGTAAGCCTGGAAGGCCCCTGTTAAGCACAGCAGGGCAGTGGAGCTTCATCTGCCAAAGGGAGCTTGCCGGGCCAGGATAAAGGCAGCAGGATGGCGAGGCAGAAATCCTGGCAAGCAGGTCCCTGGATGAAGGTGCCAGGATGAAGTAGAGGGATACGGACTTACCAAATCTGCAACATATATTTTGCTGTTCGTGTTGCAAATGCTCCTGGGAAATCAACTTAAGTGCTATTGCGAGGGGTGGAGATCAGCCCAGTGAGGCAAAGCCTGCCCCTTTCTCAGCTATCTTTTCACTTTCAGTCCAGCTTTCCTCTGGCGAAGCCTCTTAAACAGCCAGCAGCTTCTAAAGTGTGCTGCAGTGGTGGGGTTCAATTTTTTTTACTACCAGTTCTGTGGGCGTGGCTTGGTGGGCGTGGCATGGCTTGGTGGGCGTGGCTTGGTGGGCATGGCATGGGAAGGCTACTGCAAAATCTCCATTCCCTTCCCACTCCAGGGGAAGGATACTGCAAAATCTCCGTTTCCTCCCAATCAGCTGGGACTCGGGAGGCAGAGAATAGATGGGGGCGGGTCCAGTCAGAATTTTTACTACTGGTTCTCCGAACTACTCAAAATTTCCACTACCGGTTCTCCAGAACTGGTCAGAACCTGCTGAAACCCACCTCTGATGTGCTGCCAGAATGCCTCTGGAGAACGTGAGCCTCAGCACATGCTGGTCCTTTGCAAGACTTTGCAGGAGGAAGGCTGGCTCAAGAGTAAGAAGAGGGCCTGCGGATAGGCTCTGCCGGCTCGGGGTTCTCCTGCGCCCCTCACGGGCCAGTTTTCCAGGAGAGCTTCCAGCTGCTGAATGCATGCTGCGCTTCCAGAAGGCCATTTTCCTCTTATTCTGCTACCACCTGAAACATACTTCCTACATGGCCTCCAACTTGCTCTCCTGCCTCGCCTGATAATGGAGAGCAACATGCCTCCCGTGTCCCACTGCCTTCTCCCTGGCTGGGCCTGGCAAGCTCCCTTCAGCATACAAGGCTCCAGTGTCCTGTCACCATGTACATTCCAGGGCTGCACCCTCACCCAGGACCTTGATCCCAGACCAGCAGAAGGTGGAGGAAGAAGACAGCGAAGGTCAATGGCAGCAAGGATAGACAGTAAAGTGCAGAACAACCAAAAAGGGGAGAGATGGAGGGAGATAGGTGGGTTGGGGAAGTTGCAGGTGAGCGCAGGAGAGCAGTGAGGAGGAAGTGAGTCTTCGCCTAACAATGTCGCTGGCCTAGTCTAAATGACCGCAACTGGGTCTACTGGAACTGATGTAGCTGAGCAATACGGTACTATGATTTTGCCTAATGACTGCTTTGCTTAGCGACAGAAATTCTGCTCCCAATTACCGTTGTAAGTCGCGTATTACCAGTAGCCTCACAGCATAAAACCCAGGGGGTTCTGCTAAGGAGACTGTGGGGCTTCCTGTTTGTCTATGGCAAACTGGATTTCTTTGGGGGCCGGATCAGCATTGTAGTTCTCCTCTGCGGGCCGGCCGGGGCGGGGGGAAGGGAGGGAGATGGGACGGACGCCTCCTGCAGCACCCTAGCAGACAAAATGGAGCATGGGGGGGCCTGTGTGGCCCCCCGTGCCCTGTTTTGGCCAGCAGAGTGCTGCAGGAAACCATCCAGGCCGAAAATGGGGTGCGGGTGGGGGCTCATGCAGCCCCACACACCCCATTTTGGCTGCCAAAGGCACCACGGGCTGGTCCTTTGCTATGTCCAGGCTGGCCTCATGGGCCAAATTACGCACCTCGTGGGCCAGATTCAGCTTGCGGGCCTTTAGTTTGACACCCCTGGTGTATGGCAATGAAGAGGATGGCCCAGAGCAGAATGTTTTCTGGATTATAGAAAGGCAGAGGGGAAACGGCGTAGTGTCCTAGAGATGGAGCTCTTGCCTGGTAATCAAGAAGCTATGAGTTTAATCCTAAGTACAGGTAGTCCTCAACTTACAATTCATTTAGTGTCCGTTCGGCATTACGATGACACTGAAAAAAGTGACTTATGAGCATTTTTCCCACTTAAAACGATTGCAGCATAGTCATGTGATCAAAATGCAGACACTTGGCAGCTGACTCATATTTCTGACAGTCCTGGGGTCATGTGATTCCCCTTTTGCAACCTTCTGACAAATTTAAAGGGGGAAGCCAGCTTCACTTAACAGCAATTGTTACTAACTTCACAACGGCAGTGACTCACTTAACAACCGTGGCAAGAAAAGACGTAAAATGAGGGAAAACTCACTTAACAATTGTCTCCCTTAGCAAAAGAAGTTTTGGGCTCCATTGTGGTCGTAAGTCGGGAACTACCCGTAGTGACAGATATTTCTCTCTCTGGGTGCAAAGAGAAAATATCTGTTATAAATATCAGGAAAGGCACCCTGACCTCCCTCCACCCCCATGCAAGGGAATTACAGGGTCTTTAAAAGAAAAAGAAAAAAAACTAGAAAGGCAGAGGGGAGTGTTCGGTTTCATTGAGTATTCTATGATCAGGAAAAAAAAAAAAAGCAACCTTGACCTTTGTTTTAGAATATAAACCAGTTTTGGTTGACCTAATGAGGGTCATTTGTCAATTGCTTCAGCCGAAAGCATAGTTGTAGGCAGGGGTGAAATGTAAAATTTGTTACTACCGGTTCTGTGGGCGTGGCTTGGTGGTGATGGGGGTAATGTGACTGGGTGGGTGTGGCCAACTTTTTTTTTTTAAAAAAAAACTTTTCAAAGCATTTTTTCTAATGCTTTGAAAAGCCTCTGCCGATCAGGCAACTCAGCTGGGATCGTCAGAGAGGTTTTTTAAAAAATGCCTCTCTGCTGATCAGGCAACTCAGCTGGGATTGTCAGAGACTTTTCAAAGCATTTTTTTTACCACCCCTTCGGCCAAGAGGTTGCAGAAAAAAATGCTTTGAAAAGCCTCTGACGATCCCAGCTGAGCTGCGCGATCATCAGAGGCTTTTTTTTTTTACTTTTAAAAGCATTTTTTCTACAACCTCTTCCGACGAAAAAATGCTTTTAAAAGTAAAAAAAAAAAAAGCCTCTGATGATCGTGCGGCTCAGCTGGGGGGGGGGGGGGCAGGGATTTTTGCTACCGGTTCTCCGAACCACCTGCCGCTATGGCTACCGGATCGGGCGATCCGGTCCGAACCGGGAGCATTTCACCTCTCGTTGTAGGGGCTTTTCTGGGGTCAACCCTTTCTAATCCTGATCTAATGGTGTGTGTCCCCCCCAAATATTTCAGATGTTCTCACCATCTTTACTCCACTCACATGGCTGGCTCAGGAATTCTGGGAGTTGAAGTCCACGAGTCATAAAAGAGCCACACCATAGTTCCCCACCCCTGTAGCAGATTAAACATCTCATCTTGTGGAAGTCTGGATTTTTAACAGCAGCTTGGGAACTCCAGATCAGTGCAGAGTTATCGGGATCCCTTTCAGTCAGGATTCATGCCTGGATATGGGGGCCGAAAGAATATTGGTTGTGCTTTTGAATGATCTCTGACAGGAGCAGGATGGCGGTTGTGCATCCAACCTTATTTTGCTTTTTAGTAGCCTTCGATACTGTCAGTCATGGTATCCTTCTGGATTGGCACCTGAGATTGGGGATGGGATGGACTAATGACTATTCGAAGAGCAGGTAGCAATCATGGCTAAGGAGGGTATTTGCCCATCTTTGTGTTGTGAACCCCTTCCTACATTTGGAGGCTCTGTTCATGGCCACTCATGCTCTGGTCACCTCCCAGTTGCACTACTGTAATGCAGTCTACATGGGGCTTGCCCATGGGGTGCTTATTCAGCAGGTTCTGACAGGTTCTGGAGAACCGGTAGCGGAAATTTTGAGTAGTTTGGAGAACCGGCAAATACCACCTCTGGCTGACCCCAGAATGGGGTGGGAATGGAGATTTTGCAGTATCCTTCCCCCAGGAGTGGGGTGGGAATGGAGATTTTGCAGTATCCTTCCCCTGGCACGTCCACCAAGCCACACCACGCCCACCAAGCCACGCCCACAGAACCTGTAGTAAAAAAAAATTGAATTCCACCACCGGGTTTGCCCTGAAAGACTATCCAGAAGCTTCAGTTGGTATCGAATCTGCCACACATTATACCTTTGCTCCAGAAGCTGCATTGATTTCCAGTTTGCTTCTGGATCCAATTCAAGGTGCTGGTTTTTACCTTTCAAGCCCATTAGGGGGGAGAGAGGGAGGGAGGGAGGGAGAGAGAGAGAGAGAGAACATTGCTATGCTGCTGTCTCATATAAAATTCCCTCATGCAGAACGTTACTAAGCCCGGCATGTCTTCTGGTCAGATGCAGAAATGTGGTCATGTATGCACATTGGTCAGGAAAAAAAAAATTCCCCACCATTTATTACCACTCTCCTTGAGAACGGTCATTAACAGATGTAGCCACAAAAGGAGAAGTGGATTTATTGTGGCTTGTGTAACTGGGGTTAGACGTGTATTATGAGAAGCCAGCCAAAGTTTTGCAAGCAAGGAAGTGATTCGTTGCCTTTGAAGTAAATTTTTATTTATCTTTATGCCACCTTTTTATTTTTATAAACAACTTAAGCTGGCAAATATAGCTAATGCTCCTTTTTCCTCCTATTTTCTCCACAACAATCCTGCAAAGGTGATTTGGGCTGAGAGAGAGTGGTCGGCCCAAAGTCACCTGGCTAACTTTTTATGCCTAACGCAGGACTAGAACTCGTAGTTTCCTGGCGCCTTTACCATGATTAGACCAAACTGGCTTAACCAAATTGCCCAGAATGAGGTACAGCCATTCCTCATTTATCAACCATCTCAGTTAGTGACTGTTCGCAAATACAACCCTAATTTTTTTTAATTTTTTTTAATTGTTTAAAAAAGAAAAACAACAGTAAAATACAAACAAACATAAATACAATAAAACAATACGAAAAACAAACCAACATAAAAAAAACACATAAATTTGTTGCATCGGTGGGTTATTTTCCTGTTCCACCTGTTTTTATCTATACATATCTATTTTACATATTCATGTATTTACATAATTATACACAAATCAATTGTAATCTACCCCTTGCTTAGCTACCTGTGGCTCCTGCTTAGACATTCAGGCTACATTATTTTCCTATATTTATCTTTCCCTCTAACCAGGAATACCATCTCTGCCAAACTAAATAGTATTCAGAATCATCTTTCTCTTATAATTGCTTTGTAAGTCTGTCCATTTCTGCACATTCTGTTATTTTGGCAACTAGTTTGTCTTCTGTTGGCAGTTGTTCAGATTTCCAATTTTGAGCATACAGTATGCGTGCCGCTGTTACGATATGTATAGTGAGATATTTTATTTCCTTAGTAAATTGTGGGGTAATTATTCCAAGTAGAAAAAAATCCGGTCTCATTTCAACTTTCTGTTTTGGTATTTCTTCAATCATTTTCTTGATTTCTTGCCAGTAGTGTTGCGCCTTTCTGCATGACCACCAGAGATGGTAGTATGACCTCTTCTGTGACTTGCATTTCCAACACATTGGTGACACATTTGGGAACATTTTAGCTAAATGTGCCGGTGGTAGGTGCCATCTGTAGAACATCTTATGAAGGTTTTCTTTGTAAGGTATAGACATTGTCATCTTATCATTTTCTTTCCATAATTTATCCCACTTATCCAATTCAATAGTATATCCAATGTTTCTTGCCCAAGTTATTATATTCTCTTTCACAGTCTCCTCCTCTAATTTGTATTTTATTAGGTAATTGTAAATTTTGGTTATCATTTTCTCATCCGTACTTTTTAATATCTTATCTAATTCATTTGGTTCATTTTGAAATCTGAATTTTGCCCGATCTGCTTTGTATCTTGATTCCATTTGGAGATATGGCCACCAGTCAATGTCTATACCTCGGTTTTTGAGTTCCTGCCTCGTATATAAATTCCCTTCTTCGCTCAGTAATTCTTGATAGCTCCTCGTTTTTTCTATGTCCATTACATTTGGGTAGATCGATGCTTCCATGGTCGATAACCATCTTGGGATTTTAGTATAATGTTACTTTCTAATTTCTTGCCAGGTTTTATACAGTGAGCCTCTAATAATATGCTGTTGGAAGTATCTTTGTTCCTTGTCGGCGCCCTCCCACAAAAAAGCGTGCCAGCCTTGGTTCAAATCAAATCCCTCCAGATATAGCATTCTCTTATTTTTTAATTCTATCCATTCTCTTATCCAATTAAGCGATGCTGCCTTATAGTATAGCTCCCAGTCCGGTAAGCCAAGGCCTCCCTTTTCGCGGGCATCCTGTAAGCATTTTATTTTTATTCTGGCCTTCCTTCCTTGCCAAATATATTTCGCTATTATTTTATTGAGCTCCTTAAAAAAGTTCTTTCCTGGGCCGATCGGTATCACTTGAAAGAGGTAAAGCAATCTAGGTAGTATATTCATTTTTGCTGACGCTATTTTACCTAAAAATGATAGTTGCAATTTATTCCATGTTTCCAGATCATTTTTAATTTGTTTCATCAATTTAATATAATTATCTTATCTAATCGTTGTTGCTTTTGCGGTAAGCCAGATTCCTAGGTATTTTACTTTCTTTACAGTTTGTATTCCTAATTCTTCCTCTAATTGTGCCTCCTGTATCTTTGTCAAGTTTTTTGTTAAGACTTTCGTTTTTTGCCTATTAATTTTAAGCCCCTCCACTCTACCATATTCTTCTATCTTTGCTAATAGCTTAGTCCCTGTTATTTCCGGTTGTTCCACTATGAACACGACGTCGTCAGCGCAGGCTTGCAATTTATATTCCTCTTTCTGTATCCTCAAGCCCTTTATTTCTTCTTCCTTCCGTATTTCGTTTAATAGGACTTCCAATGGTATTATTATTAATTTTTTTTTAATTTGATTTATATGCCGCCCTTCTCCGGAGAAGGGCGGCTTACAATGCGCTAAGCAATAGCCTTCATCCTTTTGTATATTTATACAAAGTCATCTTATTGCCCCCACAAACTGGGTCCTCAATTTACCTACCTTAGAAAGGATGGAAGGCTGAGTCAACCTTGAGCCTGGCGAGATTCGATCTTACTTTATTATGAACAATAAAGGGGATAATGGACATCCTTGCCGTACGCCTTTTTGTATATCCAATTTTTCTGTCATGTCCCCATTAATTGTAATTCTTGCTATTTGGGATGAGTATACTTTCCTAATCATTTTTAGAAATTTATCGCCGAATTCCATGGCCTCTAATTGTAATACAAGCAAGTTCCAATTCAAATTGTCGAAGGCCTTGTGTGTGTCTAAAAAAATCAAAGCTACCTGTTTATCAATTCTTCGCTCATAGTATTCAAGGACATTTATGATTGTTCTCATATTGTTTTTAATCTGTCTCCTTGGGACAAAGCCATTTTGAGAGTGTATGTACTTGTGAATGACCCTAATTTTTTAAAAATCATTTTCTATCCAAATGTGCAAGAGCATCTCTTGTCAATCACATCTTCACTACTACAGGTAGTCCTCAACTTACAACCATTTGTATAGTCTTCATTCGAAGTTACAAGGGCACTGAAAAAAGTCACACTTAAAATTTATTTATTATTTATTTATTTATTAGTTAGATTTATATGCCGCCCTTCTCTGGAGACTCAGGGCGGCTTATAATGCATTAAGCAATAGCCTTCATACTTTTGTATGTACCTGCTTAGCAGGGCTTTTGGCTCCCCCAAGCGGTGTTTTTTTTTTATACAAAGTCAGCTTATTGCCCCCACAATCTGGGTCCTCATTTTATCTACCTCGAAAGGATGGAAGGCTGAGTCAACCTTGAGCCTGGTGAGATTTGAACTTGCAATAATTGCAGGCAGCTGGCAACTTAAGTGCTACTTTAACAGCACTTAGTCCACTGTGCCACCAGGCTCTGTTGTTTTGTTACAGAATCACCCTGGTGATGTGATCAAAATTCAGATGCTTGGCAACTAGTTCATATTTATGACAGCTGCATGGGGTCATGTGATCCCCTTTTGCGACCTTCTGACAAGAAAAGTCAATGGGGAAACTAGAACAGAAGAGCTGTGGGGCGCAGTGGTCAGAGTGCAGTACTGCAGGCTACTTCTGCTGACTGCCGGCTGCCTGCAATTTGGCAGTTCAAATCTCACCAGGCTCAAGGTTGACTCAGCCTTCCATCCTTCCGAGGTTGGTAAAATGAGGACCCAGATTGTTGCGGGCAATATGCTGACTGTGTAAACTGCTTAGAGAGGGCTATAAAAGCACTACGAAGCGGTATATAAGTCTAAGTGCTATTGCTATCACTTTAATAGTCATGTTATTAACTTAAGAACTGCAGTGACTCGCTTAACAGCTGTGGAAAGAAAGATTGTAAAATGGGCAAAACTCACTTAACTGCCTCGCTTAGCAACAGGAATTTTGGCCTCGTTTATGGTTGTAAGCAGAGGACTTACCTGTACAGTTAATATCCAATATATATCCTGCTCTTATTTTCACTTATTTTTTTTTATGTGCGTTTATATCCCATACCAAGATACCTTCCAAGAGAAAGCAGCCTGGTTCAGCTGAAGTGAGTAGCAAGAAGCAAAGGAAAGCCATCGATCTCAATTTGAAGATGAAAATCATCAAAGCGTACGAGGCCGGGAAGAAGGTGACTAAAATAGCGCGAGAGGTAGGCCTGGCCCACTCCACCATCTCCACCATTTTGAAGGATAAAGCGAGGATCAGAGAGGCGCTAAAAGGAGCAGCGGGCATGAACACAAGTATAACAAGGCAGCGAAAAGGCCTCATCCACGAAATGGAAAAACTCCTCATCCTCTGGATCGAAGATCGGATACAAAAGAGGCTGCCAGTGAGCCTTCTCCTCATTCAGAATAAGGCGCGCAGCATTTTCTCAATGCTGAAGGAACAGACGGGCGAGGAGTGCACCGAAATATTCACGGCCAGCCATGGCTGGTTTATGCGATTCCAGCAAAGATTTCATTACCAGAAAACGCACCCGTCAGGTGACGCCGTGAGGGCCGACGAAGAAGCTGCCAAACACTTCCTGAACGAACTTGATGGGATCATAGCAGAAGGGAACTATTTCGCTGAACAGATATTCAGAGTGGACGAAACTGGGTTGTATTGGAAAAGAATGCCAGAGCGGACCTACATACACAGAGAAGCCCAAGCAATGCCTGGGTGTAAAGCATTTAAAGACAGAGTAACCTTACTATTGGGTGGAAATGTCGCCGGATTCAAGCTGACTCCATTTCTGATCCTTAAATCAGATCATGCCTGTATGTTTGAAAACATAAGCAATGACACACTACCTGTTTATTACCGGTTTGATTGGAAGGCCTGGATGACGCCCGTCCTTTTTGAGGATTGGTTTACGAATTGTTTCATACCCCAAGTAAAGGAATATTGTGAACAAAAGGGGATTCCTTTTAAAATTCTCCTTCTCCTAGATAAAGCACCTGGACATCCTCCACATCCTGACAGTCTCCACCCCGATGTAAAGGTAGTTTATCTACCCCAAAACACCTCAGCTCTCCTACAGCCTGTGGGAATGGGGATGATCTCGGCATTCAAGATGTACTATTTGCACGCAGTGTTTGCCAAAGCCTTAGCCGCAATGGAATATGATAGAGTAATAGTGCGTGAATTTTGGAAAAACTATAATATCCTCCATTGTATCGAAAATATTGCAATCGCCTGGCAAGATGTGAGTGGGAAAAGTATGCAAGAGTTTTGGAGAAAGTGTTTAAAACGTTTTGTTGCTCTCACAAACAATTTTGAGCTATTTCACCGAATCCCAAATCTGGACGAAATAAATCGGAAAATTTTGACGCTCACGAGATTCCTTGATTTAGAGGTCGACGCCGAAGACGTGAGAAATTTGGTGGCTTATTCAGAAGGGGAGCTTTCCAACGAAGATTTAATTGAACTGAAGGAAGAACTGGAAGCCCAAAAGATCGTGGAAGAAGAGGTGGAGAAAGAAGAAAGGAAAGAAGAAAGGAAAGAAGAAAGGAAAGTTGTAGAGGTGCGGCCCAAAACCTTCAGCCTGAGAAGATTGGCTAGTGTTTTCTCGAGCGTGAACAAAATTTTATCCGAATTAGAGAGCATGGATCCAGATGTGGAACGTTTTAGAAGGGTACACTGGGAAATGTGTGAAATCTTAAAATGTTACCGTGAAATATATGAAGGAAAAAAGAAAGAAAAGAATGATAAAGAAAACAAACAGAGCGGATTGCTGAAGAAAGTTATTCCACCCCAAACTCCAGTTCCCTTCCTTTTACCCTTCCCGTCTACAGGAACACAAAACCAGGAGGATCCTCAGCCATCAACTAGTTACGCCAGTGGATCCGATGTTCCTGAAAACACAGACAACTATGAATATTTTCAAGGATTTATATCCAATCTGATGCTTACAGGTACTGTCATTTCAAAACCCATTGGGAACAGGTGGCTTTCGTTTAGCGACTGCTTTTTTTTTTTAGTAACCAGTTAGTAAATGGCGTCGGTGAAAAAGTGACCCTATGACCAATCCTCCCATTTACAACTGTCACATTTTTATAAAGTGAAGAAAATATGAAGTATAGGGTATTGTGCGTATGATCCTGCTTTAGCTTTCCTTTGCTTTACAGATCTGTGAAGATCATAAATGCAAGGATTGATTGAAAAGTTACTTTTTCTTCACCCTAATAACTGCAAAGGGTTGCTAAAGAAGGTAGTCATTAAAGGAGAACTACCCATGAGATCATAATCACAATTGTGGTTTCAGTTAACGTCCGCTTATATTAATGACTGAGTTCAGTCCTGTTTCCGGTTTCTAAATGAGGACTACCTGCACTGTTTTTTTAAAAAAATATTTTGGTAATGCAATATAATCATTCCTTAATTTTTTATTTTTTAAAAAAATTGATTTTATATGCCGCCCTTCTCTGGAGACTCAGGGCGGCTTACAATGCGTTAAGCAATAGCCTTCATACTTTTTCTATATTTTTACAAAGTCAGCTTATTGCCCCCACAAACTGGGTCCTCAAAACTTACTAATTGCAGACAGCTGGAGTTAAATTACAATGCATTAGTCTGCTGAGCTATCCAGGCTCCTTTTTGACTTATATAATACAGGGAATCCTCAAAATAGAACACAACTGGGGCTGGAGTTTCCATTGCTAAACAACGTGGCTGTGAAATATGATCTGACATAACCACATTGCTTAGCAATTGCAATCCCAACAGACTTCCATGCCATTGTAACTGAGAGATCACACTGGACATTAAGAGAGGACCTCATGTGACAGCAGACATTAAGAGAGGACCTCATGTGATAGCAGACCTCATGTGATAGACAGTCAGAGCTGTGAGCGCCTTGCAAGCTATACTTAGTGTGGGAATCCAGATGCTAACAGACTGCAACGGGGTCCCCAATCCCCGGGCTGTGGCCCACTACCGGGCCGCAGTCTGTTTGAAACTGGGTTGCACAAGTGATGGGTAAACACGCGCAAAGGTCCACTCATGTGAGCAGTGGGCTTGCGCTCGTGCACGGAGCTTCACTCGCGCAAGCGGAGGGCGCTCGAGTGGAGGGAGCTTGGGTTCATGTGCGGAGCTCCATTCTGCTCATGTGAATGAAGCTTCCCACGAGAGTGCATGTGCCTGCCGCTCGTACCAATGGAGCTGTGTGCGCACACATGCACCTGCCACTCACATGCCCCTAACCCTTGTGCTGGACTGGATTTATGTGTGTGTATTTGGGCCCCAGTTCATCCTCCTTTTGTTTCAGAATTGTGGCCCCAAAGAATCTGGAGCTGCCAAACATCTGGACAGAGCTGCCAGAAGCTGCTTCCCTTCCTTCAACGTATTAGGTGTGGAGGAAAAAGAAATATCTTCATTAAGGGCATACAAGTTGCACCTGCTCCGATTCTGAGCATGTGATTTGATTTGGGGATTCAGACTTCAGAAATGGTCTAGAAAAGGAATTTTGTGCATTAAGAAGAGACTGGACAGCCAGTTGTAATATAGGGTCTACTGTTTGAGCAGGGGGTTGGACTAGAAGACCTCTAAGGTCCCTTCCAGCTCTATTCTGATTGATTGATTGACTGATTGATTGATTGATTGATCTCCAAGTTGGATCTTATCTCTTCCAATAGGGCTTGAATCTTATTCAACTTGGAGGGACCAGAGAGGAAGCCTGATGCAGGACTTCTTTGAATTGAATCAACTTTCCCTTTTTTCTGTTTTCAGGCATCCCAATCCCAGCATTATACGATACTAATATCTCCCAAATTGGAGGAAGAGGCCTTGGAGATTGTGAAGGTGAAGCGTTCCCTGGAGATAAAGCAAGAGAATGAAGAGGAGACCAACTCACTACGTAAGGATGTAGACCAGGAGTGTCAAACTCAAAGTGTCACGTTGTCGTCACATTGTCATCACGTGACGTATTGTGACTTTTTTTTCCCTTTGCTAAACCGGGTGTGGGCGTGGCCAGCACATGACGCATCCGGCTCACAGGCCACGAGTTTGACACCCCTGATGTAGACTGTCAGTCATTGCAATTATGGAGTACTTTCACCCAAGCTGGTTTTCTCCTCTCTTTTTGAAAACCCCGGGAAGTGTCAACAAATTGTAGAACAAGTTGGTTGTGCAGTCCTTCTCATCTTATGGCCCACCAAACTCTTTGCTCTGGGTGGAAATCGACATTCAGCCACCTCCAACACAGCTATCTAGTTTCTGCTTGGGCATAAGAAAGTGGAGCCTTCCACCCTTCTGGCCCATTGCTATCTATCGTATTGCACAGATCAGGAATGAAGGATTCTGGGAACTGACGTGTGGCCATCTAGGGAAGCTGAACATAGTTGTAAGGTGGTTTGATTAGCTTAGAACAGTGATTTTTCAACCTGTGGTCATCACAGGGGGTCTGCAAAGGCTCGAATAAATGTTATGTTGAACATTTTAAGTACCATTGGTCACCTGGTCCATGCAATATTCTAAGACAGTGGTTCTCAACCATGTCTTCACCATGCCCTATGATCCATGGCTACAAAAGGTATTTAAAGGCGGGGCGTGGTGAAGACATGGTTGAGAACCATTGGCTTAGAATATTGCATGGAACAGGTGACCAATGGTATTTAAAATGTTGGTGAATGAGCCCATTAAACAAATGTTTTAAAAGAATGTTTTAAGTAAATCAGTGGCTGCTTAGTGATATGTGAAATCTGCCAGCTTCAAAAAAAAAGACTTCTTGATGAGCAGGTTTCCCAAGCCGAGGTCTTGAGATAGATGCTAAAAACCATCAAATGAGGATGCTTGAGAGAATGGACAGCCACTTGTCTGAAATGATATGGGGTCTCCTGCTTGAGCAGGGGGTTGGACTAGAAGACCTCCAAGGTCCCTTCCAACTCTCTTATTCTGTTTGAATTAGGGATTTCCTAAGTCAAACAGGAGGGAGAAGACGAGCTGGTCTTTTAGAGACAAGGTCAAATGGAAGAGAGAAGACTAGCTGCTTAAAGAGATCCATCAGCACCATTAAGGAATTTATACCAGACATATTTTTTTTAAATGAAATTCATTGTTGGGGGACAATGTGACATAAATACTTTTCTGTTTCTCTCAGAATATGATGGATATGGAACAACTCATAAGGAGAAGACCTTCCAGGTGGGAAGATCTGAAGAAATAGATTTTGGAAGATTCCATTAAAAGGAGTCAAACGATCATTTCTCTGGGGTTCCAGGATTAAGGAAAGCCAGTAGATCCACCAGGAACACAAAGGCACACAGCAAAGAAAGCCAGTGAAACTTTCCTGCCTGAAGATGGCGATCGAAGTTTAAACGAAGCCAATTTTCAGCGGGGCACTAAGTCTGGAATTAAGAGGTGCCAGAGATGGTGTGCAACTATCAGTGTTCAAATGTGCAAGTAAAGGCTAACTGCGTAAATATATACTCTTTGAGAATGTTAACAGCGAACCCCATTTATTCCACAGAAAAACCCTCAACAAGGAAAAAAAATCATGTTTGCTCAGAGCGCGGAAAAAGTTTTGGTTTTAAAGCAAACCACCCGAAGATCATCCAAACCAAAAGGAAGCAGCATAAACATTCAAACTGCAGGGAAAGTTTCAACGCAAAATCAACTCTGATTAAACATGAGAAGTTACGCGCGTGAGAGAAGTTGTACAGATGCACTGAATGTGGAAAAAACTTTTCGGGGGAAAAAGGGCGTTTTGGTCAAGTCCCGAGGAGGGAAAAAGCCACATAAAATGCTCTCAACTGCAGCAAAAGTTTCATTGGGTGAGATGCCCTCATCAAACATGAGCGAAGGAGAGAAGCCGTATGAATGCTCCCACGTTTCTGGATCAGCTGCCACCTTAAATACACAAGGGTGAGAAACTTTACAAGTATTTAGATCTTGGCAAAAGCTTCAGTGAGAGAGGATGGCTGATGAAATATGATGCATACAGAAGTCATATCAGTGCTTAGACAGAATGCACATCTTCAGTCACAGCTTGTGATCTACACAAGAGCCCACACAGGAGAGGCCACAGGGGTGCCCTCAACGTGAAAAGACTTTCTTTCTAGCTCACATCTCAGGAAGCATAGTGCACATACACGCTCAAGAAGCCCCGTAAAGTTCTTCCATGGCGGGAAAACATCCGTTAGGAAATGGTGGCCCGCCAGTGGATTCATCCCTGAGAGAAACCATAAAGGCTCAGTCGGAGAGAAAGATTCTGTAATTCTTCCATGCTTCGTAAACATAGGAAAATCCATTCAGCAGCGACGTCCTGGAGGACAGGGTTGGTGTTTGGGTCTACCATGCAGTCTCAGAGATAGTGAAAATCATGCTAGCGTTGGGGTGAAACATCAGACAGCAGAAAGGAAGCACAAGGAACAAGGATGATGGCTTTTAAAAATATTGACACATTAAAGTGTTATAAAGAAGCGCTTGTTTCACACTGAAGTACTTTGTTCGACCTTTAGGATAGCAGGCAGGTTAGAAATGGCACTTTTCTCAAATCTTGGTACAGGAGACTGAGTTGTAGTCCCATTTTAGCCATGAAAGCCAGCTGGATGATCTTGGGCCAGTCAGTCCCTCTCAGTGTAACTCACCTCACAGGGTTGTTGTTATTGTGGGGAAAATAGGAGGAGGAAGGTGTATTAGATATGTTTGTCACCTTGAGTTATTTGTAAACATAATAAAGATGGGATACTAATAAACGAATAAATAAAACAGATCAGGAGGGATAAAATAGATCTCCGTAAGGGATGTATGGATTTTGAGAGAGGAGCTGCAATCTAACACAGCAAAATCTATTCAATAGGAAATATTCAGACGGCCAAAGGGGGATTTTCTTTCTAGAATTGCCCTCATAGGCCCACACTCATTCCTCATCCTCACAGTTTTATCGAGACCTGCTTGATTCTCTCTCCTGGGATTAGATAACATTAATCTTTGTGGTTAAAATACCATCCAGAGCCATTGAGAGTCAGGTGACATACAAATGACATACAAATGTAATGTAATAATAATTTTCTTTGGTGATATTTTATGTTTACATAATTTGTATGGCTGCTCTTCTCAAAAAAAAAAAAAATTACCGGTCGGCAAGAAAAGAATTCAAATGAAAACAATTATCGGTGGTTCTCAACCTTGGCAAATGTAAGATGTGTGGACTTCAATTCCCAGAATTCCCCAGACAGCCTTGCTTTTGCAGGCAAAATGAGAGGTGAACTGAGACCGGACTTTTGTCATATTTCTATTCCTCCTGATTAGACTTTTTAAAAACATTATTCCTTCCCCCCCAAGATCCTTGCTGCTGTCAGGGCTGGTCTTGACCCACAGGAAAAGTCTTAACAAAATAGGAGATGCAGCTACAAACCAGGTAGGACATGAACTGCACTGTTCTGCCTGCCATCTTGTCTTTTTTTCACTATGGACGGCCTTGTTTTCCAAGGAAAAAAAATAAGTAATCCTAATAATCAGAAAAGTTTCTAAAATGAAACCAAGGGCTTGTTTTAAGAGCAAAACTTGCTAAATGTCTAAAAATGTTGGTAGCCGACCCAGAACCATGATGTAGTGCTGGGAAAATATTTTTGCACTTATTTGCAGGAAAAAGAATGTATAGAAATAAAATTGTTTTTGCTGATTGTGAAATGCATACTTTCGTTCTCTTCCTCCACATTCATTTTCTTCCTGGCACAACCCTCTGGGTCCCCACTGGATGACTCAATTTGCTAATTCTCAGGTTGATTTTGGCTGGGTTCAGAAGCTAACCATATTGTTATCGCTTAGTACTGGGATGGGAGACCACAAAGAAACCCTTTAGAAGAGCATTATGGAGGGAACCGATAGTAATAGCAATAGCACAGACTTATATACCACTTCACCATGCTTTACAGCCCTTTCTAAATGGTTTATAAAGTCAGCCTATTGCCCCCAACAATCTGAGTCCTCATTTTACCAACCTCGGAAGGATAGAAGGCTGAGTCAACCATGAGCTGGTGAGACTTGAACCTGCCAAACTGCTGGCAGCCGGCAGTCAGAAGTAGCCTGCAGTACTGCATTCTAACCACTGTGCCACCACAGCTCAGAGCAGCTTTGCTTCCATTTTTATTGTCAAGAAAATAAGGTGAACTTACTGTTTATGGAAATTTTCAATCATCATATTCACGGTTGTCCCAGAGATCCTTTTTCAAGAGGCAACTGGACTTTCTTTGTTTTTCCTTGAAGACATTTCACTTCTCATCCAAAAGCTTCAGTTCTGAAGAACTGAGCTGAAGAAGCTTTTTGGATGAGAAGCAAAACATCTTCAAGGAAAAACAAAGTCCAGTTGTCTTATGAAAAAGCAGCTTTGGGACAAGGCAGACTTAACTTTGCAGTAAAGAAACAAAAGTGAATTTGGCAAGTTCTGAGCAGCTAGGTGTCTCTGAGTATTGGCTAAAGGTAAAGATAAAGGTTCCCCTCACACATATGTGCTATAACAACCCTCCTGAAACAAAACTCCCAAACTTAAGATTTTGGCTGCCGTCACACACAACACTGTGGCAGCAGCCAAAAAAGCCAAATTGCATTAACAGAGGGATTCTATCAAGATCAAGTGAGGTACTAATGCCATTCTATAAAGCCTTAGTAAGACCACACCTAGAACACTGCATCCAGTTTTGGTCGCCACAATATAAAAGTTGAAACTTTAGAAAGAGTGCAGAGACGAGCAACAAAGATGATTAGGAGCCTGAGGCTAAAACATGAAGAATAGTTGTAAGAACTGGGCATGGCTAGTCTAGTGAAGAGAAGGACCAGGGATGACATAGCAATTCCAATATTTCAAGGGTTGTTACACCTGAAGTTCAGACAAGGAACAATGGATGGAAACTGATTGAGGAGATATTCAATCTAGAAACAAGGAGAAACTTTCTGACAGTGAGAAACAATAAACCAATGGGACAGCTTTCCTTCAGAAGTTGTGGGAGCTTCATCATTGGAAGTTTTCAAGAAAAGACTAGACAGCCACTTGTTAGAAATGGTATAGAGCAGTGGTCACCAACGGGTGATCCGTGGACCACTGGTGGTCCGTGAGAAAATTTTGATGGTCTGCAGAAAAATTATTTGCATTTTTTGTATTGCACTAAATCAGGGGTCCTCAAACTACGGATACATGCAATGAACATTTGTGTTGCTGCAGAGTCTTCTCCTTCTGGGTCTTTTTGTATGGGTCAGAGGGGGGCAGTAATTCCGACTTGGGGTCTACTTTGGCCTCCTGGTGCGGGGCTTTGGGCAAAGACTGGAGGGAAGTGCTACTGGTGGCGAAGAGCCGGAGGACCTTGTTCCAGTGAGACTGCATCATGGCCTGAAACTAGCTGACCATCTCAGCCCGCTGAGCCTCCAGGAACCTATACCTCGCCTTGCACTCCTGCAGGTCTTCCCTCAGATCCAATTTGAACTGAGCTTTTTTGCCAACTCTTTCTCGTGGTGGCTGGTTAGCTCCAACAACTGCTTCCTGTTGGGGCCCTAAGGAGCCCGGGTGGGGAGGCGAGGAGTGGCTGGGAGGGGTGGGGCGAGTAGAGGCTTTCGAGGCCCCCCTCGAAGTGAGTGACATCAAATTGGCCACGCCCACCCAGTCGCATAACCACCTAGCCACACTCAACCACCAGGTCATTAGGCAGATCATATTAGTGGTCTGCTGGATTTAAAATTATGAATTTAGTGGTCCCTGAAAGGTTGGTGACGCCTGGACTAGAAGACCTTCAAGGTCTCTTCCAACTCTTGTTACTCTGTAAAGATGTACAGTAATTCCATCCTTGAGAACTGGATTGCCCGGGTGAAGCATAATAGCGTTAAAGCCATAGAGCTATGCCTCCTAGAGCGGACTCCAAGAGGACAGATATACGGCGGGGCTGCAGCGCCATCTGGAAGGGAGGAGCGTGGGAAAGGCTGATCAGAGCAAGCAGGATTGCGGAAAAAAGGCGGTGGCTGTTCCCGAGGTCGTATGGATGGAAGGGAGGGAGAAATCAGAAGGAGGAAAGGAAGGTGAAATCAGAGGGGGGAAGGTAGGAAGGAAGAAAAGAAAGAAAGAAAGAAAGAAAGAAAGAAAGAAAGAAGGAAGGAAGGAAGGAAGGAAGGAAGGAAGGAAGGAAGGAAGAAAAGAAAGGAAAGGAAAGGAAAGGAAAGGAAAGGAAAGGAAAGGAAAGGAAAGGAAAGGAAAGGAAAGGAAGTGGGGCAACTGCGTGATCTCTGTCTCCATTCCACTCGTGCAGTGCGGGTCACCTTTGCTTATCAGGTGCGGTTCCAAAACAGGATTCTTCTTTTGGCAAACACAACAAAAAAGAAACACACACAAAAACTGGGATCTCGACTTGCCCCGATTTCTGTGATCCAAGTATGGTTTTTGAAAGAGGTATTGGAAGAAATGACCCTCTGGGTTCAGTTCCAAGTGGGAAGACAGACACTGGAAACATGGAGACTGCTTGGAAAGATGGTTTAATGGTGGACAGGACCACATGGTTTTGAGGTCCTGAGCAAAAAGAGCACATGGGTGAGAGAGGGAGCGAGATTTATACCCTCTGTTGGGCTTTGAACTTGCTTCCTGTTCCTGTGGCAAGAAATGTATCCTGATTGGTTGTCAGACTTCCATGGGGCCATGCAGGGGTAACTCTGTAGATTGTCTTGAATTCCAGGCTTGGTTGAATCTTGTTGGGTGATGATGTAATGAAGGGGCTTTGGGCAATTCCTATTATGGCTTAATGGCTTTGTCCTGGTTTGGATCTTGAGTGAGGGCTAATCCTATCATATCCTGAGGGCCATGTCTTTTATTTTGTAGATAAGCTGGCCCAGCCTTTGTCTTGTAGATAGGTTGGCACCAAAATATCTGCTGGGGGTGGGGTGGGGCAGGGAGCTCAGGCTCTGAGTTTGTTTTTAGAAATATATTTCTCCTTTAGGGAAAATATAATATTCTGCCTTTTTAGTATTTCCTAGAATATTTCATTTTTCTAGGAGAGGGGTGGGTGCTAACTTCCTACAGAGGCAGCTGGATCTACTTGGTGATTCCTTGGGGTCTGCAGCCTTAAACACTCAAGGGTCCATTTGGACCCGTTTCCCACAGAAAAGAAAACACCAGGAGCCACAAAACCAGGGGTGAAATCCAGCAGTTTCTAACAGGTTCTGGAGAATCGGTAGCGGAAATTTTGAGTAGTTCGGAGAACCGGCCAATACCACCTCTGGTTGGCCCGAGAGTGGGGTGGGAATGGAGATTTTGCAATATCCTTCCCATACCACACCCACCAAACCACGCCCACAGAACCGGTAGGGGAAAATTTTGAATTTCACCTCTTGCCAAAACGCTTCCCGTGCCTGCCTATTTCTTGAGCGGCCACAAAACTAGCATATGTAGTTGAATTAAGCTTCAAGTTTTCTTCTGAAACTTTTCTTTTCTTGGATTTATCCATGGTTGGCCTACCAGGGGTTGAAAAGCTCAACAAACTGTGTGCCGGCGGGTGTCGCACATTGGTGGTTGTGACACATATTTTGAGTGACAGGGAGCCGCAGCAGAGGGGTGAAAGAGCCACATGAGGCTCCAGCCACAGGTTGCTGACTCCTGCCCTATAGAAAAAGGACAACTGTGATAGACAATCTTATATGCAAGCCATTTTGCTGTTTGGTGAATAAGGCCTCAGGCTAGGAACCCAGGAGACGGTGAGTGGGAATCCTAGTCAGAAAGTCTTCTGGAGATCTTTGGGGCAATTTCTCTCCCAGCCCCAGAAAGGAGGCTGCCAAGTAATCACCCGACTGTAGCTCTCATATGCTGGTCTGCTTGCCTGAGATTCCTACCTCTTCCCACATCACAGTCTTCGTGAGCAGTGGTGGGATTCAAGTAATTTAACAACCGGTTCTCTGCCCTAATGATTTCTACCAACAACCAGTTTGCCAAACTGCTCAGAAAGTTAACAACCGGTTCTCCCAAAGTGGTGCGAACTGGCTGAATCCCACCACTGCCCATGAGGTCCTCACTTAATGACCCACAAGGTCCTGGAGTTGTAACGGCAACTAGAATTGCCAGCACAGCCCTCACTAAGCAATACGGTCACAGGACATCACATTGTATGGAACCATTGCTTAGCAATGGGAATTCTGAGGCCAATTGCTGTTGCAACCCGAGAATTACCCATATTTCTTCTGCAAGCTCAGAAGGCAGAAAGAGTAATTCCCCCCCCCTCTTCTGGACAGTTGGCATCCTGGCCGGCTTTATACTTGGCAACAGCAGTTTGTTATCTGTAAGAAAATCCTGAGTCTGTCGTAACAGACAAATTCAACCCAATGCATTCCATGACTTACAACATTTCATGTAGCGGCCCTCCTAGATATCTCATCAGGTTTTAATACAATTGACCATGATATCCTTCTGGACCGGCTTTGGGGACTAGAAGTGAGAGGCACTGTATTATGGTGGTTCTACTTCAACCTCCATGTCCGGTACCAGTAGATGTTGGTAGGAGAAGAGAGGCCCCAGCAATTTGGGGTGCCTGGGGCTCCTTTTTAACATCTACACAAAGTGTAGAGGCCACCCATCCTATGATACCCCATTTATATTCAGGTAGTCCTTGACTTACATTTCATTTAGTGACCATTAAAAGTTACAGCAGCACTGAAAAAAGTGACTTATGAACATTTTTCACATTTACAATGATACATTGCAGCATCTCCATGGTCACATGAACAAAATTCAGACACTTGGAAATTTATATTTGCGACGGTTGCAGTGCCCTGGGGCCATGTGATCAGCTTGCTCGACTGAATTGGTGCAGAACCTGGGTGTTCTCCTGGACTCATGGCTCCTGCTTGAGACTGGGAGAGGCTTTTGCAGAGATTCATTTACTCCACCAATTACTGCACTGTAAATCATGCCCTCTGAGACACTAATCATGCGGTTAACTTCTCCAGTTTAACTCCTTGCAAGGAGAAAGATAACCAGTTTTGGCCAAGAACGGCACCAGGCATGAATGTAGTTAGTAAGGCCAGGAGGCCTGGTTGACTTCTAAATTGAACAAAAGCAAGAATAACCTTCTTGGGACTCCCTGACTATAAAAATGCCATCAACGTTGTTAGAAGGGCCCTGTATTTGCAGGGCAAGTAAATATTAAATGCGGAGCCTTTGCATTTTGTAATATATGGGGTTTATTGGTTTCTGTATTAAGATTTTATTGTATTGCTGTAAACTGTGTCAAGTCAGATGAGTTGGGCTGCTATATAGATTTTCTTAATAAAAATAAATACATGCAAACATGTTTATATGCCCCTTTATATGTAGAAATAATTCAAGATGACAAACACACCTAATACAGACTCACTTTTTTTGGCTCAGCACAGCAGTTCCCCTCAACTCCATGAAAGGGAACTGCCGCACTGGGCCAGAGAAAGGAAGCTCAGATCTCCTTCATGTTTGATACTAAGACATGTTTGACTAAAAAGAATCATGCAAGAAATTAAATTAGTAATTTCTCAGCTGGGCTTCCAATAAGAAATGAGAAACGAAGTTCAAGATTCCTCTACACACATCAAATTTTCCCTCAGGTGGAATTTCTTATGTGCGATAAGAGAGGAATTCCGTGTGAAACACTGTTCACAATCTGAGCATTTGAATGGTTTCTCCCCTGTGTGTAACCTAACATGATTTATAAGATTAGACCTAATACTGAAATCTTTCCCACAATCTGGACACTCATATGGTTTTTCTCCTGTGTGAGTCCTCCAGTGTATCACCAAGTCGTAATTCCGATAGAAACATTTCCCACACTCGAGACACTCATATCGTTTATCTCCTGTGTGAATTCTCTGGTGCTTCACCAGGTACGAATTCTGACTGAAACTTTTCCCACACTCGAGACATTCATATGGTTTTTCTCCTGTATGAGTCCTCTGATGTTTCATCCGGTTGGAATTATGGCTGAAACTTTTCCCACAATACATACAGTCATATGGTTTCTCTCCCGTGTGAGTCCTCTGGTGTATAACCAGGTGAGAATTCTGACTGAAACTTTTTCCACAATCCGGACACTCATACAGTTTCTCTCCTGTGTGAATCCTCTGGTGTATCATCAAGTCAGAATTTCGAATGAAACTTTTCCCACACTCAAGACACTCATACGGTTTTTCACCTGTGTGAGTCCTCTGGTGTATCATCAGAGCAGAATTCCAATTGAAACTTTTACCACAATCCAGACACTGAAATGGTTTCTCCCCTTTGTGAGTCTTTTGGTGCTTCACCAGTTCAGACTTCCAACTGAAACTTTTCCCACACACTTGACACTCATACATTTTCTCTCCTGTATGATTTCTCTGGTGTACCACTAGATAGGAATTCCGAGAGAAACCTTTCCCACAATCAGGACACTCATATGGTTTCTCTCCTGTGTGAATTCTCTGGTGTTCCACCAGGTGGGAATTCCGACTGAAACTTTTCCTACAATCCAGGCACTCATATGGTTTTTCTCCCGTGTGAGTCTTCTGGTGCTTCACCAAGTCGGAGTTCCAGTTGAAATCTTTGTTGCAATCTGGACATTCATATGGTTTATCTCCAGTGTGAGTCCTCTGATGTTTCAGAAGGTTGGAATTATAACTGAAACTTTTCCCACAATCAGGACATTCAAAGGGTTTCTCTCCTGCGTGAGTTCTCTGGTGTACAAGCCGGTTGGAATTCTGTTTGAAACTTTTTCCACAATCCACACACTCATAAGGTTTTTCTCCTGTATGAGTTCTCTGGTGTTTCACCAAGTTGCAATTCTGACTGAAACGTTTCCCACAATACAGACACTCATATGGTTTCTCTCCCGTGTGAGTCCTCTGGTGTATCACTAGCTTGGAATTATGCTGAAAACTTTTCCCACAATCTGGACATTCATATGGTTTCTCTCCTGTGTGGTTTTTCTGATGTATCACCAGGTCAGATTTCTGATTGAAACTTTTCCCACAATACAGACACTCATATGGTCCCTCTCCTGTGTGAGTCATCTTGTCTCTCACCAGATTGGTTTACCTGCTAATTTTTTTTTGCCACATGGGGCACACTGGTAGAATTTCTCTTCGGTAGGAGTCCTTCCATGAATCATGAGCAACCTGTTCTCAGTAAAGCTTTTGCCGCACTCCAAACATTTGTATGGCTTTTCACTGGGTGGATCGACTTATGCATAAATCAGATGTGATCTGTAATCTCTGTTTTCCCCACAATTAGGCAGTCTGTGGGGGTTTTGCAACACTGCTATTCTTGGATTCTTGAGGTCAACAATGTTTCTGTTCGCTTACCTGGTGTTTGTTTGATTCAAGTCACTCTTTCCTTCCACAAAGGCTTTTGTTAATGCCTGCCAGTTTTGGCCATCCAAGGGACCTTTTCCTTCCCACCGACTTCTGACAATTTCCTACTTTTTCTGAATGTGTAAATTATCGCCCTTGACTTTTTATGTTCTACATATTCTATTTTCCAGCTCAATGCCTTGTTATTCTTCCCTTTGTCTCTCTGCTGAGGCAGGAGAAGTGTTTTTTATACTTTCTGGAGGAAATGTAAAATATTTTGATTGATGGTTTGTTTTGCATTTTAATGCAGCTTCTCATTCTGTTATCCAGAGTGCTCTTCTTGGCATCCTCTTTTTCTGTAAGATTCATATTTAAGGGTTAGTTTCATTACTGTTTAAAGAATGGTTGGAGAACATGTGAAAGCAGCACAAACAATAAAAATAAATCCCCATATACCATAAATAAACAAACACCAAAATTCTAATTCAACCTCTAACATTAATTATCATTCATTTGGCATATAGAAGACTATGGATTTATGTAAATAAATTTATGAAAATAAAATCCCAGAGGAGAAAAGAGGTCAAGCTTCAGTTTTAACAGCTTTGCTAAGTTGCAGAGGAAAGTTTCGAAGAGTTCCCCTACACCCCACCCCCAGAGGAAAAACTATCTTGGAACTGAGGGAGGTGCATTTTTGCCTTTCTAGTTTAACTTCTAACATTAATTATGATGTATTTGGCATATAGAAGACTAGCAAGACCCAAATTCAAATATCGACTGAATCATAAGATTGTCGTTTTGGCTTGGGTAAATCACTCTTATATGCACGCGTATGAGCACAGAAATATTTATTTATGTAGATATCTGTGTGTATCTTCAAGTGCAAAATGTCCCAGAAGTGCATTGACTCAATTTGGTTGATATAATTTTAGAAAGGTGGGGACACTAACAGATGAAATGATGCCCAAATCCTATGCAAGATTTAAAGCCTCTGCTTTGCCCATGAAACTCCTCCCTTGCCAGGAAATCAACATATCAATAAAATAATCAAGTGTTGCGTGAAAGCGGAGCGATTTGGGCGGTTAAGAAACATGAAACATAAATAAATATTTTTTAAATCTCCCAAATCTGCCAGCAGAAAATCACAGGCAGCAATTTTAAATCATGCAGCCTAAGGATAAGAAACATTCGGGGAGAGAAAGAACATGCAGCAGGAGCCAACACGTTTCAGTTTGCTCTGCTTCCAGGCCGTGGAGGAACCCAAAGGGCCCGACTTGCTCCCGACTTCTCCTCCGACCTTCCCTCCACTCACCTCCCAGGAGCCGCTTCCACCCTCCAAGCAGCACAAGAGGCTCCGCCGACGCCTCCATCTTCCCTGAGCCAGAAGTTCCTCTGCCCCTCACCTCCTCTCCTCCATATCCTCTCTAGCAAAATAGTTCTCTATCGTTTCAACTCCTTCAATCTCAGCCTGTCTCCCTTCTCTTGAATAGCTAAACTGCAGCTATACAGTCCCTGTTGCTTCTCTGTAGATCGCCATCTAGCGACATAAGGCGGAAGAACATGCTCGTTCTACCCTAAGGTGTTTGACGATGTTTTCATTGATTCCTTATGTGCCATCAAGTCCTGTCATCTGCACCTCTATAACTCTGCAACCCCAACAAGACAGACACAGACTTCAGAGGATAATTAGAACTGCAGAAAAAAACAATTACTACCAACCTGCCTTCCATTGAGGACCTGTATATTGCAGGAGTCAAAAAGAGGGCTGTGAAAATATTTACAGACCCACCACATCCTGGACATAAACTGTCTCATCTCCTACCCTCAAAACGACGCTATAGAGCACTGCACACCAGAACTAGACCCAAGAACGGGTTTTCCCCAAATCCCATCACTCTGCTAAACAAATAATTCCCTCAACACTGTCAAACTAGTTAAGTCTGCACTACTATTAATCTTCTCATCACCCATCTCCTCCCACTTATGACTGTATGACTGTAACCTTGTTGCTGATATCCTTATGATTTATATTGACTGTTTCCTAGTATGATTTGATTGCTTATTTGCTCCCTATGACAATCAGTAAGTGTTGTACCTTATGATTCTTGACAAATGTATCTTTTTTATGTACACTGAGAGTGTATGCACCAAGACAAATTCCTTGTGTGTCCAATTACACTTGGCCAATAAAAAAATTCTATTCTGTTCTATTCTATTCTATTCTATTCTATTCTATTCTATTCTATTCTATTCTATTCTATTCTATTCTATTCTATTCTATTCTATTCTATTCAACTGCCAGCAAGCTCGTCGATAGCTTTTCTCCCTGAGGCTCCATCCCAAACCTTTTCTTTCAAGTCTCCCAAGAGGAGACTTCTTGTCCCTGGAGCTGAGCCTGAAGCTTCTTTGGTAAGAGGCGGCAGCTAAATTACAGGAAAACGCCCTTTGGGGGTGGGATAGAAATGATGTGCAAATAGGAAGAGGAAAGTGCACCTTCCTTAGTCCCAGGTTTTCCTCTTGTGGCGTTTGTGTGTGCAGGATAACCCCTCAAAACGTGTCTCTGCAACTTAACTGAAACTGTAAGACTGAAACTTGACCCCTTGTCTCTGCTGGGATATTATTTTCTTTTACTTCCATGTTTAGCTAACAAGCACAGTATTTCCTATTGGTGTCCCATCCCTTCTTAGCAATGGAAAATTTGGCACCAATTGCTGTCCTCATCTTAGAGCCGTCTATATTTCTTTTCCAACCTCAGGAGCGGAATGGAAGAACCCAGGAGAGAGTGGGAACTCTAGAGAGAAATCCTGCTGGGGCTTTTTAGGCAGATTTCTCTCCTAGCTCCAAAAGAAGGAGGTTACCCACCTTTCTGTAACTCTCACCTGCTGGTTTGCTTGCCTGGGATTCCTACCTCTTCCCACATCACAGTCACATGAGGTCCTCACTTAATGACCCACAAGATCCTGGAGTTGTAATGAAAACTGGAACTGCCAGGATTTCCCTCACTAAGCAAAGTGGTCACATGATGTGAATTTTTATAACCCCATTGGATAGTACTGGAAATCCGGGCACCAATTCCTGTCGCAACCAGAGAAGCATCCATATTTCTTTTACAAACTCAAGAGAGGGCTGGAAGAGTCATTTCCCCTCTTCTGGACAGTTGACATTATATCTTCAACAGCATTTGTTATGCATAAGAAAATCATGAAGGGTTTTCCTGGCAGAGGAGTTCAAGGCATTGCTGCAGATTAAGGTCTTTTGTAAGTGCAGTTGAAGAGGGCCATGAAAGGCTGGTAGCCTGGAACTATAACTCACCCTCTGCTTCCAGCTCTGACTTTGCCACCTGGAGAAAGGGCTGTGCAGGAGGAGAAAAACACCTGGGCCATTTTCACTCTGGGTTCAGGCCCGGGCACATCACCATAATGGCATTGGTTGCAATTCTCATGGACTTCTGGAAGGCTTGGGATAGATGGGGCAGAACAATTTTTGCCCTCATAAACCTCTTATCAGGTTTCAATGTCATTGACCACGATATCCTTCTAGACTGTCTTTGGGAACTGGCTGACTGCCTGATCCGTGTGGTTAGAAGAGGGGCCGAGCTTCGATCCCTGCAATTTGGGGTGCCCTGGGGCTCAAGCCTTTTGTTACTGCATTTTAAAATCTACAAGAAACTGCTAGAAGCCTTCTATCCTATGATGTCCAATTATGTATGGGTAATCCTCTATATATGACACTTTATTTAGTGACCATCTGAAGTTACAACGGCATTGAAAAAAGTGATTTATGACCATTTTTCACACCACCATTGCAACACCCCCATGGCCATGTGATCAAAATAGGGATGCTTGGCAATTGACTTATATTTCTTGACAGTTGTCCTGGGGTCAGCCCGTGCCACCATCCAGGGGTCCTCCGCATGGCCTGAGAGGGACGGTGAGGCTCCTCTGTGGACCAGGCTTTGGTGTTTGCCATGCTCTCGTCTTCCTCCACTGGAGACCTCCGGGTCCCCCCTCCCATCCTGGCCTGGACCCCCACAAGAGACGGAGGATGACACTGCTGCATGTGGAAGCGCGGAGGAGAAAGCTTGCAGAAAGCAGTTTCCTCAGAGTCCAACTTCTGCCTTGACAGATCTCTGGAGAACAGGTAGCTGTGTAAGTGAAAGCTGCCTCAACAAGCCTGCATCCTTACAACACGATTGGAAATGGGGATTTCCTTTTGAGAAGGGCCAGCCTGCCTCATGCAGGACCGGGGAGCGCTGTTACCCTGCCTCCTCCTCTTGCTCTCCAGTGATCTGTCAAGGCAGATCTCGGAGGAAACTGCTTCCCGCAAATTTTCTCCTCTGCGCTTCCACACGCAGCAGCGTCGTCCTCCTCCGCCTCCTGCTTTGCTGGGAGAGGGCACAGGACAGGGAAATGCCAGCGATGTCTAGGATTGGGAGAACATCATCTCCTTTGGCATGCTCTGCCATGCACACACACACATCACATTCCAAGCTTGGAGACTTTTATCCACATCTGAGCTTGCAAACTGCCAATCATGCCTGGGCTTGGGGAGAAGGTTCCCTCCTTCCTCTGTGGATAAAACTCCCCATACTTAGAAAGTGGTGTGTGTGCACGCACACTTAGCTGCCAGCAGTTTGGGTGCAATTTATTCAATCCCGACCCAGCTGTCTGGACTCAGCCACGCCCAGTGAGCTTGCAGAAAGAAATACCCACCTGGCTACCTGGCTGTGACCCGCAACCGAGCTGTGACCACCCAGCCGCATCTCCCCAGCCATGATCACCTGGCCACTGTGAGTCGTCATAGTCTTACATGCAACTGGCCCTTTGAGGGCAACCATAATGCTCATGTGGCCCTCAATGAAATTGAGTTTGACATCCCTGATTTATAGTGTCAACATATAGCCCCTACAATCTTTGTTTTCTCATTGTACCGATCTCAGAAGGATGGAAGGCTGAGTCAACCTCGAACCCCATCAGGATCGGATTCTAGGCTGTGGGCAGAGTCAGCCGGCAATACTGCATTCTCACCACTGAGCCACCAGGGCATCTGTCATTATTGCCCCACCTTTATTATTTTTGAGTCCATCTGTTCTACCAGGTCAGATAGGATGGGCACACTCCTAGCCCCTTAAATATTGCTATTGGATAGGAGCTAGGAAGTGAGCCTTTTCTGTTGCAGCTCCTGCCCTGAGACACTCTTCCCCCTGAAGTTCGGCAGGCCTATATCCTCCTAGTCTTCCATAAAGCATGGAAGATGTAGCTTTTCCACTACGCACTGGAATAAGAAAAGGCGCCTGCCCACTAGAAGCTTGATTTGGAACCAGGTGTTTGTTTATATGCATTTGGTTTTAATATGGGTTTTAAGTTAATTATTGATTGGGAGCGGGCCTGAGTTTGTTATAACATGGATAGCTACATAAATATTTTAAATAACTCAGAGGAATCCAAAAAACGGCCTCACTGAAGCAGCCCATCTACAGGGCACTGAAGGTCTATGCATTTCCTTAATTATCAAATTTATATTGTTGCTACTCCAGAGATTAAATTCTCTAATTTAACTCCTTGCAAGGGGAAAGATTACCAGTTTTGAGGAAGAATGGCACAAGAAATGAACATAATTAGTAAAACCGGGAACCTTGGTTAACTTCTAAATTAAACTAAAGCAAGAATCACCTTTTTGGAATTCCCAGACCATCCCAATCCCAACTTTGCTAGAAGGGCCCTGTATTTGCAGGATAAATACATGTTAAATGCAGACGATTTGCATTTTGCCATTTGCAATATATGGAGTTTATTGGTTTCTGTATTAAGGCTTTATTGCTGTAAACCATGTGGAATAACCATGATTTTAGCTGCCAAATGGATTTTCAAATTAAGTAAAAATGCATACAAACACATTTATATCCCCCTTTATTATATGTAGAAATAACTAAAGGTGGCAAATTAATAGAGATCCAACCTCGTTTTCTTTGGCCCAGCATGGCAGTTCCCCTCGACTCCATGAAAGGGAACTATCTCAGTGGGACAGAGAAAGGATGCTCAGATTAGAGGCCTGCAGGCTAAAAAACATGAAGAACAGTTACAGGAACTGGGCATGGCTAGTCTAGGGAAGACAAGAATCAGGTGTGGCATGAAAGCAGTCCTCCAATATTGGAGAGGTCACAAAGAGGAGAGGGACAACCTTTTTTCCAGAGCACCCGAAGGCCAGACAAGGAACAATGGACGGAAACTGATCAAGGAGAGATTCAAACTAGAAATAAGGAGACGTTTTCTGACAGTGAGAAGAATCAACCAATGGAACAGCTCGCCTTCAGAAGTAGCGAGTGCTTCATCACTGGAGCCCCTTGAAGAGGAGACTGGACTGCAATGTGTCAGAAATGTTATAGGGTTCCCTGCTTGGTTTGGACTAGATGACCTATAAAGTTCCTTCCAATTTTGTTATTCTATTCTATTCCTCCCCGATGTTTGATACGAAGACATGTTTCACTAAAAAGAATCATGCAAAAAATTACATGGTTAATTGCTCAGCTGCGTTTCCATAAGAGACAAGAAATGAAATTCAAGATTCCTCTACACACATCAAATTTTGCCTCAAGTGAAATCTCTTGTATGATAAGAAAGGAATTATGAGCAAACACTGCCCACAATCTGGGTATATAAATTGTTATTCTCCTATGTGTAACTTTACATGATTTAGAAGGCTAGTCCTAGTACTGAAATCTTTCCCACAGTCTGGACACTCATATGGTTTCTCTCCTGTGTGAGTCCTTCGGTGTATCACCAAGTCATAATTCCGACAGAAACATTTCCCACAGTCTGGACACTCATATGGTTTCTCTCCTGTGTGAGTCCTTCGGTGTATCACCAAGTCGTAATTCCGAAAGAAACATTTCCCACAGTCAAGACACTCATATGGTTTCTCTCCGGTGTGAGTCCTCTGGTGTATCACCATCTTGGAATTATGCAGAAAACTTTTCCCACAATCCAGACACTCATACAGTCTCTTTTCTTTGTGAGTTTTCTGGTGTTTCACCAGTTCAGACTTGCAACTGAATTTTTTGCCACACTCGGGCCACTCACACAGTTTTTCTCCTGTGTGTGTCTTCTGGTGTATCACCAGGTGGAAATTCCAACTGAATCTTTTCCCACAATCAAGGCACTCATAGGGTTTTTTTCCTGTGTGAGTTTTCTGGTGTCTCACCAGGTGGGAGGCCTGAGTGAAACTTTTCCCACAATCAGGACACTCATATGGTTTCTCTCCTGTGTGAGTCCTCTGATGAATCACCAAGTTGTCATTCCGAAAGAAACTTTTCCCACAGAACAGACACTCATATAATTTTTCTCCTGTGTGAGTCAACTGGTGCATCACCAGGTTAGAATTCCGAGTGAAACTTTTCCCACAATCCGGGCATTGATACAGTTTGTCCCCCGTGTGAGTTCTCTGGTGTACTGCCAGGTGAGAATTCCGATGGAAGCTTTCCTCACAATCTGCACACTTATATGGTTTCTCTCCCATGTGAGTCCTCTGGTGTTTCACCAGGTAGGAATTCTGACTGAAACTTTTTCCACAATCACAACATTTATATGCTTTCTCTTCTGTATGTGTTTTCTGATGTTTCACCATGTCAGAATTCCGAGTGAAATGTTTCCCACAATCTGCACACTTATATGGTTTCTCTCCCGTGTGGGTCCTCTGGTGTATCACCATGTCAGAATTCCGAGTGAAACGTTTCCCACAATATAGACACTCATATGGTTTCTCTCCTGTGTGAGTCCTCTGGTGTATAATCAGGTGGGAAGTTTGAATGAAACATTTACCACACTCCAGACACTTATATGGTTTTTCTCCTGTGTGAATCCTCTGGTGTATCACCAGCTCAGAATTCATATTGAATCCTTTTCCACAATCTGAACACTCAAATGGTTTCTCTCCCGTGTGAGTCCTCTGGTGTCTCACCAGATACGAATTATGACTGAAACTTTTCCCACAATGACATTCATATGGTTTCTCTCCTGTGTGAGTCCTCTGATGTTTCACCAGATTAGAATTCCGAGAGAAACCTTTCCCACAATCAGGACACTCATATGGTTTTTCTCCTGTGTGAGTCCTCTGGTGTACTTCCAACTCGGAATTCCAATTGAAACCTTTCCCACAATCTGGGCATTCATATGGTTTTTCTCCTGTGTGAATCCTCCGATGTATCACAAGCTTGAAATTCTCCTTGAAGCTTTTCCCACAATCCGGACACTCATATGGTCTCTCTCCCATGTGAGTCCTCTGATGTATCACCAGGTCAGAATTTTGAGAGCAGCTTTTCCCACAATCAGGACATTCGAAGAGTTTCTCCCCAGTATGAGTCCTCTTGTGTCTCACCACATTGGTGTTCATGCTTAATCTTTTCTTGTATTGGAAGCACTGGTAGTTTCACTTCGGTATGGGTCCTTCCATGAATTATGAGGAAGCTTTTCTGACTGATGGTTCATTTTGGATTTTAATGCTGCTTCTCATTCTTTGTTGTTCAGCGTGCTCTTCTTGGCATCCTCTTTGTCTGTAAGATTCACAGTAATGGGCTAATTTCATTGTTTAAAAAATGGTTGCAGGACCTGTGAAAGAAGCAAAAAATCTCCATATATTAGCATGAAAAAACAAACACCAAAATTCTAGTTTAACATCTAATATTAATTATGATTCATTTGGCATATAGAAAATTATTAAGATCTAAGTTCAAATATTGACTTGATCATAAGATTCTCTTTTTCAATCAATCAATCAGAATAGAGCTTGAAGGGTCCTAGGAGGTCTTCTAGTCCAGCCCCCTATTCAAGCAGGAGCAGGGTATATCATTACAGGGTAATCTCGCATGGACGCATGCACAGGCACACAGAAATCCACACGTACAAATTTATGCATGTAGACAATCTATGTGTATCTTCATGTACAAAATGAAGATACTTGGTAGTACAGGGGTTTAAGGCACCCTGTTATTAAGCTGGTTATTAAGACCAGCTGCCTGCAATTACTGCAGGGTTCGAATCTCACCAAGGCTCAAGGTTGACTCAGCCTTCCATCCTTTCTAAGGTAGGTAAATTGAGGACCCAGTTGTGGGGGCAATAAGCTGACTTTGTATAAATATACAAAAGGATGAAGGCTATTGCTGAGCACATTGTAAGCCGCCCTGAGTCTTCGGAGAAGGGCGGCATATAAATCAAATAAAAAAAAAAATGCCCCAGAAGTGCATTTGCTCATACTTAGAGGTTTTAGGGGTTTCACCTCTAAAATTAATTATGATTCATTTGGGACATAGACGACTAGCAAGATCCAAGATCAAATATCAACTCAATCATAAGATTATCTTTTTGGCTCGGGTAAATCACTCCTACATGCACGCATGTGAGCACATAAATACAAACCTATTGATTTATGTATGTAGACAATATATGTGTATTTCAGTGTGCAAAATGTTCCAGAACTGCATTTGCTCAAATCTTTTGATCTAATTTGAGAAATCTGGGCAGTAACAGATAAAATGTGCCTAAATCCTATGCAAAATGTAAAACATCCATTTTGCCCATAAAATTCCTCACTTGCCAGGAAAGCAACATGTCAATAAAATCACAAGGAATCAAGTGTTTATTATTATTATTGTTTATTGGTTCGATTTATATGCCGCCCTTCTCCGGAGACTCAGGGAGGCTTACAATGTGTTAAGCAATAGCCTTCATACTTTTGTATATACCTGCTTAGTAGGGCTTTTGCCCCCGCCCCCCAAAGCGGTGTTCTTTTTATACAAAGTCAGCTTATTGCCCCCACAATCCGGGTCCTCATTTTACCTACCTGGAAGGATGGAAGGCTGAGTCAACCCTGAGCCTGGTGAGATTTGAACTTGCAGTAATTGCAGGCAGCTGGCAGCTAAGTGCTACTTAACAGCACTTTAGTCAGTTGTGCCACCAAGGCTCCTACACTTCATGAAGTGTTTCATGAAGGGTGAGGGAAATTAGCGGTTAAGAAATATGAAACATATATATAAAGATTTCTTTAAATGTCCCAAATTGCCAGCACAAAATCACAGGCAGCAGTTTTAAATCACACAGCCCCAAAAGAATACTGAATACTGTCTGGGTGCACTGTATACACCTGCCTATTGACACACATATGCACTCCTAAGAATTTATTTATGCAGACAATATGTGTGTATCTTCAAGTGCAAAATGTCCCAGAAGTGCATTGACTCAATTTGGTTGATATAATTTTAGAAAGGTGGGGACACTAACAGATGAAATGATGCCCAAATCCTATGCAAGATTTAAAGCCTCTGTTTTGCCCATGAAACTCCTCCCTTGCCAGGAAATCAACATATCAATAAAATAATCAAGTGTTGCGTGAAAGCGGAGCGATTTGGGCGGTTAAGAAATATGAAACATAAATAAATAATTTTTAAATCTCCCAAATCTGCCAGCAGAAAATCACAGGCAGCAATTTTAAATCATGCAGCCTAAGGATAAGAAACAATTCGGGGAGAGAAAGAACATGCAGCAGGAGCCAACACGTTTCAGCCTCTTGGCTTGCTCTGCTTCTAGGCCGTGGAGGAACCCAAAGGGTCCGACTTGCTCCCGGCTTCTCCTCCGACCTTCCCTCCACTCACCTCCCAGGAGCCGCTTCCACCCTCCAAGCGGCACAGGAAGGTCCTCCGACGCCATCTTCCTCCCTGAGCCAGAAGTTCCTCTGCCCTTCACCTCCTCTCCTCCATATCCTCTCTAGCAAAATAGTTCTCTATCGTTTCAACTCGTTCAATCTCAGCCTGTCTCCCTCCCCTTGAATAGCTAAGCTGCAGCTATACAGTTCCTGCTTTATATTGCTTCTCTGTAGATCGCCATCTAGCGACATAAGGCGGAAGAACATGCTCGTTCTACCCTAAGGTGTTTGACGATGTTTTCATTGATTCCTTTATGTGCTAACAAGTCCTATTCGACTCCTATCGAGCTCGTCGATAGCTTTTCTCCCTGAGGATCCATCCCCAAACCTTTTCTTTCAGGTCCCCTAAGAGGGCACTCCTTGTCCCTGGTGTTGATCCCGAACTTCTTTTGTTAGACCACAGAAAGCAGTTTCCTCAGAGTCCAACTTCTGCCTTGACAGATCTCTGGAGAACAGGTAGCTGTGTAAGTGAAAGCTGCCTCAACAAGCCTGCATCCTTACAACACGATTGGAAATGGGGATTCCCTTTCGAGAACGGCCAGCCTCCCTCATGCAGAACCAGGGAGTGCTGTTACCCTGCCTCCTCCTCTTGCTCTTCAGAGATCTGTCAAGGCAAAAGTTGATCTCGGAGGAAACTGCTTCCTGCAAACTTTCTCATCTGCGCGTCCATGCACAGCAGCATCGTCCTCCGCCTCCTGCTTTGCTGGGAAGGGGTACAGGACAGGGAAATGCCAACGATGTCTAGGATCGGGAAAAGAATATCTCCTTTGGCATGCTCTGCGCCCACACATAAGCACACACACACCATTCCAAGCTTGGAGATTTTTATCCATTTCTGAGCTTGCAAACTGTCAATCATGCCTGGGCTTGGGGAGAAGGCACTCTCCTGCCTCTGTGGATAAAATCCCCCAAAATTAGAAGGTGCTCTGTGCTTGTACGCACACTTGGCTGCCAGTAGTTTGGGGAGGTGAGGAGCTTGTGAGACATCGAATTGTCCCCACATCAAGTTAGACAGAGCCATTTGTTCCGTCCCGACCCAATTGTCCTGAGTCAGCACCGGCCATGCCACACAGCCACACCCAACCAGTTGCGGCAACCAGGCCATGACTACTCAGTCACTTCTCCCCAGCCATGTACACTGGCCATTGTGTTACATACAACTGGTCCTTTGAGGGCAACCATAATGCTCACGTGGCCCTCAATGAAATTGAGTTTGACACCCCTGGTTTATAGTGTCAACATATTGTCCCCAAAAAAGTTGGTCCTCATTTGGTCCCCAAAAAGTTGGTCCTCATTTTACCAATCTCAAAAAGATGGAAGGCTGAGCTAACCTAGAGCCCAGTCAGGATCAGATTTCAGGCTCTGGGTAGAGTCAGCCAATAATACTGCATTCTAACCACCGAGCCACCAGGATATCTGTCACTATTCTCCCATGTTTATTATTTTTGCATCCATTTGTGTTCTTCCAGGTCAGATAGGATGGGAACACTTCTAGCCCCTTCTCTTAAATATTGCCATCAAACAGGAGCTAGGAAGTGAGCCTTTTCCGTTGCAGCCCCTGCCTTATGAGACACTCTTCCCCCTGAAGTTTGGCAGGCCTATATCCTCCTAGTCTTCCATAAAGCATGGAAGATGTAGCTTTTCCATTAAGCATTGGGATAAGAAAAGGCGCCTGCCCACCAGAAGCTTGATTTAGAGCCAGGCGTTTGTTTATATGCATTTGATTTTAATATGGGTTTTAAGTTAATTACTGATTCGGAGTGGCCCTGAGTTTGTTATAACATGAATGGCTACATAAATATTTTAAATAAATTAGAGGAAAAACAGATGAATCCAAAAAACGGCCCCGCTGACGCAGTCCATCTTCAAGGCACTGAAGGTCTATACATTTCCTTAATTATCAAATTTATATTGTTGCTACTCCTGAGATTAAATTCTCTAATTTAACTCCTCGCAAGGAGAAAGATTACCAGTTTTGAGGAAGAATGGCACAAGAAATGAACATAATTAGTAAGGCCAGGTACCTTGGTTAACTTCTAAATTAAACAAAAGCAAGAACCCCCTTTTTGGAATTCCCAGAGCATCCCAATTCCAACTTTGCTAGAAGGGCCCTGTATTTGCAGGATAAGTATGGATGGAAAGCATGATTTTAATACATTTAGCACTACCTTATATGTAGAATTCTTGTGTTAAAGCATAATGTACCTTTTAATGGTTATATTGTAATGAGACAGAAAATATATGTATACTTTAATTCTATGATAGTTGAGAAAGAATAACTGATAACAGATTAATATCTATTGATAAACTAGAATCCCATTCTGTACGAGGATTATCTCAGATTTGATCAGTGAAAATTCTTTCCCCTTCTCAAAAGAAATAATATAGGAATGGGGAGCAGTAACTGAAATGTTGGTCATGAGAAAAACTTCCTAAATCATAGAAAGCAATATTCTTCTTGAGTCAAACTTACACAAAATATTAAAGAACATTTCTCTTGGCTAGTTGAATAAAACCAAAAGAGTAGAGGAATGTTTACTCTGATCAATGCATTTCTGGTTAGAAAGATCAGCTTTTGTGACATGAAAATATTTGTGGGTAGCTTGTATTTTTTAAAATATAGGCTGCCATGCTTATATATATATTTGTGATAGCCTAAACTGCAACTCCATCAATGGATGTGATTATTAATCTTTCAGAAACAATAGTAGATTGATATTTGTTTATTTATTTATTTGCCACACATCTCATAGTAAATGTCAGGGCGTTGATTAATCCCATTCTGCTTTTGGGATAATCACCCTGATTAGAGGAGATGGATCGAGACCTTTCCCTGCGAGTATACTTTAAGAAAACAAACCCGAAGAACATATCTTCTAAGAAAACTCATTTATTTGTTATAAAGAAAATAATAAAACATCTCACTAATCAATTCAATTCAATTTTTATTTATTGATTAGCCCTTTGGGCCATATCAAGTCTCACCAATCTAAAAGTTACATTTTGAAATAGTTCGTGCCGGCTATTTCCCAGGCGGACCTCTCTGGTAGGAGAACAAAGGAAAGAATGTGAAGGAATGTGGGTGGACATGCGCAGTTTTGCTTACTGATAACAATTCTTGGCAAGCTACGGAAAGTCTGACAGTCCAGAAATAATGAGCTCAGCTGGTAAATACAAGAACGCAGTGACAGTAAATGCCTCTGGGCAGTTTCCATTATTAAAGCCAGTTAGTATACTGCAAATATACAAGTAATCCTCATTTACCGAATGCCTAGTTAAGTTACTGTTCAAAGTTATACCAGCACTGAAAAAGTAGGTTTATGACTGGTACTCAAACTTGCAGCCAATGCAGTTATCACATGATTGGGATTGGGATACTTTGCAGCCAGTATGCATTTAACAAAAGCCTTGGTGGCGCAGCAGATTAAAGTGCTGTTAAGTAACACCAGCTGTCTGCAATTACTGCAAGTTCAAATCTTACCAGGCTCAAGGTTGACTCAGCCTTCCATCCTTCCGAGGTAGGTAAAATGAGGACCCGGATTGTGTGGGCAATAAGCTGACTTTGTATAAAAAGGAACACCGCTTAGGGGGGCCCGAAAGCCCTACTAAGCAGGTATATACAAAAGTATGAAGGCTAGTGCTTAACGCATTGTAAGCCACCCTGAGTCTCCGGAGAAGGGCGGCATATAAATTGAACCAATAAATAAATAAAATAAATAAGTACATGTTAAATGCGGAGGCTTTGCATTTTGCCATTTGCAATATATGGAGTTTATTGGTTTCTGTACTAAGGCTTTATTGCTGTAAACTATGTGGAATAACCATGACTTTAGCTGCCAAATGGATTTTCAAATTAAGTAAAAATGCATACAAACATATTTATATCCCCCTTTATTATATGTAGAAATAACTAAAGGTGGCAAATTAATAGAGATCCAACCTTGCTTTCTCTGGCCCAGCATGGCAGTTCCCCTCAACTCCATGAAAGGGAACTATCTAAGACATGTTTCACTAAAAAGAATCATGCAAAAAATTACATGGTTAATTGCTCAGCTGCGCTTCCGTAAGAGACAAGAAATGAAATTCAAGATTCCTCTACGCACATCAAATTTTGCTTCAAGTGAAATCTCTTGTGTGATAAGAGAGGACTTTTGAGCAAAACGCTGTCTACAATCTGGGTATATAAATGGTTTATTTATTTATTTTATTTGATTTCTATACTGCCCTACTCCTGAAGGACTCAGGGCGGTGGTTATTCTCCTATGTGTAACCTTACATGATTTAGAAGGCTAAATCTATTACTGAAATCTTTTCCACAATCTGGACACTCAAATGGTTTCTCTCCTGTGTGAGTCCTCTGATGTATCACCAAATTGGAATTCCAGCTAAAACTTTTCCCACATTCGAGACACTCATATGGTTTTTCTCCTGTGTGAGTCCTCTGGTGTTTCACCAGGTAGGAATTCTGACTGAAACCTTTCCCACAATCTGGACACTGATACGTTTTTTCACCTGTGTGAATCCTCTGGTGTTTCACCAAGTAGTAACTCTGACTGAAACATTTCTCACAATCCGGACACTTATAGGGTTTCGCTCTAGTATGAATTTTCTGGTGAATCACCAGCTTGGAATTCTGAGTGAAACATTTCCCACAATCCACACACTCATACAGTCTCTTTTCTCTGTGAGTTTTTTGGTGTTTTATCAGTTCAGACTTGTAACTGAAATTTTTCCCACACTCTGGACACTCAAACAGTTTCTCTCCTATGTGAGTTTTCTGGTGTGTCACAAGGTGCAAATTCCAACTGAATCTTTTCCCACAATCAAGGCACTCATAGGGTTTTCCTCCTGTGTGAGTTCTCTGGTGTTTCACCAGGTTGGAAGTCTGACTGAAACTTTTCCCACAATCAGGACATTCATATGGTTTCTCTCCCGTGTGAGTCCTCTGGTGAATCACCAAGTTCGAATTCCGAAAGAAACTTTTCCCACAAAATAGACACTCATATAATTTTTCTCCTGTATGAGTCAATTGGTGCATCACCAGGTTAGAATTCCGAGTGAAACCTTTACCACAATCCGGACATTGATACACTTTGTCCCCTGTGTGAGTTCTCTGGTGTACTGCCAGGTGAGAATTCCGATGGAAGCTTTCCTCACAATCTGCACACTTATATGGTTTCTCTCTCGTGTGAGTCCTCTGGTGTTTCACCAGGTAGGAATTCTGACTGAAACTTTTTCCACAATCACAACATTTATATGCTTTCTCTTCTGTATGTGTTTTCTGATGTTTCACCATGTCAGAATTCCGAGTGAAATGTTTCCCACAATCTGCACACTTATATGGTTTCTCTCCTGTGTGGGTCCTCTGGTGTATCACCATGTCAGAATTCCTAGTGAAATGTTTCCCACAATCTGGACACTTATATGGTTTCTCTCCTGTGTGAGTCCTCTGGTGTATAATCAGGTGGGAATTTTGAATGAAACGTTTACCACACTCCAGACACTTATATGGTTTTTCTCCTGTGTGAATCCTCTGGTGTATCACCAGTTCTGAATTCCAATTGAATCCTTTTCCACAATCTGAACACTCAAACCGTTTATCTCCCTTGTGAGTCCTCTGGTGTTTCACCAGATACGAATTATGACTGAAACTTTTCCCACAATCACAACATTTATATGGTTTCTCTCCAGTGTGAGTCCTCTGATGTTTCACCAAGTCAGAATTCCGAGAGAAACCTTTCCCACAATCAGGACACTCATATGGTTTCTCCCCCGTGTGAGTCCTCTGGTGTATTTCCAACTCAGAATTCCAATTGAAACTTTTCCCACAATCTGGACAATCATATGGTTTTTCTCCTGTGTGAATCCTCCGATGTATCACAAGCTTGGAATTCTCCTTGAAGCTTTTCCCACAATCCGGACATTCATATGGTCTCTCTCCCATGTGAGTCATCTGATGTATCACCAGGTCAGAATTCCGAGATAAACTTTTCCCACAATCAGGACACTCAAAAGAGTTTCTCCCCAGTGTGAGTCCTCTTGTTTCTCACATTGGTGTTCATGCTTAATCTTTTGTTGCATTGGAAGCACTGGTAGAGTTTCTGTTCGGTATCAGTCCTTCCATGAATTATGAGGAAGCTTTTCCGAGTAAAGCTTTTGCCGCACTCTAAACATTTGAATCGTTTTTCACTGGGTGGATCCTGTTGTGTATAATCAGCCGTGATCTGCAATCTGTTTTTCTCACAATAGGCAGTCTCTGGGGGTTTTCCAACACTGATATTCTTGGATTCTTGAGAAGGCCAAATATATTTCTGATCTCTTACTTGGAGGTTCTTTTATTCAAGCCACTCTTTCCTTCCATAAATGCTTTCATTAATACATGCCCATTTTGGCCATCTGGACCTTTTTCTTCCCACTGACTTTCAGGTACTTCCCACTTTTTCTTTATTTGAATATTTTCCTCCTTGAATGTCTTCCTAAGCTCCATATACTCTATTTTTCCCAACTGAAAACTTTGTTATTGTTATTCTCCCCCTTTTCTTCCATTTGCGGAGGAAGAAGACTTTTTACCCTTTCAAGAGGAATTGAAAAAAGATTTTGACTGATGGTTCATTTTGGATTTTAATGCTGCTTCTCATTCTCTGTTGCCCAGCGTGCTCTTCTTGGCATCCTCTTTGTCTGTAAGATTCACAGTAATGGGCTAGTTTCATTGTTTAAAAAATGGCTGCAGGACCTGTGAAAGAAGCAAAAAATCTCCATACATTAGCATGAAAAAACAAACACCAAAATTCCAGTTTCACATCTAATATTAATTATGATGCATTTGGCATATAGAAAATTAGCAAGATCCAAGTTCAAATATTGACTTGATCATAAGATTCTCTTTTTCAATCAATCAATCAATCAATCAGAAAAGAGCTGGAAGGGACACAGAAATACAAACCTACAAATTTATGTATGTAGACAATCTTAGGGTTGGCAGGTCTGCTTCCAAAAAATAGCAGACAAGTGGGGGGGGGGGGTTGTTAAGTAGTAAAAAAATTAAAAAAAAATTACAATTAAATTATATATTTTCTTGCAAACATTTTAACACGTATTAAAATAATCACTTCAAAACTTTACTTAAAATTCAAAACATCAAATATAATAATATGTAAAATATTAAATTACATTTTAATTTCATCATAAAGCTTTTGAATAGAAAAAATGTCCACTATTTTGTGGAAAAAAAAATAGTGAACATAATGTGAAAAAAGCGGATTGTCCATTCAAATAGTGGACACCTGGCAACATTAGACAATCTATGTGCATCTTCATGTGCAAAATGCCCCAGAAGTGCATTTGCTCATCTGTTTGATCTAAGTTTAGAAATCTGGGGCCATTAACAGATGACAAAATCCTATGCAAAATTTAAAACGTCTCTTTTGTCCATAAAACTCCTCACTTGCCAGGAATAAAACATGTCAATAAAATCACACGGAATCAAGCGTTACGTGAAGGGTGAGGGAGATGGGCGGTTTAGAAATATGAAAAAAAATATAAAGATTTCTTTAAATCTCCCAACAGAAAATCGCAGTTTTAAATTCTGCAGCCTCATAGTAATAACATTTGGGGAGAGAAAGAATATGCAGCAGCCAACATGAGTCACGCTCGTTCCTTCCTCTGCATCTACGCCGTGGAGGAAAGAAAGGCAAGGCCCGACTTGCTCCCGGCTTCTCCTCCGACCTTCCCTCCACTCACCTCCCAGGAGCCGCTTCGACCCCTTGAAACAGGACAAGAGGAACCAGCGACGCCATTTTCCTCCCGTGGGTCAGCCGGAAGAGGAAGTTCCCTCTGCCCTTCGCCTCCTCTCCTCCACATCCTCTCTAGCAATCCGATACTCTATTACTTCAACCCGTTCAATCTCAGCCTCTGCCTCTTCCCTAGAAAAGCTCGGTCGCCGCTGTACCGGGTATTGTTTCCCAGTAGCGCGCCATCTAGCGACATAAGGCAGAAGAACATGCTCGTCCTACCCTAAGACGTTTGAGGATGTTCTCATTTTTTTTTTTTTTAAATTTGATTTATATGCCGCCCTTCTCCGGAGACTCAGGGTGGCTTACAATGCATTAAGCCTTCATTCTTTTGTATATTTTATACAAAGTCAGCTTATTGCCCCCACAAACTGGGTTCTCATTTCACCTACCTTAGAAAGGATGGAAGGCTGAGTCAACCTTGAGCCTTGGAGAGATTCGAACCAGCAGAAATTGCAGGCAGCTGTGTTAATAACAGGGTGCACTAAAGCACTGTACTATCAAGGCTCTTACTCTCTTACTCTTACTCTCATTGAGTCTGTACTTCCTTAAGTGCCATCAAGTCCTATTTGATTCCCACCGAGCTCATCGGTAGCTTTTCTCCCTGAGGCTCCATCCCAAAACCTTTTCTTTCAGGTCCCCCAAGAGGGCATCCATTGTCCCTGGAGCTGCACCTGAAGCTTCGTCTGCGAGAAGTGGCAACAAAATCAAAAGAAAGCGCCCTTTAGGAGGGGGAGGGAGAGAAGGGGGCTGGAAATGATGTGTAAATAGGGAGAAAGTGCACCTCCGTTAGTTCCAGTTATTCCTCTTGGGTGTGTGTGTGTGTGTGTGTATGCAGGATAACTCTTCAAAACGTGCCTCTGCCACTTAACGAAACTGTAAGAATGAAGCTTGATCCCTTGTCTCTGCTGGGATTTTCTTTTATTTCCATGTTTAGCTAACAAGCACCGGATTTCCTATTGGTGCCCCATCCCTGCTTAGCAATGGAAAGTTTGGCAGCAATTGCTGACTTCTGACCATTTTTCATACTTGCCACCATTGCAGCATCCCCATGGTCACGCGATCAAAATAGGGACGCTTGGCAATTTTTTATTTTTTATTTTTTGCTTTAATTTATATGCCGCCCTTCTCCGGAGACTCAGGGCAGCTTACAATGTATTAAGCAATAGCCTTCATACTTTTGTATATTTATACAAAGTCATCTTATTGCCCCCACAATCTGGGTCCTCATTTCACCTACCTTTGAAAGGATGGAAGGCTGAGTCAACCTTGAGCCTGGTGAGATTTGAACTTGCAGTAATTGCAAGCAGCAGATGTTAATAACAGTGCTTTAGTCCACTGTACTACAGGCTCTTCTTGACTCACATTTGTGACAGTTGCAGGGTCCTGGAGTCATGTGATCCCCTTTTGTGACTTGAGCTGGTGCACAACCTGGGGCCCTGCCTGGACTCACAGCTCCTGCTTGAGATCATGGCTGTGGGAGATGTTTTGCACAGACTCATCTATTGCACCAATTGTTCCCTTTCCTGGACTGGGAGGCGTTGCAGTGGGGCACTCCTCCTTTGGTCACTTCCTGTTTGGATTACCACCCTCTCCCCAAACTTCAACTGCTCCAGAACCCAGAAGTGCATACAGTTAAGTGGAGTCCCTAGATTGCCTGTGCAACATCTTTGTTGTGGAAGCTGCACTGGATCCGTTTTTTTTAAGGTGCAACTGAAAATGCTGGCCATCACATTTAACGGTATTTGTTTATTATAGAAATAGCAACAGCACTTTGAATTATATACCATTCCACAGTGTTTTATAGCACTAAAGCAGTTTACAGTGTCATCATATTTTCCAACCATCTTGGTCCTCCTTTTACTGATCTTGGAAGGAGTCTTCCTTGAGTTCCATCAGGATTGACTTCCAAGCTGCAGGCAGAGTCAGCCAGCAATACCACAGCCTAAGCACTGAGCCAACAGACCACCTGTCATTATTCTCGCAGCTTTAGTTTTGCATCTATCTGTTCTTCCAGGTCAGATAAGGTGGGCAAGCTCCTAGCCACTTACCTTAAATACTGCCATCTGATAAGGAGCTAGGAAGAGAGCCTTGTCCATTGCAGACCTTGGCCCACAAGACAATCTTCCCCCTGAAGTTTGGCAGGCCTATATCCTCCTAGTCTTCCGTAAAGCAAAGAAGTAGCTTTTCCTCAGAGCATTGAGATAAGAAAAATCAGCTGCAGATCAGAAGCTTGATTTTGTACCTGGTTATGGTTTAAATGCAGTTTTAATACAGTTTTTAAGTTAATTACTGATGTGAAGCAGGTCACAATTTGTTATAACATGGATGGCTATATAAATATTTTAAATAAATCAGAGGAAAAAGAGATGAATCCTAAAATGGCTCCGCTTAAGCTGCCCATGTGCAAGATGCTTGAGGCACTGATGTTCTATGCATTTCTTTTAATTATCAAATTTATATGCCGCTTGTTAGGATATGGTTTGAGCCTAACAAGTTGTCCAGGCAATATATGTGTTCTGTGACTTTAATATGAATATGTATTGTGTGACTTTAAAGTTTTACTGCTGATTCATTGTAATGCTGAGTCATGCTGTAATTAGATAATCACTAGTTGTAAACGTATTTAAGAAACGTACTGTAACGTATTCAGTTGATGATGTGCTACCATAGTGTGTGGAGTTGCTACCATTGTGCTATCATCGTTGGATGGATCTGCTACCATCGTGGTTTGTGAACCAGAGTGAACTTGTTATTCTAACCAACTACTGTTTGTGTGGTAAGAAGAGTTTTTGTATCACTGGACTGATTTAACTGGCAAAGACTTGGATTGATTTAAAAGACTACAAGATTGTTTTTTCACTATAAAGCAAACTTTTGATAAACCAGTTTGCACATCTCTTATTCACTGCTCTCAGCAACGTTTCTCTGTGCTCTACACTCTGCTGATTGGTAACACAACAACAATATCCTTAACACCGCTATTCCTGTGGTTAACTTCTCCAGTTTCACTCTTGAAAAGTACTTTTGGGACATCTTTGCAGAGAGAAAGATTACAAGTTTTGAGCAAGAATGGCATCAGGCAGCAACATAATTAGTAAGGCCAGGAAGCCTGATTAATTTCCAATTTGACTAAAAGCAAGAATCATCTTTTTGGAATTCCCAGACCATCAAATTGCCATCAACCTTGATAGACATGCCCTGTACTTGCAGGGCAAGTACATGTTAACTGTGGGGACTTTGCAATTTTGCAATATATGGCATTTATTGGTTTTTGTATTAAGGTTTTATTACTGTAAACCGTGCAGAGTCACCATTAGTTGGGCAGCCATATACATTTTCATGCAAAGTAAAAATACAGAACAGAATAAAAATTGGAAGGGACCTTGGAGGTCTTTTAGTCCAACCCCGTTCAGGCAAGAGACACTAAACTATTGTGGTATATACATACACACATACATGTTTATATCCCCCTGTATTATACGTAGAAATAACTCAAGGCAACAAACATACCAATTAGAGCTCCAAACTCACTTTCTCTGGCCCAGCAATGGTAGTTCCCCTTGACTCCGTGAAAAGGACCTACTGCAATGGGCCAAAGAAGCTCAAATGAGATTAGAGAAAAGAAAGAGAAAGCCAAAATAAAATTAGAAGCTTGCAGGCTAAAACATATGAAGAACAGTTACATGAAGTGAGCACGGCTAGTCTAGTGAAGACAAGAATCAGATGTCACATTATAGCAGTCTTCCAATATTTGAGAGGCTGTCACAAAGTGGAAGGGGGGCAAACTATTTTCCAAAGCACCCGAAGGCCAGAGATGAAACAATGGCATTGATCAAAGAGAGATTCAAACTACAAATAAGGAGAAATTTTAAGAGTCAGAACAATCAACCAATGGAACAGCTTCCCTTAAAAATTTATGAGTGTGAACTTTGTGTGCAACCTGTCTGCAATCTACCAGTTTGAATGATTACTCCCCTATGTGTAACCTTACATGATTTATAAGGCTAGACCTAGTACTGAAATCTTTCCCACAATCCGGACATTCATAGGGTTTCTCTCCTGTGTGAGTCCTCTGGTGTTCCACTAGATGGGAATTCTGCCTGAAACCTTTTCCACAATCTGGACACTGATGTGGTTTTTCTCCTGTGTGAGTCCTCTGGTGGATCACCAAATTGGAATTCTTACTGAAAGTTTTCCCACAATACAGACACTCATATGGTTTCTCTCCCGTGTGAGTCTTCTGGTGCTTCCCTAGTTCAGACTTGCAACTGAAACCTTTCCCACATTCTGAACACTCATATGGTTTTTCTCCTGTGTGAATCCTCTTGTGTATCACCAGGCAGGAATTCTGACTGAAACTTTTCCCACAATGACTACATTTATATGGTTTCTCTCCCGTGTGTGTCCTGTGGTGTTCCACTAGGTTGGCATTCCAACTGAAACTTTTCCCACAATCCAGGCACTCATACGGTTTTTCTCCAGTGTGAGTCCTCTGATGTTTCACCAGGTGGGAATTCTGACTGAAACTTTTCCCGCAATCCAGACACTGATATGGTTTTTCTCCAGTGTGAGTTCTGTGGTGTATCATCAGGTTGGAATTCTGACTGAAACTTTTCCCACAATCCGGACATTGAAATGGTTTTACTCCTGTGTGAGTTCTCTGGTGTATCACCAGGCAGGAATTCAGACTGAAACTTTTTCCACACTCACTACATTTATACGGTTTCTCTCCTGTGTGTGTCCTGTGGTGTTCCACCAGCTGGGAATTCTGCCTGAAACTTTTCCCACAATCCAGGCACTCATACGGTTTTTCTCCTGTGTGAGTCCTCTGGTGTTTCACTAGGTAGGAACTCTGACTGAAACGTTTTCCACAATCCAGGCACTGATATGGTTTTTCTCCTGTGTGAGTTCTCTGGTGTATAACCAGGTTGGAATTTAGACTGAAACTTTTCCCACAAACAGGACATTTATATGGTTTCTCTCCTGTGTGTGTTGTTTGGTGTTCCAGCAGGTGGGAATTTTGACTGAAACTTTTCCCACAAACAGGACA